ACGCCCCCTAGAGGAATTTCAGGTACTGAAGCTGCCTGTCCTCTCTCGCTGCGTCGCATAGCCGTTTCTTTTCTCGAAGGTTGAATCCTTCGGCGTGTACGACCTCGTGGCATGGCAAATAATTTTCAGCTTACTCTAATTGGTGTGTTATAGCTTCGTCGTTAAACAATAACTGAGAAAGTTGCACCAGAAACTCGAGCTTTTATATTATTAACAGCTAATTCTTTAAACCCGGCTCTATATAGAAATGGTAAGATAAACACGGTAACCAGTGTAATGTAAACAAATCTATAGATAATGACCGAGGTTTGCCGATTGCCGCGTAATGATAGCTTTAAACAAGGTAGCAGACGATTATTTCTCTAAAATAAATGGGATTATTTAATTCTAAAATAATCTTTATTATTTACAAATAATAATAGCTCGTTTTATAAATTTTACATAAAATAGAAACAGCTTCATTTCGTCTCCTGTTCTTATTTTAGTGTCCAAACAATCAAAATGAGCTTTATTAACTGTCTGCATCTCATTGTGGCGATATCTAAAAGTACATATTCTGTTTACATGAGAAACGTTGCCTTTGGGTCATCCGGACATCAACACACATTGCTTTAAGTGGCAGTCTAAAATTTAACGATATATTTCTGTATTATATAACGAATGTTTTTATGGAAATGTTATCTTCTCTTATTATTTATTTTTCCACTTTTGTGAACGCCAGGAAGCTTGTTTGCACACCTGAATAAGAGGGAGACTTCTACATTTGCCTTGCATCTGATAACATTGATTTGACATTATTTTTCATGTATTCATTACATGTACTATGATTTGAATGTTTGTATATTTTGATTGAAAAAATAAAAGAGAAAAAAAATGTTAATTTTTCGAATGGCATGTATACACCAATGCAAAATGCAGTCTCGCTTGAAATTATATTACATTGACAACTTTTTGGAACTTGTTCCAATAACTCTTGCTGATTTGCTGTGAGAAATCAGAAGAGTTTCCTCTCTTCTGATATTAAAACAATCTGTGAAAATACTAGCACAAATTTATTCTACAATCTCATATCACGGCATATAGGGTAAAAACCTTTTTTGGAAATAATATCGTAACTCTGAGCACGTTAAGGAACATTGCTGTTTTGAAATTCTGACTACAGTTGGTTGCACCTTTCCCCATTACCTCTTACCACGCTTAACATGTTTAATAGACTATCAAGAAAACCATTCACTAAACAACTATACAGCAAACAGTGCAGACTATGATCTAATAACACAGATATGATGGCTGATCTTTGTCTGTACTAATAATGTTTGTTACCAGAAAGCGTTTAAATAGAAATCTTTATTCGTTCCATTTCAAATTTAATTTTACGTTTATTATTAAATGAAATTATTGACGGACGGACTTTTTACGTATATTTAATTTCAGTTAAAAGTCAAAAGAAATTGTATAATATATCTTAATTCTATTGTAATAATTCAGCGTTTATTTGGAAATTTGTTGACATGTGTCCTTTGCGTCAAATTGTAGTACAACTGAACATAAAATGACTTACCTTACAGAAACGAGTATATAATATTTCGTCATTCAAATTTGTCAAAAAAGATATGTAACACGATTAATACGTAAATGTAAATAACTAAGACATATTATTAGTATTTTTTGTTATCAATATTTAACGTCAAAACATTTTCGTCTTAATGCGGCAGCCAATCTAGAACTATAGGCAGTTACAAACACGAGACTCGTTTCCAAAAGAACGATTGTTTATGTCAATTATAAAACAGTATTATTGCTCCGGAAAGCATTCTGGTGAATCTTTATATAAATTTAATTGATAGTTTTGCAAAATGTGCACATAGTAGAATTATTCAGTTTTATAACCATTCTTCTATACTATTCATCGTCTGTTTGTTGGAGATCCTATAGAACACAAATCATGAAATCGTATCCAGTAATATATGGTCACTTTACGAAAATAAAACAAATGCCAGATATAATTTGCGTGTATCACACAATCGGTCATAAAATGATTTTTCAAGGACGATAGAATATTCCTATTTGAAGAACTCTTCATTCAGAAATATTAAAAATAATTTAATGAGAAACAAGACTGAAATTATTTCATTTAAAATAACGATATGACATTCTCTGTGTGTTTTTATTTCCCTTTTCAGTCAGTCAGTTACACAATCTGGTGTTGGAATCAAAGTCATAAAGAACATTCTGTAAAGGTTAGCAAATTTACAGTTCACATTAATTCATAATTACAAGTGCAGTAAAAATATGATATTATTATCATTATTTTCGAAATTTCTCTAGGGAAATCATCAGCAACATCTTAAAATTACTGATCTTTGGTGTGTGAAATGGATATGTTCAACTATAAGTTGATGTTTTTAGCAATGCTCGTCACTCATTTCCTATTACAATATAGACAAGAGCTGTCGGTAGGACAGCAACGCTCGACTATTCTTAGTGCTTGATAGTAAAAAAAATGCTTGATACAGTTACCTCCTCCTGTTTACAGGTTGGGGTCATGATGGTGAACAAGTGTGCAAAGTTTCAAAGCCATATGTCAATGGACTTTGAAAATATTTGGACTATTACAAAAACTTTAACGTAAATTCTAAGTCGAAAAAGGGGCATAATTCTGTCAAAATGCTTGATAGAGTTACCTCCTCCTGTTTACAGGTTGGGGTCATGATGTTGAACAAGTGTGCAAAGTTTCAAAGCCATATGTCAATGGACTTTGAAAATATTTGAACTATTACAAAAACTTTAACGTAAATTCTAAGTCGAAAAAGGGGCATAATTCTGTCAAAATGCTTGATAGAGTTACCTCCTCTTGTCTACAGGTTGGGGTCATAATGGTGAACAAGTGTGCAAAGTTTCAAAGCCATATGTCAATGGACTTTGAAAATATTTGAACTATTACAAAAACTTTAACGTAAATTCTAAGTCGAAAAAGGGGCATAATTCTGTCAAAATGCTTGATAGAGTTACCTCCTCTTGTCTACAGGTTGGGGTCATGATGGTGAACAAGTGTGCAAAGTTTCAAAGCCATATGTCAATGGACTTTGAAAATATTTGAACTATTACAAAAACTTTAACGTAAATTCTAAGTCAAAAAAGGGGCATAATTCTGTCAAAATGCTTGATAGAGTTACCTCCTCTTGTCTACAGGTTGGGGTCATAATGGTGATCAAGTGTGCAAAGTTTCAAAGCCATATGTCAATGGACTTTGAAAATATTTGAACTATTACAAAAACTTTAACGTAAATTCTAAGTCGAAAAAGGGGCATAATTCTGTCAAAATGCTTGATAGAGTTACCTCCTCCTGTCTACAGGTTGGGGTCATGATGGTGAACAAGTGTGCAAAGTTTCAAAGCCATATGTCTATGGACTTTGAAAATATTTGAACTATTACAAAAACTTTAACATAAGTGGTTACGCCGACGCCGACGCTCGGGTGACTGCAATAGCTCTACTTATTCTTATCGAATAGTCGAGCTAAAAATTATGTGTTTAATTATTTCCGGTGAATGCACATATTATTGACATAACGGAATAAATTCTTAAAAAGTAAAGATACAACATAATAGGTGAAAATTGCAGAAAAGGGTTTCACAAATTTGTTTAATAACGAGCAACTAAGCATGAGCTACCGTGAGTATTCTGGAAACGTAGTACCATTGGAAGCTAAGAAAAATGAGTGGACCTATATGCAGTGCGTTTTTTTCTGTTATTTTTTTTCTTTCTTTCTTTTCAATCAGTCTTTATTTGAATGAAGATATACATCAAATGTGAAGACAAAGAAATAGAAACAAATGCGGACTACAATCTCTCAAAACATAAGCTAAACGCATGTTTCACACAATCAGTCACAATAAGATTTTTCAAGGACGATGAATATTTCTGATTTAGATTTTTTTTTTTAAATCAAGTAAAGTTGGCCTTTTCCTCTATAAAAATTACCAATTACCAATGACACTATATATTCATATTGTAACCATCTATTGTGTGTAGAATTTTTAACATATCTTCTTTGTGTGGAATCAAAACATATTTATTGTATACTTACAAAGAGACTGTGTAGTATTTATCAATATTTCTAACATATCAAATTCGAGCATAGTATATCTTTAAGTTTGATAGGATGCATATTGTTAGCTGTATATTATAGATAAAGTAGCTATATTAATTAAGATGCCTGGCATGTTATATGGGTCGGTATAAACGACTGTTCGCAAAATAAACGTTATCTAGCGACACGGTTATATTGAATACAACAGCTTATCAAGGCCAAATAACATGTCAAACATTTTAAAACGAATTTACGATACAGCACATTTATAAAGAAACTAATATTTTATTTGACAGCAGTCGGTGTATATTGATAACACAAACGATTATTCATGGAAAGTTACGTAACAAATGTGCATTAACATAATATTTGAACGTCAGGTTTGGGCAAAGAAATTCGAGTTCAAACAGGTGCAACATAATGAAATACAAAAATATGGGTATTTAAGCAAGTCATATAGTTTTATTTTATTACATGCTTTTCGGTGGTTTATAGAAATATATCAGTGATATAAAAATGGTAATTTCACTGTTTAAAACAGTGAAATTACCACTTTGATAATTTCACTGTTTTGAATTTAAGCCCCTTACGTTATTTCAGTGAAATACCAGCGTGCACAGTACTGGGAACCAACTTAATGACGTGACGTCGTAAATGACGTCACGTTATATTATTATTTGGCGCGCTTTTCATTCAGTATTAGGTTAAATGTCTTTTTAAAACGTTTCTTTGCATATAATAAAAAGAAAATTTGTTTAGTTTAGTGTAAGATTGAAATATATTTCACCTTGTGAACACCAAAAGTTCATATTTCACTCGTGGCTGCGCCACTCGTGAAATATACCTTTTGGTGCTCACTCGGTGAAATATATTCCGATCTTACACTGAACTAAACAAATATCCTCTATTTAATCATATTAAATAATGAAAATGGTGCAAACAATCATTACATTCATTACACAACAATAGAGAAATATACTTAACGATATCCTTTAATTATATAACAACACCCGCTACTCATCGTCTATCTTATTAAGACAATTTTTACAAATTGTAAATTCTTACTTAAAGCATAATTTTATTTGCCAGAGACACTGACCAGAATTCAATTTGATAATGCAGAATCAAATATATAAATAAGATCACAGTGATTGTAGTATTAATATATCCGAATATTGCTTAAAAAAAACATTTGTGGTTTTACAGAGAGATAAGGATTTATGATGATCACCTTTAGAGTGCATTGATTTCTTTATTCATTTTGCTTGTATAAACGCTCAAGGTCACAATTTCTTATTTCCGTCACCTTGTATGGCATACTTGACCAATTCTTATATGTTTGATATTCATTTGAATTTTCACAGATAAACTTTAAGTTTTCTAATTTGAGAATATAGAATTCAAGGTCCCCTTTAATTGCAATAACTCCCCAGGCTTTAGAGCAATGCGTGCAGAACATCCTACATATTTTCTTCAGTAAACCCATACTAACACTTCTTTCATGTTCTACTCTTCGGATTTTCTGTTCAAATCCTTGCATGGCAACAATATAAGATGTATCTAATTTCCGGAGATTAGAAGTATTACAAATATGTTTGCCACATTTCTTACAGTGAATTTCGTAATCATTTACATCGGACTTCCTGTTGTAAGACAGCTCCATTGTTTGTAGGTGCCATTTATAGTCATCAATGATTTTCTTCTGCGCAGTAAGTATTCGTCTTTCAATGGACTTGGCATCCAAATTATTAAAAAATGCAACTGCCCACGCCATTAATTTAACTCTGTACATTACTACTCTGTCTTTATCGAACTGAGTGTCAGTAGCAATCATAACTGCTGTGCCCTTTGCTTTCCTGCTGCGTCCTTTGAAATAAACAGCAATCTTGATGCTTAACGATAAGTTTCTAAGCATTTGTGCAGTATGTAAGATGAAAAAAATGAACAGAATATATGTCACACGTATTTTTATATATAATACTGAGGTTGAAACGTTTATAAACATTGTTCTAATATAATAGCCCATGAAACGTGTGTCAGACAAACCTAAAGCAATGTGATAATATTATGTAAAGTAGATTTTTAAGCGTGTTTACAATATTTTATATTGGACGTTGATGTATGAATACTTTTATGAACAACTTCTTACCTGACATTTGTATCTTGGTAATTTCGTTTGCGTTAAAGTTGTAATTTAGTGTCATATTACAGTCAGGTACATCAAGGCCCTCCATTCCAACTGATGTCGCCACTAGCACTTTGAAATCACCTTCCTTAAATTCATCTATTATTCTTGTTTGGTCTTCCTCAGTCATGCCTTTAATTAAGTAACCATCAAATTTTAAGTCCTTCACTCAGAACTTACGAGAGCGGGTTAATATATAATGCAATAAAGTCATCAAATTTAACAAATATTTAACAATTTTCTATTTCAACTCTTCAACATTATCTTCTCCCACAGAGATAAAAAGGCATAAAAAGTAAAATTAGTTTAAATAACCAGTAACAATAGTTAAAACACGGCAACTGTCAAATTTAGGAATCAATTTCAATAATTTTAAGCGCATTTAACTATTTACTTCTTCTGGTCCGATGTAATCAAATGAGGTATTCACCTGGCAGATATTCAAATGATTCTTTAGAATCGTATGTGTTACCTTGATATCCCTGCGATATAGGCTATCGGGGTATATGAAAGTCTTGCAACTTTGTCAATGACAAATCTTAACCAACGTTTCGGCAGTAATTATTCTATAAGACTTACAAAGATGTTAAATGTTATCTTTGATTTTAAATTTATCTACCTCAAAGTAGATGCATAAGATACTTCATTGTTTCCAGGTCAAGTTTTTTCGAGCTTTTATGTAAAACTGTATTTAAGCACAACTAAGCGTTTACTAGCTATATTTTACATGAAGCTACTCCTGTAAGGCAGTTTTTAATGTGAATAGTTGACTACAAACTTCATTTTAGTATCATATGAAAGAATATACATGTATATTAAGAACCATAGCACAGTTTACACAAACACAAAGTTCCCATGCTAAACTTGACAACATACTTAATATTGCATTACATATTATAATCACCCAACCTGGTATTTGATTGATTATTTACCCTTATCTATATCGTTACCCCTTTTTTCAATTTAGTAACATTATTCATATGGTTTGTCAGACAAGTGATAAACAATGTTTAATTATTTTCATTTTATGATTATTTCAGATAATATTGATTGGTCAGTTATCAGTGTATCGATACATATACAGCTTCTTCTGTTATCCTTCTCGGAATAATCTTATGCCAAATGTATACACAATGTGCATAAATTGACTTAAAGATTTTAAAATTCCTTTGTGCGGCGCGAGTATTTCTATTTTTTGCCAAGTCTTCTTTCGTTTTTTGGCAATAATGTAAGTTCGTTATAGTAATAACTTTTGCTTGTCACGTACCTTTATCAATTCCTCTGGTGTCTTTTCCTATTAGAGGACTCACTTTTACGTATATTGACTTTAACTCTTCGTTGAGGAAAGCTGCCAAAGCTCTGCATGTTGCTCGTGTTTGCACAAAAACCATGGCTCTAGAGTTAGCATCTGCTTCCTTTCCAGCAAAAAGATTTGATAAAATACTACTTACGACGTGCACGTTGGGATTGTCAGACTTCACTTTTCTTAAGTCTTTTTGTACCTCTGAAGTAAAATGTAAACAAGAATAAGTTTAAATAATTCAATACATTTTACCGGAACAAACAAAAGCTGAAACTGCGAATTGAAAAATAAACATGTACCGTTTTATTTACCCGTTATAATGGAAGCTTTTCACAAACTTTTAGATTTAAACATAAATTTAATTCCAAGTTTACTTTTGTACTTAATAAAGAAGCACCACATCACCGGTGTAGATTATTATGACCCAAATCATGAAAATTGAATAACCTTTCAGGGTTTCAAACAGACATGATTCTTCTTTTGTAAAGGTTTCTGGGTGTTCAGCTTCTTCCTCGTGTTGACGTGCAAGGTAAAGTGCAACGTCTGTAGTTCTCAGTAACCTATTTATCTCTAAAGCATTGTTGTAGATCTAAAATATTCAGAGAATGGATGGGATCATTTAATTGATCATAAATACAGACTAAATATCAAAGTTGACGCTAGCAAGGTCAGCGGTAAAGACACAAGTGTATTTTTTCATGTCTTCTATTAACTTACCGCTTTAATAGATAAATATAGCAATGGGCGTTATGCATGTTCTCCACTGATAACCCACGTGTACTAAATTAATATTAAGCTTGTGATGCCTTAACAAACAACATTAGACAAAAGTTTATAGCGTTTAAATATTAACTGTATAGGAAGTGTTGGAAAATCCTATTTGGAGAATGGGTTTTCCTTATACATCATGAACACGTCATTGTATGCTTATCTGCGATGCACATTTGCTTATCCCGTCAAATAGATATATTTGGTGACAAATTCCGTGATTTGTAATGCTTTAATTCTATTAATCTGCAGAGAATCTAACGGGATCTATGGAGATCAACTTGAATTTAATACTCTGTACGAAACATCTTTAACATACTTGAAGATATTTTCCACAGGAGACTACATTTCTTCCCCGACCTCTTCTTAGTGATTCTGCTGCCTTACTTATGTCCGATATCCACTTTCCAAATTCCTTTTCTTCAATATTCTTTGGACATTTGTGCATTATTTCTATCAAATTCGGTTCCGTCCATGCTAAATCTTTAAAAAAGGTATATGCACTTACTTTATTTGTTTACTCTGAGTAACTTATTTTCAGTTGTTCTTAATGCATTTCTTTGGGCTATAAGTATTAAGATTATTAACAAATATATATTTTTAAATAATAACAATTTAATAAAAAATGAAAACCTGAAAAGTTTACCTTCAAGAAAATCGAGTGTTTTCTTCAATGCCACTAAAAGTATGCTTTTACATTGATCTGTTTGTCTCGCTTGCATTGGTATTTTGTCTATAAATAGAATGTTATAAATATCCTTTTCTCTGATACACAAATATACTATTTCATTATTAAACAAAAAAACAATGTAAATTGATTTTTGCATTGTTTGTATTGTATATTTAATACGTTGATATAAAATTTACAATCTTATTTTCTTTAACTCAGAATGTCGTTTTCCGAGTTTTTAATATCGAATACGCCAAACCGTTCGACCCTCATCACTGTGTTTTCGTACGATTATTTCAAATGAAGAAGCTATCAAGCAAGAATACGGAATGTCAGTGGTTCTTTTCATGTGCCCGTACGTTCCAGACTTAATGCACGGAGGCGTACCTGAGGCCTTCCTCTACAGACAAAGCTGGAAAGTAGCCATAACAATTACAGAGTGATAGTGCGACGTTAAAGTTTCCACTTTCACGCACCCTAAACAAATCTTATGTTGCTTCATTTTTACGAACATTTATATTTCTCATACTTTCTTCAACGAACAAATAAATCTTGTTTTTAAACAAGAAGTAAATACAGTATAATTATGCTCTCGAAATGTAGAGTTTTGTTTTTGTTTATCGTTCTCTTCGAAAATACCTTGAAAGTAGACAGCCATGAGCAATTCCTTCGTTAAGATTAGCCTATTATGAAAGAAAGTCATTATTTTAAACAATTTATTGATAAAATGATAATCTAGTTGATTTTGTATCGAAATTATATTGCACTTTTATACATCATTGGTAATTTGTTCTTATATCGAAATTAATTTGGTAAAGTAGACATAAAATTTGACGTCTACCACTTTATAAATGAAACAGTGCAAGGAAAATAAATGAATGCCGTAAATTAGGAAAGGTGTTTTATTGATGTTTTATGATAGCGAACCTTCTTTTGGAATGCTGACATGCTTTGCTAGGTCATCTTTGTGCTTTTCTACTGTCGACAGATCTCTTACATCCAAACTTGCACATACATTAAATATGTGTTCAAGCGCATCTTGTTCTGATTTGGCTCTTCCAGTACCAATAGATGCTGTCAGTCCAATGATCTAGTAATCAAAACAACTTCTATGTTAAAAAAGCCTGGCATGAAACATAAACATGCACGTCAATAATAATTTATGCATTTCTGATGCATTTCAGTATATTTCATAGCCGTATCTCTAACCAAAAATAGAACTTATTCATTTAAGGAATTTCGATTTTTTTCAAACAAAACTACAATCATCATAAACATTTAATGTCATGTCATTTAAATTCAAGCACGGAAACATAGAAATACAAGCAGAATATGTCGTATAGAATTTATTTTTTTAACTTACCTGTGGTAAGTTTTTTATTCCATTCGATTTCTCCAAAAGATATTTCTTCATAAGTGTGTTATATGGTTGATTGCGGATTGTATGGTGGCATTCGTCAAATACCATTAATGAAAATACCGACAAACTTTTTACATCTTTGTTCAGATTATTGACAAGAATTTGCGGTGTGAATAGGAATATGTCATAATCTTCAAGAAATGCATTTAGCATCATCGCCTCATCTGTGTCCCCTTTTAAATGTTGGACCTTCAATTAAAATGTCATTGTTTAAATCATAAAATTTCAATTATAGAGTTCCTGAAAGACCCATTAGGCCAAAGAAACGATATTATTTTTATTGCTCAAAATCCTTTTTTTATTTTGTGTTCAGTTACAATTTCAAAAAATAGCTCATTGGCAATATAGCTGATGCATCTTTTGCTGGATGTAAGTACTTGATAGTCATCAAGTATTAGTACTGAGGTCAAAATGCCACTTATACTACACAAAATGCTACTCTTTCAGGTGACAGTCCATTATGTAAATAATAAAAAAACACATTTGTGTCCATTCTTAAAAACAGAAGAAAAATGTTATCACTTGTGACAGTTAATGTGCCTTTAATTATTGACTTTGTCATTTACGAAATCTTACAACATATTTCAAAAAAGATTTCCTAATAAATGTTAAATATTTACATTCGCATAAGGCAATCGTTTGGAGATGAAGTTCTTTTGTTGCTCTACAAGTATTCCATTGCGAGCCATGAAGACAACTCTTCTTTTCTTTCCTCCTGATCAATGAACAGAGAAATAAAAATTACTACTGATAAACAAAAATAAGTATTCTTTAATAAAAGTGTGTGATACTTTTTTCAAATTCTCTATTTTACGATAAATTTCCAAAATCATTTAATTTCAAATAAAATCAATATAAATATAAAAATTCTTACTTTTAAGAAATTTGAGCTTAAAATACCATGCCTTTGTAATTTTCTTATTTAAAAATTTAGACTTAGTTTTATTATAACGTTCATAACAATTTATTTTTAAACTTTAAGAACTAATTTAAGTTAAAAGAGAATACACCTTCTGTTGGCATATTTAAATGTCTATCAATAATGTGTGTTGCCACCCATGTTTTTCCACTTCCAGTCGGAGCAACTATGATAGTGTTTTCGCCCGCTAATGCCTTCCCTGCGAGTTCATGTTGGAAAGGATACAATTTCTCTTCAAAAGATTTTGACTCCGTTGTTTCATCTGCTATGAATCACAATATCAAGAGATTATCACTAGAAAATATTTTCAGGGATTATAGAAACTTTGAAATATCTTTTAGCGTAAAATTAGTTTAATTGGTGATAAATATATGTTACACATAGTAAGATTATTTTAAAATATTTGTACCAAATAGGAATATATAAAGAGAGAAAAGAATGGCCACAAATTTTGAAGGTGGTGGTGTTGGTAGTTTTAACCCGGATCACGGCAGTAAGGCATATTGAATTACCAGAGCACAGTTCAGCCACCACGACTGTCAAGCAGTTTACCAGTATTAGTTGCCTCCACTTTTACAAGGAACTTAAACTACTGCACATGCCAGAGCAGAGGTACAGTGCTAATTACCGTAGAAAGGATTTCTCTACCGATCACAACGAATGTGACATGCACCGTCCTGGAATCAAGCCTGGGTCGCGCGATTAACAATCCAACGCTCTACATATAGAGCTAACTTGACGGCTACACAAATTTTGATAAAACCTAAGTTGCACTTAAAATCAGTGACTGAAAAACCTAATATTGTATCATTTTCGATGTCATGTTGTGAGATAAACATATTGAAAAATGAAAATCGTTATACGGAAATACCAGAAGAAGATAATTTTCAACGCTAGAAAGTTTATATGAAAACAAAGCTTTATCACATTAAAACATTTAAATACACGGCACTACATACCGTCACTGAAATCGTCAGATTCTTCTGTCTCGCTTGTCAGTTCTTCTGTTAAAGGAATTTCATCGTTTTGAACATCTGTATCTGTTTAAAATAATATTATCACAAAATATGTTGCAATTAATCTATTTCACTTTTTTCATGATTAATGCAATCCTATTCCGTAAAAATAACTTTCTACAAACCTATAAACCTTGATGAACCCACGCGACAGAACCTTAGATTACATGTCCGACGAGTTTTCGGTTAAGAATAATTGGAAATTAATAAAACCATATATTCTTGAACAAAATGAACACATAGGTCTGACTATCTAATATTTTTCAGATTTTTTTGTTTATTGACTATAATCAAGTAGAAGGTTTACTTGTTAGTGAAGATTTAACAATCTATTTTATTGATTCTATACAGACAAAAACATGTACTTTTTAAATTTCGTGTTCTATTTTCCTTTGCTTTGAAAACTTACCATTCTGTGTTGTAATCTCAGCTGTTACATCAGGCTCAAAGTTCCGTCCCTCTGGAGGTGCTCTTTCTCCAAGTTGTATAGTCGCATTCAGCTCTGTTATATCATCTTGAGAGGTTTCGATTCTATCTGTATTTTCACTGCAAGAGTTCAAGGCAAATCTGTCTAGAGATATGCATGTGTCTTTTGCTTCATTCGTATGTGACTCAATATCATCTCCTTCAAGAGCATGAGGTGTATAAACGTGTTCGTCAATTTCTTCTAGAGCATCTTCATAGTCTGCATGATTAAGCAAAATTAATATAACATAACAACATAGTCGTGTACATATCAATTATCCAACACAATGGTAAATTGTTTGTTTTTTTACTTGCAAGTTATCAACATATTTAAGTATAAAACCTTATACTTCGTGCGGGAATTTCGTAGAAAATGTATGTGCTTATACTGTCAGGAGAAATGTCTGCCTTGATGTTATTTAATCTAAGGAAAGATTTAGTAATAAATACTAAAACCAATTTCCAAGATATGGGGGCTGGGCAGCACCGCCTGACATAAAAGTGAAATATTCTCAGTTGGAAAACTAGCATGTAATTGTTTAGTTAACACTATCTTTTTTTTAGGTATTTTTATCTTTTTCTATCTCAAATCAATATATACATGTTAACAACAAACTCTGATTATTATTTACACCCAAAACAAAGAATTCTGATCATTATTTACACCCAAAACAAACACACATCATTTCTCAACCACTTATACGGAATATCTTTTCACGTATACGTCTTTTATACGAAACAAGACACCTGGCGAGCCCAAGCTCTAAACAACTTATGATCAAACAAAACAATAAAAATCACCACAAAATGAAGAACACAAAAAATGAATATTTTTACAACTCTAAGATACAGTATAAACCACAAACATTCATTTAACAATGTTAACTTCACACAATCTAATCAGCATCAGAAAAGCAAACTAAAGCACCCAATATTTACATATATCCTCGAAACAAAGCATCAACTAATATAATCTTGATCAGACAAACATTCAACCAATATCAACCAATTATATCTTCACAAACAGATATAACTCAACAACCAAAACAACTAATTACAACCAATAAACCCTGATCAATTAAGATCACCACAATTATATTCAACCAACTTCAACAACCAACAAAATTCCCTTCAAAACAACAAAATTCTCTTCTCAATAAAAAATAACCGCTACACACTATCAGCGTGTCTCTCCTAACTGATGTAAAATCTCTCTCAAAACGCGCATATTTGCTAGCTTAAACGATCTGACCTTTAAACATGTATACATACAGCGACTGGTTTAAACATGATATTTACACTCTATTTAAAACAATGTATCACTGTAAAGAAATATTAACTCGTTGTTTCATCTACAACAATATATCACTGTAGGGAAATATTAACTCGTTGTAAGATACATATCTACATATAAACTTCATGATTATTCTGACAGCCCCCTACTCAAGAAAACACTCCACTGTTTTCAAACAAAATGAATAATCTACAATGTCTCTTTTCAAGTATCGAGTCTACTTAGGTAATCTGCACATACGTTGTCCTTTCCTTTCACAGCTACTATTCTAAACTTATAGTTCTGTAGAAATAATGCCCATCTCATTATGCGGCCACTTTCAACTTTACATTTCTGAATATACGTTAAAGGAGCATGGTCTGTATGCAGCTCAAATTCTTTCCCGTACAAATATTTGTTGAATTTCTTTATTCCAAATACCATTGCAAGACATTCCCTTTCGATAACCGAGTAGTTTCTTTCTCTATTCAGCAATTTCTTACTCGCGTAAGCTATTGGAAGCAGACCATCATCAAACTGTTGAAGAAGTGCAGCCCCAACTCCGGTATCTGAGGCATCACATTGCAAAACAAATGACTTTGAAAAGTCTGGAAGTCGTAGTATTGGTGATCGTGTCAGTACTTGCTTCAATGTCGTAAAGGCTTTTTCATGTTCTGGTTTCCATATGATTTTATTTGGCTGTCCTTTCTTCGTAAGATCTGTCAATGGTGAAGCAATTTCTGCAAATGAAGCAATGAATTTTCGGTAGTATCCAGCTAGACCAAGAAACGATCTCAGTTGCTTCTTTGACTCTGGTCGCATAGCGTCTCTAATTTTGACTAATTTGTCATCTTCCATTTGCATTTGTCCTTTGCCAACAACATGACCGGTAAATGGTATACTTTCAAATCCAATCATACATTTAGAAGGTTTAACTGTGATCTTTGCTTCTCGTATTCTTTCGAACAATTGTCTCAACATCTTCATATGTCTCTCCCATGTAACCGTATGTCCAAGCACATCGTCAACATAGTTATCAGTATCATTCACTCCGGAAAGCAACTTCCGCATCATTCTATTAAATGTTGCACCAGAATTGACCATTCCAAATGGCATCTTTCTGAATTGGTAACTACCTTCTGTTGTAGAAAATGCTGTTAGATGTCTTGATTTTGCTTCAATTGGTATTTGCCAAAAACCTTTGGTCAAATCAATTTTTGTGAAGAACTTATCTTCTTTTAGCTTTGCCATCACATCCTCAACATTACCCATTGGTTCTGTATCAAACTTTGTTACAGAGTTGAGTCGTCTGAAGTCAATACAAAAGCGGTTTGTATTATCCTTTTTCTTCACCAAAACAATTGGAGAATTATAATCAGAATTTGCTGGTTCAATGATACCACATTCAAGCATTTTCTTAATTTCATCCTCTACCGCTGTCCTTTTTGCATATGGTATCGTATATTGTCTAACACGAATTGGTGTTTTGTCAGTCAACTCAATCTTGTGAGATTCAAGATCTGTAGTTCCGGGAATATCAGTAAAAATATCCTCAAATTCTTGAAGCAACGCATTTACTTCTGATTTTTGTTCAAGTGTTAATTGATCATTAACATTAACATCTCTGTATGTCTCTTCACTCTGTGTGTCTACTAGTTCTAAAAGATTTTCATCATCAACAGCCCCAGTATCATCATTATTTTCGGCTTCTATTACAGCTACACTCGCACAAATTCTGTCTTCTCGTTCTTCGTATTTCTTCAGAAGATTTATGTGGTACATTCCAATTCTATCACCTACTTTCACTTTGTAGTCAAACTTGTTAACTGCTTCACTTACAACAAATGGACCTTTCCATTGTAACATCAGTTTATTGTGTGTTGACGGCAGGAGCAATAAAACTTTGTCTCCTTTCTTAAGACTTCTTGGTCGTGTTTTCTTATCATAATGATGTTTATACTCTTCTTGTGAGTTGCTTAGATTTTCTCTAGCAATCTTGCATGTTTGTTCTAATCTATTTCTCAAATCTAGGACGTACTCATACGTATTACGTGTCTCTGGTACTTCTGTCTCTGTCCATAATTCTTTTAGTGCTTGCATGGGACCTCTTACAGTTCTTCCATATAGAAGTTCAAATGGTGAGAACCCTGTACTTGACTGAGGGACTTCTCTGTATGCAAAGAGAACCGCAGACAAATATCTATCCCAATCCTTAGGTCTTTCTTGGCACATTTTCTTCAACATGCTTTTTAAAATACCATTCATTCTCTCACAAAGACCATTACATTTTGGATTGTAAGGAGTAGTAAACAACTGTTTCAGTGATACAAGTCTACATACTTCTTCCATAAGTTGTGACGTGAACTGACTACCCCTATCACTAAGTATTTCTGATGGGAAACCTACTCTTGCAAAAACATCTAACAATGCTTCAGCTATATTTTCAGTCTCAATTCTTGGTAAAGCAACAGCTTCTGGGTAACGTGTAGCATAATCAACTACAGTTAATATGTACCTATTTCCCTTTTCCGATACAGGCGTTATTGGCCCTATCAAATCAACCGCGATTCTCTGGAACGGAGTGTCAATAATAGGCATTTCACCTAAAGGAGCTTTCTGAAGTCTACCCTTGGGCACCGTCTTCTGACAAATGTCACAGGACCGACAAAATCTAGTTATATCACTAGAAATACCTGGCCAGTGAAAACTAGATTGTATCCTGTCTAAAGTCTTGCGTACAGATAAATGACCACCCACTATAGATTCATGAGCTAATGACATAACTCTTTTGTGATATTTACTAGGAACAACTATTTGTCTCGTTTCAGACTTCAAATCACCTTTCACCGTCTCAAATATTCTATACAACACATCCTTTTCTACTTCATATCTAAATTTATTACCACTTTTTGTTTTCATGATCTTATTTTCCCTAGCATACTGCCACAAACGCTGTAACGTATTGTCATTTGATTGTTCTTTCTTAAGAACATCTATCGTAATTTCATTATCTTCGACTTTTGGGACTTTAAGAGATTTCATTGCTTTCTTCTCTTTTTCGACCTGTGCTCTAGTAACAACAGCAGCTATGTTTGTTACTTCTCGGCTAACCCACTTCTCATTTGGCTTATTAAGTACACCCTGAATATTGCCCAAGACTAAGTCACAAATTGCTGACTCTAAAACCATAGCTTCTATTTTACCCTTATAATAAGGTGTATCAATGTCTATTTTTGCCATAGGTACCAACCTGGCCCGACCATCTATTGCTATCATGACACAATTTTTATTCAACATTTGATCTTCTTCGACCAACTTCTTTCTAACTACTGCTAACTCGCAACCAGTGTCTCTTAGAACTTTCACCTCTTGATTACCAACATATCCTACTTTCAGATCCAATTGACGTTCACCTTCTAATGATTCAATTGTACAGCTACTTGTAATGACAGGCACAGAATTACCATTGGCTAATTTAAGTTTTCCCTCTTCAATACAACCATCATAAGAACTTGTTGGAGAAATTGACATACATAACCCCGATACTTTCTTATCATCTGATCTACCATCACGTCTATTTTCTACAGGCCTACTACGCCAGTTCCTTGGTGAAGAATCCCGATTTGTTTTAAAGTAATTTCTATTTTGCTCTCCATATGACATTGCAGCAGCCCCATATCTTTTCTTAGTCTGATCTCGACAATCTCTGGCCACATGACCCTCTCTATTACATATGAAGCATGTAACTTTTCTATTTTCTCTGTGATAGTGCTGTATTGGTTTCAAAAGATTACCTTGATTAAGGCGTATTGGTGATTTATTTGAAAAGCTGGCAACTTTTGAGCTTTTACTATTTGTAATTGTACCGCCATGAGCCTCTAAGTATTGTTCAGCCAAAGAGATGACATCTCTACGATCCTTTGGCTTTCGTTCCTTAAGAAAAAGAGCTAACTCCGTTGAACAAACTTTGACAAATTGCTCTCTAATAATAAGATCTTTCAATTTATCTACTGTATCCGCAGCATCGGCCATTTCTGTCCATCTACTAAAGTATCTATCTAAGCGAGCCATAAATTGGTTTACAGTCTCCCCTTGTTCCGGCTTACTCTCTCTAAATTTATTTCTGAAACCGTCTTCTGTTAATTGGTATCTTTTCAAAACTGCTGTTTTTAATTCTTGATAGTCTGATGCTTGCTCAGGAGGCATACTAGTGTAAACTTCAAGACCTTTCCCCGTTAATAAAGAACTTAAGCTTATTGCCCATGTATCTTCTTTCCATCCTTGACTAATGGAGAACCTTTCAAAACGCTCTATATAAGCATCTATGTCATCTTTTGACTCTTCAAATTTAGGCAATCTTGGCCTCAAACCGGTGCTAGGTGGGGTATCAAGGCGATCCCCAGCCTCAATTTTTAACTTCATTAATTCTATTTCTTGCTCTTTCATTTTCATCTCTACTTCAGCTTGAAATAAACGTTTCTTTTCCTCACGTTCGGCTTCTTTTTCTAAACGCTCTGCCTCAAATCGCCGTCGCTCTTCCTCACGTTCAGCTTCTTTTGCTTTACGCTCGGCCTCAAATCGCCGTTTATCTTCTTCACGTCTAATATTTCTCTCTTCTCTATCAAGATATTCTGATTCTTTCTTTTGAACATAATCACGTAACTCCCCGTCCTTCAACCCAAGCCTCTCTCCCAATGATACCCATTTCTCATAATCCATAATTGCTTATTAATGGATTACTACTCAATAAAATAATCAATTTCTACGAAACCCGTAAAGTAAACACTTTTTACTCAACAAAATGGTGTACCTCTGTAGCACCGACAATCGTTATTCCAAATCTAATCTCTATATAACAATGGCACCTACCGGGCACCGGCAATGAACATGTATCAACAGTAACAACCAGGGCACCGATAATAATCTTCCTGCAGTGTTTAACAACTATGTAAACTTTAAGAAAACAACCAACTGAGCACCGGCAGCACAAACTATCTATTCAACTATTACATACACTTTTATGAATAATCACCCACTGAACACCGGTTATAAACTTTTATCAATTACTGATGTTTATAACTTCAACAAATTATAAGTTATATCTTTATCATCGATATAAACTTATTAACACAATGATTCAAACTATCGAAACAAATGTCTCCCAAAAACCACTTAATTCTATCACCGTATAAACAGTATTCAACAAAGGGTGCTCTCCTGCTAAAATGCAATAAATTCTTCAGTATACAACTTTAAACACAGACCGTCACCGCTTCTCTACATATAACTCTCTATTTAAACTCTATTGTACAGAGAGTTTACTTGTATAACACTACAACGAAGGTTTATCGATTTTCGCCTAACAGCTTTTACACTGCAGTATTTTACCAACAGATCGTAAATGATTTAAGGTTTAACAAAAATTTTATCAAAGTTTAACAAACAATATTTTGCCAGGAAAAATTCCAACTTAAAGAGAATATCCCGGACGAGCCCCCAAATTGTCAGGAGAAATGTCTGCCTTGATGTTATTTAATCTAAGGAAAGATTTAGTAATAAATACTAGAACCAATTTCCAAGATATGGGGGCTGGGCAGCACCGCCTGACATAAAAGTGAAATATTCTCAGTTGGAAAACAAGCATGTAATTGTTTAGTTAACACTATCTTTTTTTAGGTATTTTTATCTTTTTCTATCTCAAATCAATATATACATGTTAACAACAAACTCTGATTATTATTTACACCCTAAACAAAGAATTCTGATCATTATTTACACCCAAAACAAACACACATCATTTCTCAACCACTTATACGGAATATCTTTTCACGTATACGTCTTTTATACGAAACAAGACACCTGGCGAGCCCAAGCTCTAAACAACTTATGATCAAACAAAACAATAAAAATCACCACAAAATGAAGAACACAAAAAATGAATATTTTTACAACTCTAAGATACAGTATAAACCACAAACATTCATTTAACAATGTTAACTTCACACAATCTAATCAGCATCAGAAAAGCAAACTAAAGCACCCAATATTTACATATATCCTCGAAACAAAGCATCAACTAATATAATCTTGATCAGACAAACATTCAACCAATATCAACCAATTATATCTTCACAAACAGATATAACTCAACAACCAAAACAACTAATTACAACCATTAAACCCTGATCAATTAAGATCACCACAATTATATTCAACCAACTTCAACAACCAACAAAATTCCCTTCAAAACAACAAAATTCTCTTCTCAATAAAAAAATAACCGCTACACACTGTCACACTATCAGCGTGTCTCTCCTAACTGATGTAAAATCTCTCTCTAAACGCGCATATTTGCTAGCTTAAACGATCTGACCTTTAGACATGTATACATACAGCGACTGGTTTAAACATGATATTTACACTCTATTTAAAACAATGTATCACTGTAGAGAAATATTAACTCGTTGTTTCATCTACAACAATATATCACTGTAGGGAAATATTAACTCGTTGTAAGATACATATCTACATATAAACTTCATGATTATTCTGACATATACAATTATTAAAGCATTTGAGATACAAGTTGGTACAATGATATTGTTTTTCTAAAAAGCAAACGCTACAAATATCTTTTGAAATGATTTGTAAAAACGCTTGTTGATGTAGCGTGCTATTATCGCAGCTGGTTTGTGTGTTTTCTATCATGCATGAACAACTTAAATTACTATAACATACAAAAGCAACTCTAACATGGGTCCTATGAGTTAAAGTTTACATATATAACTAAAGAAACAAAGAAAAAATACTTTTTACAGAAGTTATGAAGTTTAAAAAACAAGTTTCACCTCCCGACCTTCAACTGAACGTAACGCACATAAAATGAAAATTGCAGAAACTAATACATACCAGAAGAACTTGAAGAAGATTTACAGTCATTCATGTCTATTTCTGAAACCATGCAATGGCTGGCCATGTCAGTAGCTACGCTAGAATACTCTACCAAATAAGAAATGTTGCAATTTTGTTACAGATGGTTAATAATTGTTGGTATTATAAACCGTAAAAGAATCTCAACAACACTAAGTTAGATAGTTGTTTTTTATTAATTCAATTCATTCTACTACACGACACTTCCGACTGCAAGCAAAAATGAAAGCCATTCTAACATGAAACTACATTTTCAAATTTATGATTTTTATAGGTTACGATCAGACTACTTAACGTTGCCTAGTTTATTTCGGTCAGGGTTGAAATATTATTAATAATCAAAGAAGTCATCATACCCGTAAGAACGTGTTCTTGAATGTCACCGGACTTTATGGATACAGGTAATTTCATTTCACATGCCTCAACAGCCATGTCTTTTTTGTCACAGTCAATACATTTCTCTACTGATTCTATAATCACGAGAAGAAAGAAAACGTGTGTATGTCAGAAATATCGAAATGTCTTTACTTTCAAAAGAATTGAAAATAGCTTTTGTTATCGACAAAAATGCATGAAGAAATTTTACTGTTACAAGTATATGGGTGGTTTTAATTTATTGAATTAATGACAAAATCATCTCACCATGAGAAGATCCGAATCGCTCGGGGTATTGCAAAAAGTCTGGCTCGATTTCTTTGACAATGTGTTTGAGGTTTTTTTGAACCAATACATCGAGAAATTGATAAAACCATTCGCCTGGAGCCAGTCTGCATTGCATTCTGTCTAAAAGCACGATTGTTGCATATGTGTTCCCTTTATTGTGATATTGAGCACGAATTAACTCGGCATCCGTGTCGTTTATAACTTTTCTTGAAAAAAGCTCAGCAACGATATCCATTGCATCAATATTCTTCTCTAGGTAAGATATGAATACTCTGATAATTGCCTTTTCGCGTTCATCTTTCATACTTGGTTTGCCTTCCGTTTCCAGTAAGGACTTGATGTAGACATATTCTGAAGATCAAATTAAATACCATTTTATTCAGTTTTGTAATTTTTAAATATGACAAATCATTGACTAATTTAACATTTGGTTTATTTTGATATCTAAGTTGTAACAAACGTGCAAGGACGTGCAGTTGAGACTTTTAGATACAGTTGTTTATACAGGAATGTCAAAAACCCAAGGGTTGAGTATTGTACTATGATAATATCTTAAAATTAACCTGATTTTTCCAAAGCGGTCAATAATGATTTCCATTTCCCTTGTGCAGATGATTTCATAAGACAGTCGATCATCATTTCATTGGCTTTAAAAGGATCGGCATCTATAAATATCTTCTTTATCTTTGAACAGTCGTCTATAAATTAAGAGCATAATAATTACACAAATATTCAAATATCTTTACGATGAAATGACCGATAAAACTAAATCATCAGGATCATCTCACAGAATTTAATGTGACATTTTAAGTGAAAACGTTGTATTCGGTTTTCACGGTGTCTTTAGAGTTTATTGCGGTAAGAAATGATAAAGTGCGAATAAAAAAGGATCCGAAATGAAATTATCAAAAAGAACCATATAACGTGGCTTTTACATTGATATTCTAACATTGTAAATTAAAAGAAAAACAAAAATAAACACAATAAAGCACTTATGTTTGGTAGCTAATTGTAAACAGAGAAACATGGCAAGGATATTTTACGGACGGTTCGTTTTCGTATACATTAACTTATTGTTATTTTTAGTGTGTAAACTCATCCAACAGTACACAAAATGTGGAACATAGTCACCCAGACCAACAAACAAGTGGGAATTTTACATTTAGAATATAAATCCAATTTGTGTATATTTACCAGAAGGTATAATTGAATCTGCCTCGAGATGAGAAATGACAGATGGCTCCTTGATGCATCTTGTAATCTCCTGACTGTAGAACAACAATCTTTCCTCAACTTCCATTTTATCTGGTCTCCTTCCTTTCCCAACCTACTGAACGCATTTTAAAAAAATATTCTTATCATTCGGCTAGAGTTCCTTTCATAAATTAGGTAACATGTTTTTATTATTCCTGAATTTCTTGGTTTATGTATTATTTGCATAAAAAATAAATTCAGATTTGACACTATACATGCTATAAATGAACACAACGTGTTCAGTGTTTTTTTTTAATAAAACACAAAATACTTTTATTAAATCAAGCAGTATACTAATGTGCCTTTAGAAAAGGTAACATTTGCCGATTCTATCTAAACCTAAAGTAAGTGACAGTGTAAAACACTAATATTCAAATAAACATATGTTTTTATTTGTTATATAATACTCCATTTGAAATCCATGAGACTTGAACCATAAACACTACTTTTACAAGCCTTTCTTTCAACTACAGTCATACTTTGATTGATTTCTGACTTTTATCATTTCTTTTTTCGAAATATCAAACGACCGAATTTGATCAATATTACAAAAGTATACTTATATCCCAGTGTATAAACTAGTCAACTTTCAAGGTACAAGTTTAATTATATATGCTCCCATGAAAATACGGTGATCGGAAGCAGCAGACACATTAAATTTCAAGACATGGTACTCATTTGTAAAGATTTTTTTTAATCCACTCTGGCATTAGCAGGTATTCTATAGATAAATACTTAACACTTTATATTCACTATACAACTATTTGTTATCAGTCTAAATCTTTACACGGCAAGTTTTTATCACATTGCAAATAAATGATACATAAAACCAATAACATAATAATATACAAATTATGTACAGATATGGTATTAAACTTGCTCAATAGATTCAGTAATGGACCTACACGAATATATTCTATATATCACATGCCCAAAAATACGGTTTAAAGTGCAGAAAGAATCATTTTTCATTGACGCGCCTATAGTGTCACGCAAACATTTATCCCGTCTTTACACGAAGTTTGTATAACGTGAATGTCGTTTACAATTTGTTAACAATATCGTACAAATGTTAATTGTTTATTTTGATATAAAATAAACCTTACACGAATAGTTAAAAAGTAAGATTTTACTTACACAGTACCTTCCAAGGAATATCTATCTGAAAATTGTCATTTTGCTTCCTCATACTATTTTAAGATAACCTATATATTTATCTACATTTTCTGAAAACCATGTAACCTACTTGTTTATCTATTTATAAATATTTTAACAATTCGCTTTTAACATCCGCTACATGATACCTATGAAAAAGGATATGTAGATATTGATTGCATAATAGGGTTACATCTTTGCATAAAAATGAAGTTTATGGCTGCCCGTGTACCTTAGTATGATCAACATTGGATTTGTAGTACAGGGACCGCTGTAATAATACAAATATCTTCCAAAATCATACAAGTTGCTCACGAGATATACGGAAGAATATAAAATGCTGTGGGCGCTAGCCAAGGGTTATATTTATGTCAGCAACGCTAAATCTTCTAGTATATCCCGTCAGCAACTTCCATAACGAATGTTTAAGTATGCATACTGTTATTGACGACAATTTCATAGAAAAAAAACAACACCTACTTAAGACACTATTAATTGAAGTGCCTTATATTACCATACGTGCGATGATTACGCAACACCGGAAAAGGATAACGTGAAGACAATCAACGGCTATGTAAACGCTGCACACTCAATGATTTTTCAAGTACAAAGTCATCATTGTGGTGTAACTGTTAACTAAGGAATAATATAACAACAAAAGCAAAAACAACCGTAAAGAAACCAGATTCTGTGTATATGGTTAAAAACTCTTCATTGCTGTGAATATGTGTAAAACAAACTCTTAAAGGATCAGGCATAATCAAGTTTTAACATCTTTTTAGAAATTCCCGAAAACTCAATTTTAGATGTTATTTTTAGTTTTAAATAAGTTGTCCCCAAGTTGTAAATTTTTTTGTTCCGTTGCATATTTTAATGCAAATTTCATCAAAGTTTTTAATTCCTTTGGCTGTTCATTGAAAACAATCAGATAATCTAAGATAAAAAATAAAATCTAAAAACTCATCGTCGAATTTTAAAATATGACGTGTTTTTTTTCTAATTCACATTCGACAAATTTAATGTGATTCATCAGCAAAGTCGTTTCCCGTCAAAATAAAATGTCCAGTAACATATCACTTTAAGCAGTTGAAAGTGAGTATTTGTAAATGTATCATGTTTTGGTCGATGATTCTAATTATTGTTTTTTTATTTGGTGACAAATAAGACAAATTGGGTGGTTTTTTTTTTCCATTTTGCGATATTATTTGCATTGTCAGCAAAATTATCCAAAATGATCCAACATAATATTACAATGTCTGTTCATATCGCTTACTCATATCTCCATTTTGATTCAATAAACAATCATTCCTACCGAAATATTTCATTCGCGCAGTGTATAAACAATTCTACTACCTGGTGTGGCTAAAACTCTCGAGAAAGGTATGACGATTAGAGGTAGTATGTGTTTATAATCGCAAGACAGGGTACAAGACTAATAGGGGAAAATTGCGAGACACATCAAAGTAATTTCGTATAGCTACTGTGATTCAGGTATGTAGTTACACTCTTAAAAACATCTATGAATTGAATAAAGCTATATATCTGTTCCCTGAAGATCACAGTTTATTTTAAAAGACTAATTCTAAAACGCTTATACGAAAAGAAAATATCGGTATGTTTTATCTTTTAGCGAATCGTCCATACTTGATATCATTTCAACCGAATTCAAAATAGCAACATACTATTTTATCCGGGAAGTTTTATTCTGTTTACGTTCAATTTTCATGTACATAGGTGTACCTTTAGAGATAAACAAAAGATCATGGTGATTGGTTAGATGCATGTGTCCGTATTCTATCCACATCTTTTGGAAACAAACGGCATATATACTCGTAAATATTTTATTATAACTCGATCATGCATTTCAAAATCTACACTTCGAAGCAAAAGCTCAATCACTGATTGATTTATCGGCAGAAATTCGGATCAGAGATTTCAAGAGTTGCACAGAATACTAAACAATTATGATAACACAGGCCATTTAACCCTGCCTAGCAAGATCACAGATTAGATAAATAAGCTAGAAAATTAAGATGAATTTGGATAAGAAGGGGTCTTCATTTAATATCAACAAAATAGTATTCGACATCACGCATCATATTCTCGTCTATTGTTTCCGATTTGCATATACCATTTGTCTTTCCAAACCCATTACTGTCAAAACAAGAGATCAAGAGTTCGTCGATTTTGTGAACTCAAAGGTCAATGGTCTATGTCTGTTTTCTATTAATGTAACGGCTTTCCTTTCTTAAGCTTGTAAAGGAAGTAAAAGAAAATATCATCTCAAAGGTAACATGTAAAATACATTTTTAAAACATCGTTTGAGGTAATGTCTTTTACCCCCATACACTTCTTTTCTTTCAAAGTTCGTAAGTTTTCTATAACTGTAACGGCTTTTCTTTCTTAAGCTTGTAAGGGTAGTAAAAGAAAATATCATTTCAAAGGTAACATGATGAAAAAAAAACATTTTTTTAAAACATCGTTTTAGGTAGTGTCTTTTACCCCAAATACTTCTTTTCTATCAAGTATCGTAAGTGACACATTGAAGGTTCCATAAAACTTCACCTGCCGTTAGAACACATCTGTTGATGTTTATAAATTTAACATTTGGCCACATATATGTCTTAATATTGAATTCTGCTTTAGCCAGTGTTCGGGGCGCGGACAAAGACGAACTTTCATCTTCAATCTATTGAACAGACTGATAAAACCGAGCCTGAATATTGCATGTGTGTTTAGATGTAGCCAGTTTATGGACGGTGGTTGTAAGTGAAAGCTACAGCTTACGACCCAAGCACCGAATTCAGCAGAATTCAACATTTGAACATAGAAAATGTAAAATTTTGAATTAAGAAAAAATCCGTACATGTTTGCATCAGGCGGTGATAATAAAACATTCAATGGGACACGTTCGTACTACACATAAAAAACGGCGTGAAGACCCCATTAAAAATCCGTTTGTCCTAAAGCCAAAAGAGAAGTTCTGATAAACATCAAAAAAGCGTCAGATGATTAATCAGGTCCGAATACAGTTAAAACGACAAATATATGAACAAAAGCATATTGTTTAAGGAACCAGGATCACGTTTCTTCTTCCTTAATTTGACTGTATACAATCAATCATTTAGATAAATGAACTGTTGATCTGTCCCTGTCTTATTTTTAGTGTTATTTATGATCAAATGGCCAAAATATATGTATAATAACTGTAGTAATAAAGTAATATTATCACTTGATTGATTTGTAACAGGCATGGTTTTGGCTGCCTTAAGCAATACCCAATTTCATAAAATATATGATTCCCTCGTTATGATATGTTGTTCATAAATTAGAATTTATTGCTATAAAAAAGGTATTTTTACATTATAACATATAACGTTTCAAATTATGTTCTTATTCATTTGTCCATATTAAAGAATTTTTCCCAATAAAATCAATATCATCATTATAAAAGTATCGGTATGTTATCGCATATTCTAAAATGCGGTTTTCGCCGCTTATAAAATAGATCCAGATTTTGAGTGATATGTATAACACAGGGCACTCAAAATCCAGGTATATTTCTATTCTAACACCTCAAGAAAAAAATACATGTATGGTTGGACTATATTTTTGGTGGTTAAATTTGTTTTCGTCTCAGAGTTTTTTAATAGCAACGTTCTTTAAAGGCTTTTCAAGTCGGTTGAAAACAACTCTCGTTAAATCTACCTTTTGTACAAACATTTTGAGAATAACAAATTTTGAAAACGTTGATTAAGTTTTTATGCTTATTTTATTTCTTTAATTTATATTTTTCAAGCGAAATACAGCGAAATACAGAGTATTTTAGTGAAATAAAAATAGTGAAATAAAAGTTTTATTTATTTAACTTTTTTGCAGCATTGAAATAGCGTACTTTTCTGACGGATTTTGCACGCGCTGTTAGGTGCTGCATTGTGACATCACGTAAACAACATTTCAAACGTCCGTACTGCGTTAATGACTGAATTAAATACTTTGGTTTTTTATTTATCGTCATTTCATGAACATTTTCTATAATTCTAGATAGTTTTTAGAGCAAAATACAATAAAAAGTTGTTTTATTTATCAAATTTCTTTCAAACAAAATGGCGCCGTCAGTGTGTCGGTTTGCAAATACGGATGAAAAAAAATAAGAACGGCGAATGCATTATCGTAGAATAACGCACGTTTCCGGCCTTCATTGTTTATTTAGAAGAATTTCCGATAGTGATTAGAATACTGGTTTATTGGATTTTGTGTGAAAAGAAATCTATAAAAAAAAAGTTTAAAAAAAATTCCGTTTCATTTAGCAATATTTTATGTCCTTGAAAAGTATTGATTCTTTAGTTTATTAAACAAAAGTTATTCTGACATATAATTCAATACTCTGTACATGTATTTCAACACCGTTCAATAGACATTTTATTTAAATAGAGGATATTTGTTAAGTTCAGTGTAAGATCGGAATATATTTCACCGAGTGAGCACCAAAATGTATATTTCACGAGTGGCGCAGCCACGAGTTAAATGTGAAATTTTGGTGTTCATGAGGTGAAATATATTTCGATCTTACACTAAACTAAACAAATTTTCTTTTTATTACATGCAATCAAACGTTAAAAAGGACATTTTTACCCAATAATCAATGAATAGCGCGCCAAATAATTATACAACGTGACGTCATTTACGACGTGACGTTATTATGTTGGTTTCTAGTTCTGTGTACGCTGGTATTTCACTGAAACAACGTAAGGGGCTTAAGGTAGCTCGCTACTTTCCGACCGAAATTTGACAACATCTCAGATCTTGATGATTTTTGGTATACATAAATATAGATATGTAAGCTTTACTTCTGCAGCATTATTTTACATATAAACAGCGTTACTATGACGTCAAAGCGTCCTCTATCGGTGGCGGCGAAATTGCGTCTTTTTTATCAATAAACCGGTCTGTTCTTATTAATTTCCATCCGATTTCCTTCGCTTTAATTTTATAATGTTCAGTAAATGTTTGTCTTTGAAATAATGTCTTTCTTTAACATTGCTTAATACTCTGCGATTCTACGTCATTTTTCTCTACATTCTGACGTCCATTTATGATACAAATATCGCGCGATATCGCAATAAAGATTGTAAAATAACAAAAATCAACACGGTGAATTTTGCTATAATTTTTTCAACATGTAGTGAAGTCATGAAAAGAAAATATTTATGCAATAAAAAATATAGGGTCAACCGTAAGATATTTTGCTATTACTATTTTAATATAAGATGAAGGATGAGTAAAACGTAATGATTTTGGTGACGTCAAATATTTTTTCTCAAGGAAATTGTCACGACTTTTCCGATGAATAGTATACTGACTGGAATTAAAATGTGTGAAAACCATGAACAACATTTGTATTTAGACATATTCCGTAAAATGTTCTTTTAAAAGTCCTGTCAGGTGCCCGCATTTCGATGAACAACTTCAATTATATACATGTACAACAAATCAGGGTATGACTGTCTGCAAAAGTTGGTATCAATCTCTAAAAAAACTGAAACGAATGGTTATCAATACCTCGAGGACTGAAAGACAATTCAGAATATTGAAAGATATAATTAAAAGACCACCTAAGTGGAAAATATAAAAAAACATAAATTTTGCAAAGAATGTCAGAAAAAAAGAATGAAAAAGGCTGGTGCAGTCGCAGTGTCATCATGTTATGTGTATCTCGGTACTACATAAACTTCCATGTTATCATACGTATGTAACATTTTCGAATTGTATATATCAGATAGTAGGAAATGATTTAAAAATGTATGATCAACTCGAAGTAACAACGATTTGTACGTAAGTCATGATTCACTGGTAGTCTTTATTATATAAATCTAGCAGACATTTATTTTAAAACTTTTCTACTCGTATAAAAATTTATTTGAGCCGCGTCACGACAAAACCAACATAGTGCGTTTGCGACCAGCATGGATCCAGACCAGCCTGCGCATCCGCGCAGTCTGATCAGGATCCACTCTGTTCGCTATCAGTTTCTCTACTTATTAAAATGTTTAAAAGCGAACAGTATGTTGGTTTTGTCGTGACACGGCTCATTTATTAACAGCCATCAGTTATTCTTTTTTCTCTCGCAGCTAAATACTAGTAAATAATATTCCTGCACTAAGCGTGAGACTCAGATTTAAAGGAGGAATCACGTTCTCATGTTATGGCTTGAATTTCTCACGCATTTCACATAATTACAGATATTCTTATTTATTTAAAACTCGCTGACTCGCGGTATGCGTTTACTAGCGCATCTTTGAGGCGACCTGAAGCCGCGATCATTTCTCGATTCGAGGCGAAAGATCCGTTGATTTATTTTGTATGTTCATAAGCGGATTATTTTGCATATTAAAATTAATACAGATTCCCTTGTATTGAAGACGATCATGTAGGATCCTCAAGTTGTGTGAATATGGTTTTCGGAGAAGCTCGTTTTTGTCTGCACATAATACAGTGCTATGTAGAGCCTATGAAAATAATGAACTATGCATTTTATGTTTCATATCTTCTTATTTTTTAATATTGGGTTTTAACAAAACCAGTGTTTCTCACAGTATCAACTTCTCTACGGAAATAAATGACAGGAGTCCGAGGTGGACCTTGAAACATTTCATACACAGTAAACAATTCTAAAGGATAATCTATTAGTACAATACGCAATCGTGTCTCGAATCATGCCCTCCGAATTCAGCGTAAGACCACTTTACCCATTACAACGTGGCAACAGAAGAATATTCAAAGTTAAAAACCTGATTATGATCTCCCTTAATAAGGCAGAAGTCCACTTTACTGTTTACATCATAAACACTTGTTTTTGGTGTATGTTTTCGTTTTCTTTTTGTTTTTTTTTTCTATTTTTTTTAAAGCAAACTGTATTGTATTAAAAAAATGAACACGATAACGTCAACATAATACATAATTCGTATTCAGTGGTAACAAAAGTTGCACAAGTTATTTAATAATTATATTTTGTATTTAATTAAAATATACAGGATAACATCTACAGAGAAATGCCCTTTGTTGCCTAGAGCGGTTGCTCTACAGAGGTAAAATGTACTGGAGCCCTTTAGAAATAAATAATATTTTGAGGGTCGCTTTGTTATACTGTAATGAAAAAGCGGTAAGTAGGTATACGTAAATCCGAGTTCCAAAACGTTTTATAGGTTGTCATTTACTAATTATGACATTTTAATTAGATTATAATTATATAATCTATGTATTGCACATACTTAAAAATGGAAGGCAAAAATAAATATTTTTGTTTCTTGTACAGTTTGTTTTTAAATATTCTTAACATATTTTAATATTATTCCTGAATTTAATGTATCACTTATTTCGGCACATTTGTATGCATATCTATTTGAATTGTATTTTTACGATGTGTTTTGACACCGAGGCTCGTCTGACTGTATGTGATTTTATGAAAGTGTTTAAAAGCTGAATGTAACTTAAAATAAATATTATAACAGGTATAAGCTAAGCGACCTAATATTCTTACTTCATTCATACAGCAATATGTGAATCTTTTTTTTGCGCTGAAACTAGTTAATTCATATAATAATATAACACTTTTCACTCTTTCATTACTAACATCAAAATATAAAATAAAAATTAAAAGATGTTTGAGACTGCGTCCTGCAAATTAGAAACGTATTTACGATTAAACATTGTAAATTTGCTGATCTAGCGCATGCTTTCAATGAGAAAATAATCAACAATTTAAAAAATATACATTTCATCAAGTTCCTGTGTTGTTTATAGTTACAATCGTAATGTTTGACGTAAGAAAATTGTTAATTGGTATTATTCTTTGAACTCCAACGTCTATTAACGCCACCAAAACCATTACGTTACATTCCCTTTATTTTATTTTAAAACAGTAATAGCAAAATATCTTACGCGTTGACCCTATATTTTATTGCATAAATATTTTCCTTCACTTTCTCGCTACACGCTCGAAAAATTATAGCAAAGTTCACCGTGTTGAATTTTTTTTTATTACACAATCTTTATTGCGATATTGCGCGGTATTTGCATCAGATATGGACGTCAGAATGTAGAGAAAAATGACGTAGAATCGCAGACTATTAAGCAAATGTTAAAGAAAGATATCATTACAAAGACATTCATTTACTCAACACTATAAAATTAAAGCGAAGGAAATCGGATGAAAATTGATAAGAACAGATTGGTTTACTGAGAAAAAAGACGCAATTTCGCCGCCACCGATAGAGGGCGCTTTGACGTCATAGTAACGCAGTTTATTTATGAAATAATACTGCAGAAGTAAAGCTCACATATCTATATGTTTGCATACAAAAAATCATCAAGATCTGAGATGTTGTCAAATTTCGGTCGGAAAGTAGCGAGCTACCTTAAATTCAAAACAGTTAAATTATCAAATTGATAATTTCACTGTTTCAAACCGTGAAATTATCAGTTTTAATTCACTGATACATTTCTATAAACCATCGAAAAGCATGTAATAAATAGCGTTCATTTAACACTTTTATTTAGATATACATTTGTATTTCATTTTATTTGTTAAAATATCGTTTGTTTAAATTTAATATTTTATTTAGAAATCGTTTATACATTTTGTTTTAATACCAATTATTTAACATTTTACTTATCAATTATTTCGTATTGTACTTAAACATCGTCCAATTAACAATTTATTTAAATATCGTTCATTTAACATTTTATTTCAAAATTTTTAATTTAATATTTTATTTAAATATTATATTTTAATATCGTTGATTTAAATTTTATTCTAATAATGTTCAATAAACATTTTGTTTGAATATCATTCATTGAATATGTCTAGTCATTTTAAGTAGATCGTATTTGTTGAACATTTTATGTAATTTGAAAAATTATAAAACACACCACAATCACATATTTCACGGTACATGTATGTCGTTCTCAATTACTATTTTATTTGTTCAATTTATATGTCCATACCAAATGACCTTAGTGTAAAGTTATGTATAACAATTGAATGTACATGAAATCATGATATTTACTGTTGATATTTGTAACTTTGTCATTTCTTGTATATACATAAAGGGACACACAATATCAAATCCAGCTTGAATTAGTGCCATATGAGCTAAGCAAATGAATTACTTCTTACACCTGTTAATATGACTCTAAACACATTTATATCCGGTGCACGGTCCCACGCCGGTTTAATGAGACACATAATCAATACGGACTATTTTTAGATATCAAGTTTACGCTATCGGATAGCGTATTATCTTATAACCATATTACAAATAACTAGATATTTTACGCAGGCCGAATCGGGTCATCCGATTTTTCGAAAACGAAACAAAAAAAACAAACCCACACAGAAAATTATCCTTGATTTTTCGAAAAAAAAAACAGAACAGTTAAACTATAATAAGTTAAATGAATATCTTGGTTATTGAAAAGGACTTAATCCCGGAAAGGAAACAAAAATAGGTATCAAACAATTTATTATGTTAAAGATTAACCATGTATTTTTGGAATTGAACTGTTAAATATTATATGTATTTTATGCTGTTAATGTCCGCTTGCTTTACGTACGAAACTTGGTACAGGAAACTATGGGTAACAGTAAACTGTATTCATTCTGCCTATAATGTTAGCTACATTAATTTCTTGTGATATACTTTCGAACTCAGGAATCACAGAAGAAATGCCATGTCGTTGGTAGGTCTTGTAACTATAAACACGTTAAATACATCAGTGAGAAATGTTTCCGGTACAAGTTTTCATTATGATTCACACTTCCGAGAAACCGTCAATGTCGGTTTTGTTTTGATTACCGAAACTGGACAGTAAATACTAAATGTTTTGTTTTATGAACATAATTTTGCCACCACAAACGATGTTTAAGGGGCAAATTGGAGTCAGTTTGTCTGTCGGGCCATCCGCCAGCCTTTCCACTTTATGGTTTTCGATCGATTACTAGAGTTACTGTAATCAAACTTGGTAAATAGCAACCTTATGTGAAAACCCCAGTTGGTGTTGCTTTTGTTTCTCCCTGGGGTCAAGGTCACTGTAACTAAAATAATATTGAAAAATAGTTTCCGGACAATAATTCGAGATAGAAATGAGATATTGTAATCAATCTCTGAAAAACATGGTTTCTGGACAATAACAAGAGTAAGAAATGAGATATTTTAATCAAACTTTATATACAGCAATTAATATGAAGAACCTGGTTGGACTGCTTTAAGACTCCCTTGGGTCAAGGTTCATGTCTCTGTTACTCGATAGAGAAATGGCGTTCGAAAAATAACTAACGTTAGGAATGAGATATTGTAATTAAAACTTGGTATCTATCAAGCTTATGTTGAGTACTTGAATGGGATTGCTTTTGAACCAATTAGGTCAAGGTCAATGTCATACTTACTGAAAAATAGAAAAAAAAATGGTTATGGATGATCAATAGAGTAAGGAATGAGCTCTTGTAAAGAAACTTGGTATTTAGTAAGCTTATAAAGTGACCTAGTTTTGGGACTGTTGTTGGACCCCTTGGTTCAAGGGTAAGGTTACTGTTACTAAAAATAGAAAAATTGTTTTTGGAAGATTACTTAAGCAACTTATTTTTATGATTATTGGTACACATATGAAACAATAAAATACAGACCGAGTTTATTTTTGCTTCAGACTACTTATTTGTTTCAAAAGTTACGGTTGTTGGTGGGGGTATGAATCACTATAAGTGATAGCTCTAGTGCTTGTTCAGAGCTGGGCCTCACCAGGCCTTTTAACGATTTTTTTATAAAGGAAGGTGCTGTTGTCATTACAGCGTGTTTGTTTCAGGAATAAATAATTATTTAAACAAGTTTTTATCATATGATGTAAATTTTTATATGATGTAAAGAATATTGCAAAACGTATAAGAACGTGCTAATAATTCAACGAAAAGTCAGTTGAATTATTTTTTATTTAAAGATACATTATCCTCAGAAACGAATGAATATCTGCTTCTGTAGAAATTGCAACATGAGTTTTATCATGTTTAAAAAATGGTTTCAAAGTATGTTAGATATATGTCACTTGAAAAAGTAGCTCTAAATGTCAAAGTATTGCAAAATGTAATCAAAGTAATATTTTGACTTCCATTCAAAATACGAAATCACTATACCTGAACTTATTGTCAAAAAGCATCAGAAAAAGACAGGAATCAGATATTTGACCAAGAAGTAACTTTTTGGAAACTATGAAAATACACCAAAATAAAATAAAAAAGATATTTTAGGAATAAAAGATAAACGTATTTCTGGGACATTAACCCATTACTTCATATACATGCGTTTTAATGCCCCCTTTCCCCCTTTTGAGGCCTAAAATAGTGAGAGAAAAAAAATCCTATTTATGCCCCCAAATACTTGTTTTTGTTTGGGAAATGTTGTTAAAAAGTGAGCACTTATTCGGCGCCGCACCTTATCATAAAATTTACAACAGAGGGGTGCGAGAGAGGACTTGTGAGAGGCTAAAATGGCCTCATGTGAATCTTAACGGAACGTGTAACCAGTGCTGAAAAGCCTTTGACTTCATTGAGAGGTTACAGCACTTTGAAGTCAGTTTTGATGGAAAAAATCATCGCAAAATATTTTTGGCAATTTTGAGATGTCCTCTCGTTGCCATGGTAACAGGAAATATAAGATTGAGCATGCTGTTACAAAGGCTATGGTTCAGTCAAAATTTGTGCCAAGTTTGATCAGTAAGCACTGAAGCACTTTTTATAGTTTTATAGCAATTTGAACTTGTAACAGGAAGTTTTTCAACGAACACGGTGATGGGTTAATATAGTGTTTACCCAGCAATAAAATACATTCTTTTTAAAAGTGTAAAGAAAGAAGTAGATGTATAATTTAAAAGTTGTGACGAGATATTTGTGGAGAGAAAAAAAGAGAAAGTGTTTGAGTTTATTTTATTTAGTATATTTGTTCAGGTCGGTCAGAAAAGTAGGTGAAATGGCGGTGGAAGCTAGAGTGTTACTCTTCAGTCAGGTGATTTCAAGATGCATCAAGGATCCATCCGTCGTAACTCGTCTCGATGCAGATTTAGTAATACCTTCTGGTAAGCAATCAACCAATATAACTTATTTCTGAATAATATCTTTGACATAAATTTCTATAATTCCCGGATCCATTTTCTGTAAAACTTGTTCTAATTCATTCTTGTCCTATTGTTGCTTTTCTTGTAGTTCTGGTTGTTGTTGATGATGTTTGAATTTTATTGTTTGTTCGGAGAAGTTGTTATATTTTGTTTTGTTCCTTTAGATCTTGGCCTATATAATGAAACTTGATAGTTATCTATGTATCAGGCCTGCCACTAGCGGACACAGATCGCCTGAACCACCATGAATAGTGAGGAACATGTTGTTCACAGTCAGAAGACTCCGCCACTTGGCCATTATAATTTGCTTCGTTCGGTGCAAATCTAATTTTAGCTATTTTTATCTGAAAACTTTGTGAACAAAAAAGCGCAACAGATGCTTTTTAACAAATTAATAATATACTTGATTTGAACTTATAGATGAGTGTTCAAAGATAAAGAAGATGTATACAGATGGCGATCCATTTAAAGCCAATGAAGAGATGATAACCTGTCTTCAAAAATCGTCTGCAAGAGGGAAATGGAAATCGTTTTTAAATGCTTTAGATAATTTAGGTAGGATATTAACGTGTTATTAACGTGTTAAATATGTCATTCATGCAAAATTTAGTTGTTTTGTTTTTCTTTATAATCAACAGAATAAAAATACCGTAAATGTAAAACTTTGCGAAAAGGTTTATCTTTACTTAACAATATAAACATCCAAATTGCCTTACTTAATAACATTTCAAAACAAATACCGGATAAATGCTATTTAAATTTATTTTTAATTAGAGTACAAGTATCTCAAGTCCTTACTGGAAACAGACGGTAAACCAAATGTGAATGATGACCGTGGAGGGGCAATGATAAGAATGTTTACACCTTACCTAGAAAGTACAATTGATGCAATGGAAATCGTTGTTGAGCTTTTTTCAAGAAAGGTGATTAATGACACGGATTTCGGAATTATTCGTGCAAAAAATCAAACAATGGGGAACACATATGCAACAATCGTACTTTTAGAGAGGATGCAGTGCAGACAGGCTCCAGCCGAATGGTATTATCAATTTCTTGATGTATTGGTTCATAAAAACCTAAAACACATTGTTGAAGAAATTGAACCGGACTTCCTACGATGTCCCGAGCAATTCCGATTTTGTAATGGTAAGTTTAAGCAAGGTGTCTCCTCTAAACGTTTACCAATAAATTGCATATGTTTGTGTTTCCCTTTCAAAATTCAATTTTATTTAGTTCCGCCCATTGTTTTCTCGTTTAGGGCACACGCTTTTTATTACTTGGGGACCATACGCCGCTCTTTATGGAATGGCACGGAAGTGTCACATTGAAGGTTCCATGATAACTGCCGTATGAACACATCTGCGGATGTTTCTAAATTCAAAATTTTACTATGTCATGTTTAAATGTTGAATTCTGCTTAAGCCGGTGCCAGCGGGCGTGGACGGTGACTTGCACTTTCCAGTGCCGTCCATGAACAGGCTCAATCAAACCGAGCCTGCAACATTTTCAATTTTGCCGTGTTGGGCTTTCTTTAGGGATTCTGTATTTATCTATTTCAGTATGTTATGACTTAAAGGGTATATATCTATATCAATATAAGATTTAATACTTTAAAGATTTACTATGTTCAACTTTGGGATATATACTATTATGAAATGTATTGGAATCTGGTAAATTCTTACCGCATATGTATTTGAATAAGAGAATGTGCAAACTATGTATGAGGAGCTTCATTTCTTTTACTGACTCAAGTTAATTTAGCAGTATTTTAACATAGCTGTTGTGTTTTAATGACACTTAGTATTCATACTGTGTATTAACATATTGTGTGTAGGGTTTAGTATCTCTAGTACTTTAAGTATCAAGTTTGAGAATAATATCACGTAATAGTCTTGAATGGCAAGAGTAATATCCATATTAAGTAAAATGTTATTTGATTTATTTGATTTCGCATTTAATTTTTTGTGTCGCCTCTACGGAGTAGTGGCGACATATAGGGATCACTTCTCCGTCGTCTGTCTGTCCGTCTGTCTGTCCGTCTGTCCGTCACAAAACTTGTCCGGACTACTCCTCATAAACTACTGGTGCAATTTCATCCAAACTTTACAGGAATGATCAGTACAAAGTTTAGTTGTGCATATTGTCAGCATTTACCGGTTCAATGATTTTTGACAGAGTTATGGCCCTTTAATAATTTTTATTTTTAAAGTTTTGTCCGGACTACTTCTCTTATACCACTAATGCAATTTCAATGAAAACTTTACAGGATTGATTTGTAGCTCAAGTTCCTTGCGCATATTGCACGGGTTTTCCGGTTGAATGATTTTTGGCGAGTTATGGCCCTTTGATTAAAAAGGTGTTTTTTTCTGTGTGTTGCCAGATACACAAAAGCTTGTCCGGACTACTCCTCAAAAAACTACTGCTGCAATTTCATCCAAACTTTACAGGAATGATCAGTACCAAGTCTAGTTGTGCATATTGTCAGTATTTCCGGATTCAATGATTTTTTGTCAGGTTTATGGCCCTTTGATAATTTTTATTTTTAAAGTTTGTCCGGACTACTTCTCTTATACCACTAATGCAATTTCAATGAACTTTACAGGATTGATCTGTAGCTCAAGTCCTTGCGCATATTGCACGGGTTTTCCGGTTGAACGATTTTTGGCCGAGTTATGGCCCTTTGATAAAAAGGTGTTTTTTCTATGGTTGCCAGATACACAAAAGCTTGTCCGGACTACTCCTCATAAACTACTGGTGCAATTTTATCCAAACTTTACAGGAATGGTCAGTACCAAGTCAAGTTGTGCACTGTCCGTCTGTCTGTCTGTCCGTCCGTCTGTCACAAAACTTTTCCCAACATAAAATTGGCCATCATGAGGCGACACATGTGATTACTGATCGCTCTTGTATTTGTGTTTGATGGTTTGAATAATAATGCATTTCTGATGTATGACGCAAACGTCATGCACTCTCTATATTTGCTTCTTCAAATTATAATTTAAAATAATTGCCTTTAAGACGAATGGTAGGGTATGTGGACTTTTGTCATTTTTAGCATGAAAACGCAAATATGTACGTATTGGTAACTATGGAGTGTTGCGGCTAAAATATAGATTCATTTATCATAGATCATATTCTTCCGTAATTAGATGTTGAATATATTCGGGCATTATTAAATGTTAATCTCAAGTATGATAATATTCAATAATCCACTAAATATAACTTAGTAATATATTTATAAACGATTTTGCATAAAAGTTTTTAAATGTCTTTCATTTTTTCCGTAAATCATCAGAAAGACAAAGGGAATGCGAAGGAAATGTCCCAATTAATGAGTCATACGATACAGAAGTGCCAGGATGCAGCACCGCTGGCGACGTATTTGAACACATGCTGACAGGTATTGTGTAAACAATTGATCAATTAAATTTAAGTTTGTTTGTTTGTTTTTGTTGTTGTTTTTTTTTGGGTTGTTGTTGTTTTTTTCTTGTTTGTTTTTTTTCAATTTATGGGCGCATGCGTGCACGTGTCTGCTAATTAAGTGTTCGGGTATCCCCGGAAGAGAAAACGCATACAGAGTGATATTTTAACATTTCACAACGGTTAAACGATTCACTTCTCCCACTTTGAAGTTAACATCTAAAATGCATTAACCTCAATAATTTGACAGAAATTGACTCATAACAAAAATTTCAATTAAGACCGGGAGAATTTCCTTACGCTGACATTTTCATTTATCGAAGGAATTTTTATGTTAGATGTTTAAGGCCAAAAAAATTAGTTACCAAGAAAAGGACTCTTTAAGTACGGACTTTGCATATATACATATAAAATATATATTATTAAATTCCAAACCATATCATGCTGATATTTCCAAATCTTAACATTTCTTGTTCCAGATTGCGGAGAAGCTGCTGAAGAAATGGACGAAAGTGTCCCTGAACCACTGGACGATGAGGAAAATGATCCTGACTCGTCTAGTGATTTGAAAACAAAAGAGACAAACGATTTTAGTATTTCCAAAGATGGGCTGTGCAAATACACAAACACACAAAACAGTATAATAAATGAGACAGAATCTGGAGGCACATGCGCTTTAAACAAATTAGCATTTCAGGCACTTGGGACAAGACCAGCCCCAGAAGGACAAGCGTTATCTTGCCCTGACTCTACTGGCCAAAACGAAACGGAACAAACAAGTGAAGAGGAAAAACAAAATGATTCCGTTGAACTTGGTAATACGAGTAAAAATGTTCTTTAGTTTAACTATGAAAATTGAAAATAAGGGGAGGGAATTAAAACAAGTTGTCTGCTATGACACAACGTTCTTTCAAACTACTTTATAAGTAAATAGCATAATTTTGACAAGGGAAAAAATACATTATATATGATCTGGTAAGACAAACATCTTAAATATTGGCTTAAGCCATATACTGGGATGTTGCATTCTTCATTTGTTTTAATTTAAATGTTTTTCGTGTTGAAGCACACGTTTTCTTCTGATTTTGATTAAAATTGTTAAAAGATTTGTTTAAATTTAGATCGTACCGTCATAGTGAATGTAAGTAAATATGTTTAATTTCATACAATTTATTCGGTATTTGCAATAGAGATTGTAATTTTTATCTGAATTTAGCAGCGTGGGCACTAAAAAATGATTTATGTTTGACCTCAAAATTTATTTAGTTAACTGGCAAATACTAAAGATATTACTTGCAACAATACCGGTATGTTTTGTTTGAATTTTAGTATGATATGTTTGTATTTTCTATATGTTTTGATCGATAGAAAAGACAGCATCTGTAGTCAGTGATGAATTTGTAGACACAAATGATGAAACTGGTGTGAAAACAGAATCAGACTTAGAACACGTTAACAAAGGTATGGCTGTTGATACTAAACGAGAAGAGTTTTGATTGTATATAATATTAATTTTTTTATTATTTTAAAAAGTAACATCATTTGCATTGAGTTGTAATAAGTACATTGTTTTCAGTTAGTCTTTTAAAATTGCATTCGTGATTTTTCATTATTGTTGAAATACAAATGTGTACGGTATTTAAATTATTCATTCAAGATGAAATTTTTGTGTTTCCACCAATGTCGTGAAACAATCCTGGTGTTAATAATGTTGCAATTTAGTATCTTAACAAGAAAGTAAAATTTAAAAAAAAATGAAGAAGTAGATGAACGTCTGTCCGTACGTCCTTTCGCATTAAGCTTGTCCGGCTTTAACAGGTTACACTCCTGGGGGAGTTCAACCAAACTTCACGGGACCGATCAGTGCCAACTCTAGTTGTGGATTTCTCCGGCATAGTTCACTATGCTGTAGAGCTGTCCGGCTTTCGCAGATCAAACAGCTGGTATGATTTAAAAGTAACTTCACAGGAGTAGTCAGTACCATACGTAGTTGTGTATATCGCGGGCATGTTCTGTTTCGCTGCACAAAAACCAGGGCTATAGATAAAAAAATCTTGTCCAGCTTTCACAAGTCAAACTGCCGGCGGGATTTTGACATTTCTTCGCAGGAGTAATCGGTACCATCCCTTGTCGTGCATATAAAAATTGCCACTAGAGCTAAAAATAAAAACAATATTGTCCGGCGTTCACAGGTCAAACTGCTGGCGAGAGTTCGACATTACTTCCCAGGATTGATCAGTACCATACCTAGTTCTGCATATCATTGGCATGTTCCGCTCGCTACACATTATAGCCGCCAGAGCTTTGAATAGAAAAATCTTGTCCAGATATCAGAAGAAATCAGTACCATACCTTGTTGTGCATATGACCGGCACGTTCTGCTTCATTGCACAAAATGGGCGTCAGAGTTAAAAAAGAACAAGACAAACTGCTGACAGGATTCAATTTAACTTAACAGGAGTGATGAGTACCAACCATAGTTGCGCATATCACTGCCGCTTCACTGCAAAAAATGGCCGCCACAGCTAAAAATAGAAAACAATGTCCAGCTTTTAGAGGTCAAACTCCTGGGGGAATTTTAGCGATCACAGGAGTGATCAGTACCAAACTTAGTTGTGCATATCGCCTGCACGTTTTGCTTCGTTGCAGAATATGGCCGTCAGAGCTAAAACTAAAGAGATATTGTCTTGATTTCACAGGTCAAACTGCTGATGGGATCCTTAGATTACATACAAGAGAGACATATATGTTTTTCTGACAAAAAACCCTTCTAGTTTAAGTACTGCTTTAAATGGTCAAACATAATTGTACAACATATTTTTCTTTATATATTTTAGATGGACAGCCGTTAGCTGAGAAATTATACCCTTTCCAAAATGAGCTGGCAGAAAAGGCATTAGCTGGAAAGAACACTATAATATGCGCCCCGACAGGGAGTGGCAAGACATGGGTAGCCACGCATATCATCGACAGACACTTAAAATCGGCTGTAAAAGGTAATGAGTTGGTTTTCTTTTTAGTTTTTATAGTTATGTTTCTTTGAATGAAAGTTAGTATCATAAGAGTAGCAACATATTTAAGTTTATCTTTTGATTCATTCGGAATAGTGAATATATAGTAACGTCGAATTATTGATTTGGTACAAAAAGGATTTTCATACACCATTCAACTGTGCAACGAAGTATTATTATGAGCTTATATACATGTATAACGTATCATTTTATCAATTTACCAGGACAAAGTAAAAGAAAAGTAGTTTTCATGGCAAGAAATGGAGTGCTTGTTAAGCAACAAATGGACTTTATATCAAAAGAATTGACATATGCAAATGTAAGTGAAATATGATTAATTGTATTTGTTTTGTAACTAAACGTTTTTTCTGGTATTTTTATGGTATTAACAAAAATATCCAACTGCCATTTTAAGTAAATTTAGCAAAGATTCTGCATATGCGGAACCTTCTTATTTTACAAAAATGCACACATTTGTAAAATGATGTCCATTAAAATATTAACAAATATGTCACGCAACAAACAGTTGTTAAACAAGAGCCAAATATAGACCCATATAAAGTACCCTTTCTCAAGTTACATCATCTTCGGATTACTATCATACATTGGTATTTTTATCTGTAAAAACATGAAATTCCTGACCTCAAAAAACTATTGGGTATATTTGGTGTCAAAGAAAATGTTCCCAATCTAGGGAAGGGGGCATTATGGTTTGTAGTAGACTTACCAAACGGTGGAGAGTAGGGGCATCCGTGTCCTATGGACAAAGTTCTAGTTATTGCTCAGAATGACTCGACCTTTTTAAGAAAGAGAAACCTTGAGTCAGTATACAGTTTTGATGCATAAAATTAATAAATTATTATGTTCAAAATTCTATTAAATAAGAGAAGTATGATCAAGTTCAAGGAACTTCAATCTTGGAAATATTTTCCTTAATTCTACTTTCCCGTGTGTCATTTGTATTGCATTGCAGGTCAAACACATTGAAGGCAATACGGAAGAATCAACGATGATGAACGCCTTTCTCGAAGACTACGACATTTTTCTATTTACACCACAAATTCTCGTGAATAATCTAAACAGTGATATAAAAGATTTGTCGGTATTTTCACTGATGATACTTGATGAATGTCACCACGCTAGAGGCGAAGAACCATATAACACCCTGATGAAGCATTACCTGGAGCAAAAAACTAATGGAGTTGCAGGATTACCACAGGTAGATTATCAGGAATTATGTTGGAAATGACTTACTTATCCATCAGGTTTTCCATCATGATCGCCGTATGAACACATCTGTGGATGTTTCTAAATATGCAACATTTCAGCATTTTCGTGATTGAATGTTTAATTCTGCTTAAGCCGGTACTAGGGAGCGTAGACAGTAACTTGCACTTTCAATTACCGTCCACGAACAGGCTCAATCAAACCGAGTCTGCAAAAATTTAAATGTTGCCGTGTTTTAAGGATTCTGTTTTTCTCTATATTATTTTGTTTATAAAACTTTATGACATTGTTTTAAAATGACGATAAAAAGTTTTTTAACACCATGTGTGTATTAATAATAAGAATCTTGATACCTTTGCTAGATCATTGGGCTGACAGCATCTATTGGTACTGGCAGAGCTAAGTCAGAACAAGATGCACTTGATCATATTTATCGATTGTGTGCAAGTTTAGATGTAAGATGTTTATCTACAGTAGAAAAGCACAAAGAAGATCTTGCTAAACACTTCAGCGTTCCAAGTGAAGGTTTGTCATATATTTGTTATACTTTTTGTGTTAAAGGTCAAATATGTTTTGCGCCGGCCGTTAATTTGATAATGATTCTTCTCCCGTCCCTTATATATCAAAGTTAACATGGTATTCCAACAATACTTTTGTCTTTTTTAATGTTTTATGCTTCATTGAACCAAATAATCCATACACTTTCTACAATACTTTTCAATGTGAACTAATGTGCATGTCTAACTATTAAAGCATCAGACAAATTAACCGATGTATACGTACAAAGTTGATACGAAAACAAAATGTAATATGTATACAGTTTTGTTTCTTAACGTTCATGACATTAGTTTTACTTTTTATTTTACTAAGGGACCATATGTAACTGTTCAAGAAAAGGTACAAAAGTATCAAATTGAAGATAAAATGAGCATTGCCAAATGACACATCTGCACTAAGTTATCACTTTTTTTACTTTAAATGAGTTGGCGTGAACGGTAACTTGCATATACAATTGTCGTCCATTAACAAGCTCAGTGAAAATGACCCTACAGTATCTTTTATTTTGCCGTTTTGAAATGCATGTAAAATTTTACTTAGATTGTCTCAAAACTATAATATAGTTACGTTAAAAGTTAAAATTATGTTATCATTTTTTAAGAAAAAATTGTCATGAAAATGCGACCGACAGATCCTTGCAGAAGTATACTCCTTGAAGCAGTCAAGAAAACAGCGGATGTTCTCGATGGTAAATTCAAGCTTATTATTGGAGTTTTCAAAATTATCTTAATCTGTTTGAAACAGCATTGCAGCATTTCAGAAGTGACATTCAATGCCATGATAAGATTAAATATGATTTGTAAAATTCTATATTTTCCTTTTGTTTCTAGTAGGAACTTTTAGCTGAATTATTGTGTGTATTTTTCTTCATAGATTTAGCTTTGATGGAACCAAAATTGATCACATTAATGCACAAGTGCCCTAAAGATGTAGAAGCAAAAGCATACGAGTTATGGGTTGCTTCTGTAATAAATGTTGCCGAATCACTCTCTGGTGGAGAAGGGAGGGATATTGCAACTTGTGCAAAATATCTTCAGGTACGTAGCGACACATGCTAGAATAAACGTTATATTATAAAAGTAAGTAATCTCTACAAATTTAGAAGCTTGTTTTTACTGATCGAATTAATTTATATCACAATTATATTAACATCTGCAACATTTTCAAAATGATCGTTACTCTGCATTTACATTATTTGGGCCTTTGCATTAACGAATGCATAAGAAAACGTGATTTTAGTGTTAGTGTTTCTTGATATGTGTTTGAGATCTCTATTAGCCATAGTGATTTCACTTTAAAAGTGAATACATAAATTCCTCTCGGGCTTTAAATATTTCAAGTGAAACACACTTATTTTTGTTTTCTTTGAAACTATTAATTACTGCTACGTTATGATATGTGTAATCAACGGGTAGAAGGGATTTCTAAGATTTAAAAGACCGGTAACATTGGTTGTGTAACTAACTATTTGTCGATAATATATATCTACACTAATTGAATATTGTGTCATATAATATAAAATTCATTTTTTCTCAAGTTTGTTACGATACCAAAGACTTGTTGTATTCGAATTTCTGAAAAAAATGATATCTTATTTCAGGTTTACTACAATGCCCTTGAAATAAACAGATTGTTAAACAAAAAGGACATTGCCGAATATCTGGCAAAACAACTTGCAAACGAAAATGAGAACCGAGAAAGTCTCACAAGTGAAGAAAAGAGGCTATTCGATGGCCTTAAAGGTGACGTAACTAATTAGATTTGATTCGTATAGCAATATGCCTTTTATTTAAATTTTTACTTTTTATAATAAATTTATGCGGATATGATAACTGTTTTATAAAAATATAATTAAACGTGTTAAAGGGGCGTTCGTGGCCGAGTGGTTAAGGTCGTTGACTTCAAACCACTTGTCCCTCACCGCTGTGAGTTCGAATCCCGACAGGGACTTTGGATTCTTTAATGTAAGGAAGTTATCCAGCTAGCTTAAGGAACGTCGTTGGTTCTACTCAGGTGCCCGTTCGTGCCTGAAATAATGCACGGAAGGGCACCTGAGGTCTTGCTCCACCAGTAAAGCTGGAACGTCGCGATATGACCTATACTGTGTCGATGTGACGTAAACCCCAAATCAAACAAACGAAATACGTGTTAAAGGTTACGATCAATTGGATTGACTTGTATTGTAAAACGAATTGAAGCTATATTGTCTGTTCTTGTTCGCTATTTTTATTTTGTAATTTTATTTATTTTGCTATTGTTCGTTTCAGATGTGCAGAGAGAATTGAAAAATGTTGAATGTGAAAATCCAAACGTTCACGTAATAAGTAAAATTATATCCAATCTGTTTATTGGTAAAGAGGCTGACGCGAACTCAAGAGTTATGGTATTTGTTCACGCACGTGCAACATGCAGAGCTTTGGCAGATTTTCTTAATGATGAGTTGGAAAAAATACATGTTAAAGCTAGTCCGTTGCTTGGCAAAGAAACCAGAGGAACCGATAAAGGTTAGTATCAATGTCGCAGAAATTAAATTTATATTGTGTTATACGGGACGATGTTCGATTTGCCAATACCATGAAGTAATATTTACATGATCTTCATATTTGAAATTATTTGTCAAACAAAGATAAAGAAAATGTACTGAATTGAATTTAATTGTAAAAAGGTATTACACAAAACCATACTCTCTTTTACTTTTTGTTTATTTAAACAGGCGAAGGATTTGCAATCTATTGTTATTGGATAGAAATGTGTTGCTATTTTTTTCTTAATACAATATTTAACTTCTTCACACTATTTAACGAATATTTGTTTTTGACATTATATTAAAGGTATGACCGAGGAGGACCAAACAAAAGTATTGAATGAATTTAAAGAAGGGGAATATAAGGTGCTGGTTGCCACATCAATCGGAATGGAGGGACTGGATGTACCAGACTGTAATATGACACTAAATTACAACTTCAACGGCAACGAAATTACTAAAATACAAATGTCAGGTAAATATTAACTGCTAAAAGAGATCATAAATGAACGTGATACAGGAGTTTTTAAACGCAAATCAATATTTCTAAATTCTTCAGAAAGGTCAAAGATATGTTAAATAGTGTTTAAATAATAAATTTAGAGAATGTTAGGTGTTTAACAACTGAGGAAAGTAGCACTGAACGTGATGTGCCATAAATATAGCAAAATGTAAACAAAGTAGTACTATTTTGACTTCCATACAAATTACTAACTCACTATAATTATACCAAGTGCCAACACAGCAGTAGTTGCAAAAGAAAGTCCATGTATATGGCAAATGAGTAGTTCTGTGAAAACTGTAACACAATACCTAAAATCAAAATGTTTTGGAAAATAAACTTGGTAGCATTTCTGAGGCATAATGGGCCTTTAAAATAGGTTTCAGTGCAGAAAGAAATGTACTTGAATAGGGGAAAAAAGTATAAAAAATAATGGAATATGAATGTTAGATAAATTTAAAAGAAGTAAAGATTTTAAAAACTCATAATTTTTAATAAAAAAGATATGTGCGATTGTATTTATACAGTAATCTTGTATAAACTTATATAACTGAAAATGTATAATAATAATTAAAACTTAAAAGTCCATAATTTTTCATGATCTGTATGTTAAGTATATTACAATACTAGAAATTCTTTCTTAGGATAGGATTCGTGCCTATGTGATATTATTTCAATCGAACTTCATATAGATGTTTGTTCAACGCTTTTATTCTTGTAAAAATGTCCAATTTAGACTGGGGCCTTTGTTAAACAGATTACTTAAATGCCTTTTATGTATCAAAAATGGTTTATTTTTATTTTTCAAAAACTATTTTTATTTTGTTGTACTTTTTAAGTGTCCAAAAAAAGGACTCATTGGCCAATTACCTGAACGATTTTGTTCATAAGTTGCTTTTTTGCAATAAGTATAGTTATAGTGAATTAGTGTTTTGTATAGATGTTAAAATACTACTTTATTTACATTTTGCTACTTTCATGACAATTATTTAACATTTATCGTTACTTCCTTCAGGTAACAAGCATCTAACATTCTTTAAAATCATTATTTAAGCATTATAAAATTCTTGTGAAGTTAAGTAAAGGAACTCCATTGAGGTTATTTTTTTTTTGGACATGACAGGACTGAAATTATTTGTTCGAGATTTATGTACCACTTGATTAAGTCTGAACCAATAACGTGTCTGCAAACTTTCAGATCATTCGCTCATTCCGTCTTCCAGAATAATCATTATTGTGTAAAGAGATCAAAAATGTTAAGTGTTTAAAAGTTTTTTACTTCAATTGGGCTAATCATCACACAAATATACGATTGTCTATCTATTTCCGCGTATATTCTTTATATTCTTTTATCATCCTTTTGATAATTTTCGTTAGAGTGCACCACCAGTTGATCAACGTGAGAATTCCAATTTTCATGTTTTATGCTGTTAGTCCTCAATGGTGCTGCTTTAATATTTTAGCATACAAAAAAAGTTCTTTTTATTTCTTTTTAAATCCCGCAGTAATTTCTTTGTAGCACTTATTTTGTCACTTTCTGTCTTTAGAAGCTTTCTTAAAACGTCTCAATAGTCATAACGGATTTTGTTTTATTTTAAAGGGCGCAGCAGGAAAGCCAATGGCAAAGAAATTATGATTGGAACAGATGCTCAGTTTGCTAAGGACACGATTGTTATGTACAGGATCAAACTTATGACTGAAGCAATAGAAAGTTTCAAGACAACCGACACCAACTCTATTAACAGAAAGATTCTTGAAGTGCAGAAGAAAACGTTAGATGATTTCAAATGGCAACAGAAAATTAAAAATCTGAAACGAAACAAGCAGTCTGATGAAAGCGACTATGAAATACAATGCCGAAGGTGCGGCACGTTTATTTGTAATACTTCAAATCTTCGACAGCTAGACACATCATATCTTGTCGCCTTAAAAGATTTTGATATAAAAATCAATAAAAAGGCACACACGAAAAGGGGTAACATGGGAGCTTTACAAAAGAAATACAAGATGAATTGCAAAAACTGCCCGATGGACTGGGGAGTTATTGGCGTTAAAGATGGCATTGAGTACTTTGTTTTGAAATTAGAAAGCCTAAAGTTTATCAGTTCTGAGAAGATGACAACAAACTACAAGAAATGGGACGATATGCCATATAAAATTAAAACGCTCACGGTTCCTGACCTCGACGACATGTATAATGACAGTTAACGAAAAACAAATTAAAAGAAATTTTAATAAAGCTGGATTCAGTACGTTTGTGAGAATCTAAAGAAAAATTCATATCTTTAAAACGTGCAAAATCAACTTTAAAACTTTGAAAACATTTCTTTTCTTCGTGTACATTTGATACTAGTAATTTACTGGTATGTTAATACAGTGTTGTGTGTGAGAGTTTACTTATGCTCGCCAACGGTGAGTCCTATAAAAGAGTAATACAAGTAGTCATTTTAGATTTTGGAGGATATTGCAAGATACAGATACAGAAAGATGCCACAATTCCAGAAGCTTCTCCTGGTTCGTAAGCGTGCCATGTAATTCAGCCCTCGTACACGGGACCTCGATTTAAAGTCAAATCCGAAAGACTGTTTAGTAATTTTAGTTGGTCAGCCCGGGAATCGTACCAACAATGTCGAGATTTTAAGTTCCGCATTCTAACCGATTGAGCTATGCAGGCTGGTTTTAATACATGATACGTCATGTCTATATATGGCAGATAATGAATAAGTCTAGAACACAAGGAGATATTATTCATTACAAAATATTTTAAATAACTTAGAATTTCATCAACATGTTGTATAAGAATATCCAAATGATACATGCCTATTGTGAAATAATTATTGAAAATAGGGTCATTGTAATAATAAATCACCTTAACCGGAAGCAAATCAGAATAACTATACATTTGCATTGTTTCTTATACATGTATATCACTCGCGCCTTACCGACATATGTCAGGTTAAGGCTTGATATTTGCTATCAATATATTATATTATATATTAACTATTTCAGTTAAATTTGCAGATTTTGTGTACAAAATAACACGATTGAATAAAAGTATTGAAATGATATCAATAATCTTGAGTTAAGTTATTTCAATGAATATAACACAAGCTCTCGATTTGATGTTGATATATGGATTCAACGTTGAAATAAGTGTCAAAACCCAAATCAAAATGAGATTTAGAAAAAACTTGTTATTTAATCAATAATCACAATACAGACACAGGTTCAGTAAATGTAGTCGAAAAAGCGTCCGTGTGTGCCAAAAGGCAGGTTATGTGGCAATTTTGCAGAGTTCATTGGTGTCAGGTCTGACGCATTGAAAATTGTAAAGTTAGTGCTTGACGTAGTTATATCTAGAACCGGCAGAACTAAAATCCCATCATCTTCTTGACTTCCGCCAGGAGTAGGAATGAAATAAGGTTCAGCTAAGTAATGCCCCGCATGTATATATGTTTTATCTTTCCCTGAGCAAAAGTCCTTTTTTATCAAAGCCATGTCAAGGAAGTCTTTGTGATTGTAATTATATGCAATACCATACGTATAGCAGTACTTCTTAGATCTATACTTCTCATTTATGGTTGGGAAGTCGAATGCATTGACGAAAGCCATTGACGAATTTTTAGATTCGAATGTATGTACGTTTACTTCGCCGCTTGAAAGATTTAGTGTATACCTTTTAAGAATTGGAATTGAAGAATTTGCTCTTTGAACAGGGTCATGAAGTCTGTTCATTCCCATTTCATGAAGTCCCCCAGTGTCTTTAAATGAACAAACATCAATTATTAGCTCATCATTGAAAAGATCTGACTCATAAGCATTGGCAATATGAAGGAAGAACATGTTTTCTGTTTTTAGAGTTTTCACCTCACCAGTTTTCAAGTTTACAACATATAATTTTGTAACGTCCGTGCTGACCCATTCAAATGCATCTAGAGGTCTAAAGTTTTTCAGCATTCCTAGCGGATTTACGTAGAATGGAACAGCAAATAAGACGGCATAATGCTCGGTGACTGCAAATGAATGCATATACGATGCTTTGTCAACCTCTATTGAAGCTATCGGCTCTCTTACACTTGATGACTTTGTCCGTGTCAAAATAAGCTTGCTTTTCTGGCCTGGAATTGGAGTTGCAGCGGAGACAAACGTTAGGTAGTTATCTGTGCCGTATTCTGGAAGTGGGTGCGCTGAGCCTAGAACAATGGCTTGATCAAGACCAGCAGCCGTATTTGGAACTGGTGGATGAACCCCTTTCAATGTTACAAGAGAATATGGATCAATCGTATACAGATTCCAGTAATCACTCACTATGACGAAATCAATGTTCTTACCACCAAAGTTAAAAATATTTACGTCCATGTTATCTGGGCCATTCTTGAACGATTCTAGTTCCTTGACAATATCAAACGGTGGATCAACTTCATCTAGCATTAGATACGGTGCAATGTCATTCGTAGCCAAAGATTCGTTATAAGAGTCGGAATAAACCATCCTTGTACTGTAGTAGGCAGAACCATTTCCTGTAAACCTCCAACTTGCAAGTTTCGCAAACCCATCTAACGCATTTGTATATTTTCTTCCGCCTATTTCAAAGCGACCAACACCATTCCGCATCTGCAAAATAATGAATTTGAAGCTTTACTTATGGCAGCAAGGAAACACCTACAAAACCAGTCATTAAAAATGATTTCATATTTAAGATGAAGCTCAAAACAACATGGCTAAAGATAACGGTTGAATTATTTACCATTTTCCATAGCAACTCTATTTTTGTAATGAATGTGTCCTATCTAAAATTGAAATATACTTATAACTTATTTACTGCATTTTGATATGGAAATGTTGATCTTGAGCATTAACAATCATCTGATAAGACTGTACACATAAACAGACTAACCCGGCCCTAAAGAATGTTTGAACATGTATAGATTTGTTATAAACCTATAAATTTTCTCCCTAAAATACACGCAAATATTGAAGCGCACATACGCATCAACGGATAGAAATTTCCGTATTAAGTTAGTGACAAATACGGTACCATAATATGGAAGTGTCAGACTACTTTTGACTTTGGTTCCGATCTTAGCTTTGAATGACGTTGCATCTGAAAACGGGAACCAAAATTATTAAAGGCTTGGCCGGCTTTCCAAGAACTACGTATTCATCCGTAAGTCATGAATTTATTTCTTGGCAACTACATTTCATTTTCTGAATAAAACGAAAAGGTATATGATAAAAGGAAAATTATGTTGTAGTTACTTTCTGAGGCTATGTATTTTTCTACTCGCAACGTTGGAAAAATGATATCAATTTTCCACCGCTGGTAGTAGCAAAAAAAAGCCTCAGAAAGCTACAACAACATAATATTCTATATATATATGACAAGGAACATAGCTAACTGCTAACCATCGCAATGCCTCATTATTATGCTCATCTATATTGCTTGTTGGACGTAAAACAAAAGTTTCAACGTAAAAAGTAAACTTACCATGGTCCCTTTAAGCCATGCCGGCAACGGTTTGTCAAAATGTATAGGTTCATTGTGCAACTCTTCCAGATTTGTTGAGAACAAAATATCAGCAACTTTGTCACAGTGAACCCAGTTTAGAAAAATCGGCAGTAAAATCAGAAGCAGATTCATCGTGTCTGATCTTGTAGATTGTTCGTCTGCTACTTCCTAAAATAATTGAAGTGGACAATTAAGCATAGCAATTTTTCAACTGACCAGTCTTAACCCTTGCTATCTTTATCTATTGTATAATAATATTTATCCAAGGTTCAATTTGTAGAATTATTGTTATACATCGGTGAAATATTGACCGAGGTCATTTGCTGCGTTTTTGGACCCTGGTGTGATGTGTCAACGGAATTTTTGTATTTGATTCATTTTAACAATGCTTCTGTGAGGAATAAAAGAGGATGTCTGGATGACATTTATGGCAAATAAAGAACTCAAAAGTTCAAAAAAGTGTCAAGGTTATTACCTTGGTCTGTTATTCCTTACTTGTGAGATAACGAATAGAAAGTAAGATACGAATTTTTATTTGCACTTGACCAGAACAATTAAATGCGGTCAGAGAAAAGTGTCTCTATTACATTTTTTAGCTCGCCTGAGCTGGTTCAGGGTGAGCTTGAAAGATCGTTGAATGCCCGTCATCCATCCACATTTAGTTCGTTAACACTCTAGTGGTTCCATTTGTGCCTTGTTTGTCATCAAATTTGGTCAAGATGTTTGCTCGGTCGAGTTCGAACATAGGTTATCCCGAATGAAAAACCAAATCACAGAAGCCCTAGATGAATGATTGTTGTCAAACTCTTTAGTGGCTACTGTTATGGTTCAAAATCCTGGACATTTGCCAAAGAGGTTGTTTTGATTATTTCTATCTCAAGTTCGAAGATGGTCACCTTGGGTCTAAAACTTGGTCACACAGTTCAAATATAGAAAAATATTGTTAACACTCTAGAGACTACTGTTTCAGTCTAAATATCCTAGAAATGTATCAGAAAAAAATGTTCAAATAATGATCATATGGGCTTAAAACAAAGTCACATAGCATAAATATGGGGAAAAACCTTGTTAATACTCTTCAGGCTACTGTTTCAGTTCGAATTTATCCTTGAAATTGGTCAGAAAGAGTGTTTAGATAATTTCTAGGTCAGGATTGAATATGGGTCAACTGGGGTTAAAGACTAGGTCACAAAGCCGAAATATGAAAAAGCTACGGAACTCTAGTTGTTCCTTTAGATTGGCTATTCAATAACTATTTGAACGTGATCCGTAGTTTTGTAGATGGTTTCCAATATCACCTATGGATCTCTTCAGCAATTATTAAATTTTGACGGGCAATTACATTAATTTGAGACAAATTTCAATAAATGTAATAATAAGCATACATTTGTTTGAAACTAAAGAAATGTTAATACAAAGAAATTAACCACCAAAAAGTTAATTTTGAAGTACAATTCTAGCATTAATATACTTTTATTACTAGTATTTGAATAATTTGAATCTTTCACTAACGTTTTCACAATTCTATTATTCTTTAAAATGGAATTTATTTTCAAATACTGAACGACTTTCTATTCCAAAGTAAAGTTTTCGTACATTTAGAGGATGAACATTATTGGAATTGTATTTTAAAATTTAAAATTGTGATCATTTTTGTGAAATAGTTGTAAAATCCGACTTCAAATAACGAAGTAATGCGCCGGACATGATTTTGCTGCAAGGTCATGACATGACCTTGACCTTCAAGGTAGGGACCCAAATGTTGCATGCAGCATGTCGATTCAATATGGTGATCATCTCTGTGAAATAGTTGTTTAATCTGACTTCAAGTAACAAAGTTATGGGCCGGACACTCTTTTTGCTGCAAGGTCATGCTGTGACCTTGACCTTTAAGGTGGAGACCCAAATAATCCAGACCCTGCGTCTCAATATGGTGATCATTTCTGTGAAATATTTTTAAAGTCAGACTTCATATAACAAAGTTATGGACCAGACACGATTTTGCTGCAAGGTCATGCTGTGACCTTGACCTTCAAGGTAGCGACCAAAATGTTGCGCGCGACACGTCGATTCAATATGGTGATCATTTCTGTGAAAAGTTTTAAAATCCTACTTCAAATAACAAAGTTATGGGCCGGACACGAATTTGTACGTACGTACATGTACGTACGTACGTACGGACAACCCGACAACTATATGCTCCCCCGAAATTTTTCGGGGAGCATAAAAAGCTTCGACAAAAGCGTTCAGCTAATAAGAAGAGTATTTCAATTTTGAACCTGCTTTAGGTTGCATTATTATTATGAGTTTATTTCCAAATCATTTTGAATAGTATATTTTCATGTTCTCTTTTTTAACAATAATGATTCATGTAAATTAAGAGTGTCATAAATGTTTATTCTTTGCTTGAAGGTAGAATCATAAATAACAAAACGTCAATTCAACTATTTTTCGACGTTTGTAGATGGTTTGTATCTACACATAATACATTACTTTAATTGATAATGCATGATCAGTCATTTTCTCCTTGAGCTGACTTGAATTATGCTGAATACTAGTGTAAAACTTCATGTCCTTAAGTAGCTCTATGTTAATAAAATATAACATAAAAAAACGAAAAGTAACTAAGCACAACAACTAAATATTTGATTTAACGACTTTTCCCACATCCGAACGCTATATCACTGTGCCATTACGCACTAAGCATATATAATTGAGTCGGAGTGCAGCTCGTAGAAAATTCAGGTGATCAATGTTTGCTTAATATGCACGGTATTTGGTACTTTTAGTTCTAAAAATAAAGTGATAAAGAACTGATTTCTTTTAGTCAAAATACCTTTAAAAGGATGATGGCTTATATAGCTAAATTGCAAAAATGAAGGCAAAATACGAAGAAAAAGAAAGAAAAAAATGCTTTGCTCTGGGCTTTTGAACTTTACCAAAACTCACTTAAAATGGACACTCTTTCAGATAGAAGAATTTGCTTTCAGTATTTTATACTTTAAATTTCATTTTTATAAGATGTTCGCTTATTCTTAGCGGGACCTCTAAATTTTACCGTTCTTTTGTCAGCTGTTATCGTGGCAGTAGCAGCAGCAGTACCAAAAGCAGCAACAGGCACAACAACATCAACATTAACACGTATACGTATACGCAATTGTAATATGATGTTGACTTTATAGATTATGTTAGGTGGGTGTCAATATTTTATGGGTTATTATCTTATATATTAGATGATCACTATTTTATAGAAGGCGATCACTATTTTATATAAAATAATGACCGGGTGTCATTATTCTATGGAGGTCACTGTACAACGTTACACCGGGTTGACTTTGACAATTCATTCGTTAGACAATTTTTTTTACTGTCGCAATATCTTTATTTAACGTTACTTTTATATAAGTTATGATTTATTGGATACAGAAAGAGAATTCACATCTGCAAAAATCTAGTAATACTTAAGAGTTCACAAATTTAAAATAATAGAGGACCAAGTATCGCACCCTGCTAACATTGATAAAGAAGAAAGCGTCGAAGAGGTGAAACTATTTTGTGTTCTGTTAGTTTATACAAATTTATTTTAGTACGATTGTGTTGGAAGCTTTAAGTTTATTGAAACTCGAATCCGTTCCTGGAACCAACCAGTGCTAAGCTATATATGTAAAGTTTTTTGCTCAATGAAATTGGAAATAATGGCCTGCCCCTCACTTGGTTTGAACCCACGCGGTCAGCAACTCTTAGATTACTAGTCCGACGCGTTAACCACTCGACCATGCCTGTTATCTAAGTAGGCTTTTAACCATGTACATGTATTATACTATATTGTTTACTTTGTAGAAAATATATACCTGTTTGCCGCAAACAAAATAATTCAAATAAGTTATTGGTTGTCAAATGCTCTGAAAATTGACCGATTTTATTCTTTCTTTCTTTTTTCTTTCTTTTTTTCTTTCATTCTTTTTTAATTACAATCTCTTTTGTGAAGATCTACTTGCTCTATCCCACATTGTAGTTGTTGCTGTTGATTTTCTCTGTTATCGTGAATCAATATCTTTACATTTTTTCGTGACGTCGTGACGTAATATAAATCTGAATAAGAGTTGACCATTTCACCTTAAACAGTGAACTGTCAAGGGTAAACGGTAAACGATGACCTCTCTGATAAACGATGATTCTAGTATAAATACTGGCAAAGAACTAGAAAAGGTTAGTCAAGCAAGATGGCGTTTCTTTCAATTTGTCTCCTATTATGTCTCTGCCAGACATTAGTTAAAAGTGATGTGGGATTTGATATGTTTTTCACCACGAATCTTGACGAGATGTCGGACTCACCAATAGTATTTGATAAACCTTTGCCAACATGGCTTCGTGGAAGTCTGGTAAAATAACTTTTTCTCTTTGAAATGGCAACTCTATTTTATCAAACGTGATGTATCTAACCAAACTTACATGTAGATATATATTAAAATTGCAAAGAGAAATTCTCATAATTAATTTTTTGTCTGTTCTTCAGCAAATGATATCATTGTGAATTACAAGTCTTATTCAGTATTCTTTTACTTTATTAAAAGTATTTAAAAAAGTTATATGTAGATTTTATTTAATCGTTTCTGTGTGTATAATTCTTGAAATGGTTTGTCCAGGAAACAAGACTTCTTCAATAACACGCTCGTATCTTTTATTTTAAGACGTAATATTTTTTATATAAAGTATACGATTAAAATTATTAGCGTTCATGTTGCGTTGTTTTTCCCTAATTTCTTAATCGAAGCTTATTTCACTTCTGTTCTGTTTTGACATCGAAAATAAAATATTTCAGACAAAACCTGAGCTTGAAATGTATATGTTAATATTTTTTATCCGCGATGTGCATGTTTAAAACAATACATCATTTTCTCTTGACAAAAAGGTTATTGCCTGTTAATAATAAAAACTCAAAGTCGAATGTTTCAAACAAAGAAATAACTCAATTATATATAAAAATATTTTCTTATTTTGTTATAGATCAGAAATGGTATTGGTCGATTCGAAATCGGTAAACGTCATGTGACTACTGCATTAGACGCCTATGCTAAACTCTCAAAATGGACGTTCAGCAACAATACTTTAATGAATACGGCCCGTTTTTCGACTAAGTTTGTCCAGTCTAATTCGTATAACAAGTCGGTTGCCGCCGGAGACATCATCCCTTACATGATGCTGGCAGCGACGGACCCGCCTTTCGCACCCTGGCAAACGATGGAATCTATGGTATACGGTGCTGATAATATGAATGTTAATGTATTCAATTACGGAGACGGCAGAAATAACAGTGAGGGATTCGTTATAACCAGTGACTTTTGGAATAGCTATGGGATTGATCCTCACACTCTGAATGTAAGAAAACCAATCAAACCGCCGGTTCCAGGGGCACCAACGTACGATAAAATGATTGTTCTCGGCTGCGCGCATTCACTTCCAGAGCATGGTACCAACAACCATATCACGTTTGTATCCCTTGCAAGCGCCATTCCAGGTCTTAAGAGCAAATATGTGTTTTACAGAGCAACATCTGACGAAGAAAGAGAAAAGATAGCCGAGATAGAAGTCGACAAAATATCGTACATTCACTCATTCGCGTTAACTAAGAATTATATGATACTTGTTGCGGCACCTTTGTTTATCGATCCCATGAGGATTTTCCGTACTTTATCACCGCAAGATGCAATGGCCTGGGAACCAAACACGGGAGTACAATTTCACACTGTCAATTTAAAAACAGGCTTCGTAGACACGTTTGTATCTGAAAACTTCTTCTTTTTACATCATATTAATTCATTTGAAAACGACTTTGGAGAGCTTGTAATGGATTTAGTTACGTATAAAAATGGCAACGCCTTGGACATCATGGACCTCAAAAATTTAATAAATGCGACAACGAGGTCTATGTTCAAACCTCCCCTGATTAAAAGATACACACTGAACATGCGCAGTAGAACCATTGGTATTAATACGTTTGAAGATCTTTCACCAAGCGTTCCATATGCATCTACAATAGACTTTCCAACCATTAACGAAAATTACCGATTTGAGAAGTATTGTTACGTTTACGGCGTTGTATATTCAGTCAACGGCACGGACTTTTTTGATATGGCGTTAGTAAAAAAGGACCTCTGCACGGGGAAAACAGATAAGGTTTGGTATAAGAAGGGAAGTTACTTTAATGAGGCACTTTTCGTTCCTAGACCTGGTGCAGTGGATGAAGATGATGGAGTTCTTTTAGTTGATATACTGGATACGACAACAAAGGAGTCTGCCATGGTTATTTTTGACGCTAATACATTGAAAATAACAACCAGCGCTCTATTGCCTACAAACAACCCATTTGGAACACATGGGCGATTCTTTCCTGAAATTTTGTGAGAAATTACACTTTTAACTATGCAGATAAGTGCTACAAGAAGAAAGTGTTGCGTATGTCAGTTACATATGCATTTCAAAATTCAGTAGATGTATATATTTCTGTATCACAAATTTTGTAACAACCTTTATTGCCAATATCATAATAGTTTTATAGTCAGGCCAACGGATCCGTCGTCATTGCATGTACCGATTGCCAAACGAGTGTTTTGATATATGTACAAATACCCAGTTACTACGCGCAAACTTTTATATTCGTCGTCGAGAAGTCGACCTTGATACATGTGATAATGTGTGAAGCATGTGGCATTTCCTGATATTTCAATCGTTATCAAATGCTTGTGTACACTTCCTTTTACTGTTAAATGTTTTGAAATAAAAATTGTGAAACATTTGTTGTTTTTATTTTTAAGGAAAAAAACAGATTTATGATTCCACTTAAATAACTAGAAAATTCTGTTTCATACCTAGGTGTGAAAACAGAAGACATACAAGTGTACTTGTAACTGAAAATGACAAGTTCCGTTGCCGGTCTAAGATGAAGAAAGTGCCGGGGTAGAAAAAATGACAGGATTGGAGATTTTCCCTTATAGGCGATTGTCGGAAGTCTACGAAAAAGTACGTCATAGACGAAATGCATCTTCGTGAATAAAATAAGTTACTTCATTACCGTTTATATCTTCTCTTAAATTGTCCAAAAAAAGATAAAGCCCAAAATTATAAATTTGAAAAAAAAAATGTAAATTACCTAATGACTTGCACTGGTCATTTGTTTATTTAACTTTAAGTAACAAATCGTGGGCGCGCACTTAAGTAGGATTATAACTTCAACATTTGCAAACAGCTGATCGTTAAGGCAATAATAACCAAATGAGCTCCGTTTTAGTACAATAAGAGAGCAACATTCATATAATATATAAAGATCCTCAGATCAAATTATATCCAAGTTGACTATAAGTCTTTGATGCCGCTCCTTAATAAACCCAGGTCTTCCTCTATCAGTAAAGCTGAAAAGTCGCTATTTGACCCTACAGTATTGGTGTTACTTACGTCAACAATACAAACTATAACTCGAAAGCGTCAGACCTGACCAAACTGATAAATATGACAAGGATCTTCTTTCCACCAGGGTCTTTCAAATATTTCTATTTGAAAGACCCTGTTTTAGGGTTCAAAAACTTACAATTATATATGGTTGTCTCGTCCCATGATATCAGTGCATTCGAAGAGTTATTGCTTTATTCAGAAAATCTACACATATAACAGAAATATAAATTAACAAAGCCATCAAAGTCAATGAACACTAAACAGAATCATGATTATTGCCGCTATTTATTTATTTGCGCACAGATACAAAACAATTTTATACATAACATATCAAGTAATATTCAACATGTAAATGACAAAACAACCTTGCAAGTGACAAATCACAGATCAAATTGCTTGGGAGTTCTAATTCTCCGCGTTCTAGTTGATGCAAGAGTACTAAGAGACTGTTTAGGTGTGGCTGTGTAGGAAACAGTCACATTAGGAGGCGCCCTACTTGTTGTTGCCCTTTGCTGACCACTGGACGAAGACCCACAGCCAAATGAAGGTACTTGAGCTCTTGAACTACTTATTGAAGCTGTGCAAATAGTGTTTGGTCCTATGGGACTCGGTCGAACTTGGCTTACGTATTCTGTAATTGGACTTGACTCGAGCATTGATGAAACTTGCCCTAAAGTTTCAATGGGCGGAGAACTGTATGTGTGGCCTCCCTGGGTTAACGTTGGTGCACTATCAGAGGACTGCAACAAATGATGTCTGTGAACTGGTGCGACAGATGGAATACTGCTACTACTGGAACTTACAGTTTCAGATATACTTACAATGTTAACATTAGGGCTTACTATTGGATTAACAGCCGATGCAAATGAAGCAGTACTGCCACCAATAGCCTGTTTAGTTGTTGAAGTGTGAGTTGTGTACACACCATTTCTATTCACAGTAATGTGTATTTGTGCTTGAGATTCAACCGGACTAGGTCTCGATACCGCCTCACTTTCAATCACATGTATCTTAGGTCTAGGGCTATCTACAACTTGACCAAGGCTACTTGCCGGACTTGAAACAGATCCCGATACAGTGAACTCTGGAAAATGAAGTCTTTGCACAGCTGGGACTTTCTCTTCAAGCTTACTCTCATTTTGAGGAGAATTAGTAGACGAAATTATCTTAATAACGTTTCCACCAGTCAACGAGGTATTCTTAGCAAGTGAGCTCATTAAAGTTGGAACGCTGTTTTGTAATGGGGATCCCGACTGGCTGACCTGGGCTTGGGAGTTTCCACCTGATTGATTTAAAAGATTGTTTGTCAAACTAGGCGACTGGCTTGCTGGAGTCGGAGTGCCTGGTAATTTAAGCGGTGTGAGCACTGTGCTTGGTAATGAAGATGAAGAAGTGGGCAAATTGCTAGAGGACCTTGCAAGGCTAGATAGAAGTTGCTGAATCTGCGACGACACTGTTGAAGCCGTGGTCATATGAACTGATGGCATCTGCCTGGCCAATGAAAGCAAAGAAGATATTGGGGTACTCGTAGCTTGAGCATTCAAGCCATCATTCGATGCTGATGCAAACTTCTGACTTCTTAATAAACTTTCAATAGTTATTGGTGATTTCATAGAAGTATCTGGAACTGATCTTTGCTCTCCAAATTTCTTGTTATAGTCCTCCAGTTTATAGGCAATTAATGGCTCCTCGTGGGTACCAAGAATGGCAGGCGATGGAATATTAGTCATAGGAGCCGAGGTAAACATCTGACTGGTTGAAGTTTGTGAAGGTTGCTGAGAGAATAGTGATACTTTATGTTGGCCATCCTCTGTGAGTATTCTGAACGTAGGTAGAAGCCCTGACTGGGATTTTAGTAAACCGGACAACTCTGGGGCATCTGAAAAAAAAATAAGTGAGAAATAATTTATAAATAACACAATATTAAGCAATGTGGTCATAAAATGAGATAAAACAACGTAAAACCTTATGAATATACTCAAATATAATTATTTTACTCAGACCTAAACAGCATCTGTAAAACTAAATTTTCATCAATTTAGATACCATCCCATTGATAGGGCATAAATAACACAATACAATGTTTATAGTTCTCATACAGACTGCAATATGTAAGCAAGACCCGTGGGACCACTCCATGTATTTATTCTAACCAACCGTAAGCATAAAAATAACCATTTCTCTCAGAGGTTTTTACAAGTCAACATTTCTGACAGAGCCAGTGGCCATAAGAAAAGTCAGAGCCATTAAAATACGAAAAATAATACAAGTTTTTAGTTAAATCACACTCATGTGAATGGACATCATTTACATACCTGAGACGCCATGTGTGATCCCTGCAGAAAGCGGTGATGTAATAGTACTACTGACAGGACTGGCTATAGGGGGAGTTGGTGTTGATTTAAATCTCTTCCTAGGGCTCGGAGCAGCCGGCTTTGCTACGTTTTTACGCTTTGTATACTTCCTTTTCACTGTTAATTCAAAATGAATAAAACTACTTATATGACTTATTTTAAAAGTCTACAATGTAAGCGAATGAAGTCAGACACCCTTCTATGAAACCAGACACCCTTCTTGAAACCAGACGCCATGTAGTATGAAATACGGGTACATGTATATTTAACACAGTTTGTAACAAAGCTTGCTCTTTTTAGAAACTTACAGCAGTGAAATAAATGAGGCTCACTATGTTATATAGAAGAAAATAAAAGTAGCAATTAGCAGGTACCACCAAAATAGGAGCATTTGTCATATAACTAAGTTTTCATACATGACTAACAAACCTTAACAAACTTTAACAACCAAATAAATTGGCCTATAGCTTCCATTTAAATACATAAATATTTCTTACATGGACGTACATACATACGCTTCACATTACAAATCCAATCTTTTACTAATTAATATTGATCAAGACCTACATTTGATATGATACATTCGTAAATATTAATCCAATCAATGCATTCTTTGAAATTATTGTACAGAAACAACTGTCTGCATATTGTTACTTAAGTGCAGTATCAGGGTAACTCCTTACATAATTCAATAGGAGATAACCCCTTACTGCACTAAGACAAGCTAATAACCTTATATCTTCTTTACCTTTAATGGGTAAAGAAATGCTGGTATTTGAGCCAACTGATCCGAAACTTTGTGGCGAGTCTAGTGAAGATGAACTAGCCAGGGCACGTGCTCTAAGCGCTTTTGCTATTGTCATACGTCCCGCTGAAGGTTCTGGCTGTAAATAAACAATAGTTACAATAGAGTAAACAACCTTCAAGACTGAACAAAACACATGCAAAAGTTGCTCAGATTTAAATAACCACTCTCTTAGAAAGCTAAATAATGACAATATTACAGATGCATCTATGTAAGTGAACTGTGCCAATACTGTCTGTTGTAAAAACCACAATCAAGGTCTCTTAATGTCTTTTTATGTCTTTTTCAAATGCTAGAAAGTATTCTTAACTTATCTAACTGTATCATAAGTTTTTGGGGTTTTTTGTTTTTGTTGTTGTTTTTTTTTCTTTGTTTGTTGTTTTTGTTGTTGTTGTTGTTGTTGTTTTTGTTCATTTTAGTTAGGTTTAATGTCACACCAACACTAACAGGTCATATGATGACTTTTCAGCGTCACTGGTGGAAAAGACCTCAACAACCACTCCAAACTTTTTTTTCCATGCACTAACTAGTACTTGAGTAGAACCTCTGATGCTCTGTTAGCAAGCTGGGTAGTTTTCACAAATAAAAGAATCCACAGTCCATGGCAAGATTTGAACCCACATCGGTGAGTGCAACTTTACTTATTTGATCTTAATCTAAAGGTAAGTAGGCTCATGGTTTCCTGCTGACGTCAAACATAACGTACAAAGCACATGTAAAATCTTGAGGGCATTGACTATTACGCATGAAGAAAAGACTGCGGTAATATTTAATGTGAACGGTCATACTAAATAATGCAATGTGAAACAAACTACAAATAAATCGTTATAAACTAATACCATGGTGTGAGTTCCAAATGTTTCTCCGTCTAGTTCATCGTGTATGTCTTTTACACTCTTCTTATGTTTCCTAAGGTCGAGGTCAGATAGATCTACTACAACTGACTCTTGTACCATAGGACCGTGTGACAATATCCCACCCAGAAACTCGGCTACTTCATCCTGTAATACAGTGTTACCAATAATAATCAATCATTTCAGCCATCACTATATAACTTAAAGATGCATGCCTATAGCATGTATAGATGAATTAAAAATACAAAATAATCCAACTTAAACAAGAGGGCCATGATGGCCCTGAGGTCGCTCACCTGTATATAGGCCCCCCAACCCCGGGCCAATTTTTACCCAAGGTCTTTTATTTGTTTATTTGAACAGACTTGGTAGACACCCATAAGAAGATGTTTCATGCTAAACATCTAAGTTCTAGCTCATTGGGTTTTTTAAAAGAAGATTTATAAAGTTTTTACTATACACATATAGTTAAAAACAATGACACCCCTGGGGCAGGGCCAGTTTTGACCCCCGGGCTTTTATTTGAACAAACTTTGTAGATATTTACTTAAAGATGTTTCATGCTAAATATCTAAACTCATGCTATTTGGGTTTTTTCAAAGAAGATTTTTAAGTTTTTGCTATACACATATAAGGAAAATCAATGACCCCCTGGGGCGGGGCCAATTTTGACCCCAAGGCTTTTATTTGAACAAACTTGGTAGACACTCATTAGAAGATGTTTCATGCTAAATATCTTAGCTCTAGCTCTTTGGGTTCTTTAAAAGAAGATTTTTTTAAGTTTTTACTATATGCATATAGGGAAAATCTATGACCCCCTGGGGCGGGGTCAATTTTGACCCCAGGGCTTTTATTTGAACAATCTTGGTAGACATTCACTAGAAGATGTTTCATGCCAAATATCTAAGCTCTAGCTCTTACGGTTCTTTAAAAGAAGATTTTTTAAGTTTTTACTATATGCATATAGAGAAAATCAATGACCCCCGGGGTGGGGCCAATTTTGACCACAGGGCTTTAATTTGAACAAACTTGGTAGACACTCACTGGAAGATGTTTCATGCTTAATATCTTAGCTCTAGCTCTTTGGGTTCTTTATAAGAAGATTATTTAAGTTTTTACTATATGCATATAGGGAAAATCAATGACCCCCTGGGGCGGGGCCAATTTTGACCCAAGGGCTTTTATTTGAACAAACTTGGTAGACATTCACTAGAAGATGTTTCATGCTTAAAATCTAAGCTCTAGCTCTTACGGTTCTTTAAAAGAAGATTTTTTAAGTTTTTACTATATGCATATAGGGAAAATCAATGACCCCCTGGGGCGGGGCCAATTTTGACCCCAGGGCTTTTATTTGAACAAACTTGGTAGACACTCACTAGAAGATGTTTCATGACAAATATCTTAGCTCTAGCTCTTTGGGTTCTTTAAAAGAAGATTTTTTAAGTTTTTACTATATGCATATAGGGAAAATCAATGACCCCCTTGGACAGGGCCAATTTTGACCCCAGGGCTTTTATTTGAACAAACTTGTCAGAAACTCACTAGAAGATGTTTCATGCTAAATATCTAAGCTCTAGCTCTTATGGTTTTTTAAAAGAAGATATTTAAAGATTTTTCTTTCTGTTGCCATGGCAACCAGAGTTCTGCATGGAATTAAATTCTTTGAACAATTTTTAAAGGTGACCACCAAAGGAACATTCCTGTGAAGTTTGGATGAAATTGGCTCAGTGGTTTATGAGGAGATGTCATTTAAAGTAAAAGTTTACGAACGGACGACGGATGGACGGACGCCGGACGAAAAGCGATCACAAAAGCTCACCCTGTCACTTTGTGACAGGTGAGCTAAAAATATATCAATTTAAAAAAAAAAAAGTTATAATATTCATATTTCACTAGAACATTAGCAATTTTTATACAAAATCATTAAAGTTACAGTATGTCTGAATTTACTGACTTATTTTTCACAAATATTTCTAGCTCTTTACTAATGGAAAATTAAGTAAGGGATAGTTTTGCAAATTTTGACATATTTAAAAGTAAATTATAAGGATTGTAAGTTATTTTCGTACATTATAATTCTACATATGACACAAATTTCACTTTTTAAAACCTTTGTTAAACAAGTGTGAATTAAAAAGCAGTTTGTCGGGATCAAATGTGACTGGCCATTCCCACCAATATCGGACACCGAGTTCTGATCTTTAAAATTATACATTCAAATTCTCGCTGTCTCTAAATGACTGGTGAGATTTAGGAGCATGTTATACATAAACCATAACAATTAAAGTAAGACCACATTTCAAAAGAAATTGGGAGATTATAATGTATATCAATCAATTCAAAATATATATATATATATATATAATATATATATATATATATATATATATATATATATATATATATATATATATATATATATATCAATATCAATTCATCAATTATATCAATTCATATATACTGTATGCAAAATTGCTTCATCATACCTTAAAACTTGTGACAAGAGTTGTATACTCTTGCTTACTAGCGGGTAAGTATAAAAAAATTAATTGAAGTGAGATGTCGACATGCAGCCTATGTGACAAGTTATGCTCTCCCTATATTTTCATACAGTGCACCCTTACCAGAGCAGCCTACTGTAATGCAATAACTTCTTTCCAACAAAAGTATCAATTCTTTCCAAAGAAAGACTTAACAATAAGTTGAGTTTCTATAGAGCATCTTCTTTTAACAGCAAATAAAAACCCAAGTCTCCCAAAATGTGCTGCTCTGCTGAAGCTGTACTGTATAGTCAAGGCAAAAAAAACTAGAATATTCCCAAACGTTATAACAATTTGAGCCGCGTCACGACAAAACCAACATAATGCGTTTGCGACCAGCATGGATCCAGACCAGCCTGCGCATCCGCGCAGTCTGATCAGGATCCATGCTGTTCTTTATCAGTTTCTCTACTTGTAATAGGGTTGGTAAGCGAACAGCATGGATCCTGATCAGACTGCGCGGATGCGCAGGCTGGTCTGGATCCATGCTGGTCACAAACGCAATATATCAGTTTTGTCGTGACGCAGCTCATTTAATTTCTATACACACCAGTATCAGTTTATCGACCATAACTTGAGTCAAACATTCTTGTTTGCGTTTGCTTCTACACATTCTCAGATTGTCATCTGCTCCCCCAACAACAAGTAGGCTGTTCTCAGCTCGGATTTTCTCCCGTAAATCTTCGACATCATCCACTGTGCTAGTATTAGCATGCTGTCCAATGACAAACAATGTGGGTGTGCGACTGTCTAACAGTGGGTCATCGGCATCCTGAATTATATCAATGTATCAGTCTAAATAGCAAGAAAAAATGCTAATAGGGTAAAATGTAATATTTGGCTGTCAAAAAAGTGTTATTTTCTTCATTTTCGCACTCATGAATACACATCATGATCATATTGAAATTCAAATGTGTTGCTTATATAAACTAGAGGATGCTTTTGTAAAAAAGCGCATGTCTCCCCCACTGCTGAGAATAACTGTGAATGGAAACAGGAATGGAACTGGAGAAATCCGGAAATGAGAAAATGACCAATGGTCACTGTGACCTTAACCTTTGACCTACTGACCCCATAAACAAGAGGGATCATCTGCTCAATAAGACCAATCATCCTATGAAGTTTGAGGGTTGTAGGTCTAAAGGAACTCTAGTTATCATCCGGAAAGGAGAAATTAACCAACGGTCGCTGTGACCTTGACCTTTGACCTACTGACCATTAAAACAATAGGGATCATTTGATTAATAAGACCAATCATCCTATGAAGTTTGAGGGTTGTAGGTCAAAAGGAACTCTAGTTATCATCCGGAAATGAGAAATTGACCAACGGTCACTGTGACCTTGACCTTTGACCTACTGACCCCAAAAACAATAGGGATCATCTGCTCTATAAGACCAATCATCCTATGAAGTTTGAGGGCTGTAGGTCAAAAGGAACTCTAGTTATCATCCGGAAACGAGAAATTGACCAACGGTCACTGTGACCTTGACCTTTGAACTACTGACCCCAAAAACAATAGGGATCATCTGCTCAATAAGACCAATCATCCTATGAAGTTTGAGGTCTGTAGGTCTAAAGGAACTCTAGTCATCATCCGGAAACGAGAAATTGACCAACGGTCAGTGTGACCTTGACCTTTGACCTACTGACCCCAAAAACAATAGGGATCATCAGCTCTATAAGACCAATCATCCTATGAAGTTTGAGGGCTGTAGGTCAAAAGGAACTCTAGTTATCGTCCGGAAACGAAGAATGGACGGACGGACTGACGGACTGACGGACGGACGGACGGACTGACGGACGGACGGACGGACAGGGCAAAAACAATATGTCTCCCCCCGAGGTGGGGGAGACATAATAACATTATTGCTATTTCGGACTTAAATATTTATTCACAATAACTATAAATTATTCTGTAGAAAGAGCAAACATGTGCTGTGCTTTATATCATTGTGATAATGGTTCTAGAACATTTAGATTACCAAAAAGATGTCAAAATATGCAAAAATACCCCTTACAGCATGAATAATGTAGTAAAAATATGGTGTAAAATACTGTAAATCGGTCATAACTTGCACATAACATGGAATTTATTACACTTCTCTTGAATCTTTTACTTTTCTTAAAACCTTAGTAATTTTTTCTCAGTTTGATTATCTTAAAGTTATCTTTGGCTTATCTGGAAGCATGCAACTTTAATGGGCTTTAAATAAAATGATTTTTATTGATATCAAGGAGAGTATTACTGACCCCTCTTCCACCTCCAACACCAGTATATGGAAAGCCTAAACACACAACTGCTGACACAGTCTCCTGTAGAGCTACCTGAAATAATATACTATCCGTTATACAAGTCACCCCAGTTAAACAAGTGGCCCATGGGAAATACCCGAGAATATAGCCTGAATGAGATAAATATGACCCAAGACACAAGCCAAAAATTATATACATGTCAGCAAGGCTATATTCTCCCGTATATCCCTGAAATAATTCACTAATCATCCAACTCAAGGCTACATTAAATAACATAGTATAATCTTAAAAAAGGCTAAGTAATGGAAAGAATTTAATCAAAAGCCCAACTGTCTACAAGTATAAGGCTACTTCACACAATTGTGAACATGTATCTAAAGTAAGTGAATTAAAGTTTTATCTTAAAGGAGCTCCACTGAGGTCAAAAAACAAAAACATAAAATTTGAAATTCTTACATACATCAAGTGAAGCACTTAAAATGGGAAAATTCCAAAAGTATATTAAAGAATTATACTATACTAAGAATTAAATTGAATATTGAATGTGCAATTTATAGTCTAATTTGAGTAAACAAAATTGCAATGCTTAATTTCCATATTTGGCTTATTTTGCATGATAAAAATGATTATTCTGGAAAAACAGAGTGACATGTTGATCTGATATTTAGCACACATGTTATTGGTCCAGATCTTTATCAAATAGAACATAAAACTTGAAAAATTATTTAAAGTCCAGCCATGTCAAAAACCTTCAGTGGAGTCCCTTTAAGCAAGGCTATCTAAATCAAAGCAATATCATTTTGTATTAGGCACTTCTGTTACATAATTTTATCATCAGGCCCCGTGTTCACAAAGATTTAAGGATCAGGATCAAGATCAAGATCAAATTTAAAAACCCTAATATTCTTCATTGTTTATCCTCATAGATAAATATCTAATTATAAATTTGATAAAACTGGTCTTGAAATAGCAAGTATATGAAATTTTAGAATAAATTTTAGAATAAATTTAGAATAAATTAATTGTTAATTTTGCAAGATATGGGCATTTTACAGTTGATCCAAATATTGATCCTGATCCTAAAATTGATCCTTATTTTGATCTAAATATTTTTGTATTTGTTTAATTATTTGTTGATTTTATCCCAAAATAGTTTGTTTTCTTTGCAAATCAGCATATTTTTTATATTTTGAATATTTACAATTTAATTCAACAAAACACAAATAATTTTAGTAACATTAAACAATGAAAATAAAATCAAGATCACTTGATCCTGATCCTGATCTTTTCTTACACGGGGCCTGGTCAGCCATTTTTTCATGTCACAGATAATGGACATCATGAACTAACAAAGGACATCGCCACCTATTTTATTGAGCTTTATTTAGCTTTATATAATTTTAAATTAAATCAATTTAATGAAATTCCACCTGGCAAATTTCAATAACTTAGCAGCTTTCCATTTTGGTAGATATTGCCTTTTAAAACAATTCATGACATAAATTTATCAAATCATCCAGGCTCAGAGTTTATAAAGAAATTCTCTAAGCTCCACTCAGATCTCTGGACTGTATTTGATTGGTCAGAAACTGGTGCAGAATGAACATCGACCAATGAAAATCCAGATATTTAAATCAGAACTTAGAAGAAGGTTTTATAACTTCAATGCCAGCAATCTCACTGTACAACATTTCTGTTTAATATATGAACTTAAGGTCAAGTAAAGTATAGGCATGTAGTCATTACGACATGACCAGTAATGAGATAACTTTTTGACCAGTTGCTTTACTTATACATCACTGTTCTTTTAAACTTTAGGGCAGTTACAAAATCAAACAGTTCCTTGTACATTACTGTAACATTGAAATAAAGGGCAGTTACAAATTATTATCCCTTATCTTTGAACTTGGTTCTATTTATTATGCAATAATTAAAGGAACTCCACTGAGGTCCTAAAGCTTTATATGGTAAAAAACACATGCCAAAAAATAAAACCACAACATTTTGGGCTAGAACAGTGAAAATATGCCAACACAAAAATATCCCATGTGGTAATTGCGAAAATATACCAACACAAAAATTTCTTAGTGTTGTGATTGTAAAAATATGCTAACCAAGCTGAATGTCACAACAATCAGCAATTCTATCAAAATATGTCTAATATTTACAATAACTTTCCAACTATCATTTTAACCCCACCAATTATCACAGCAATTTACAACTGGCATTGCCTAATGGATGGTCGTTTGAACTTTTTCTTGGAGTAGTGCAATTCTTTAAAAGGAACTCCACTGAGATGAAAAGGCTTAAAACATAACACTGCAACTTTCACAGAGAGATATGTAAAAGATTATTAGAAAAAATACTCGGAAATAAATTGATAATTGTAGGTTTCTGCTATTCCCAGAAAAGTGTGTATCGCTTTTCAATTTTGGATCATTTTTCATGATAAAAATTATTACTCTGGAAAAACAGAGTGAGAGAACGATCAGAAATTATGCACAAAAGTTATTTGGTCAAAACTTACATCAAATAGAACATAAACCTCGGAAAAAGTATTTCAAGTTCCGTAATGTCATAAAACCTCTTGAATCCCTTTAAAAAGGCAAATCTATTTATAATTTATATACTTACATGACATGCGACTAGAGCCCCTATGTTCCAGCCCAGTAAAACTATTGGTCTGTTCAGAAAATGGCCTTTCAACTGTGAAATAAACAACAACAATAAAATATTAAAATATTTTAAATTTTAAAACTTGTTTTATACTAACGGTTTATACCACCAACGTTGCATGTCAAAAATAATTGTATATACTGGCACCCTGTTATAGTGCTCAAGTTGGATCCAGGGTCTCAAACAACAATATATAAACAGGGTTCTGATATACATGTATAACGCTCGTCACAAGATCGGACTGCTGACGGGTATAAAATAGTTTATACAAATCTATTTTAGTTTGATTGTGTTGGAAGGTATAAGCTGATTGCAACACTCTCAAATCCGTTCCTGGAACCAGCCAGCATTGAGTATGAAGTTTCTTGCTTAAGGTAACGATGACTTGCCCCTGATGAGGTTTGAACCCACGCCGTCAGCAATCCTTAGATTACTAGTCAAGTATATATGAATGATGGCTATAAACTCACATTGTTACCCCACCCATATACCTGTACATACAACAGGTAAGGTTTGTTATATTAAATCAAAGAAAGTTATTTACAATAATTTACTTGTTTCTACTTGTAAATAATTAAAACAAATACTATCTTGTAAAATATCATAAGGTTTTGTATAAAGCAGCAAGCATCCAGATTCATGCTAATTTTCCTGAAAATTTTGAAAATGTATTTATAAGTAAAATATTGTGAAATGAACAAAGAAAGTATTTTCAGAAAACTCATAAGTATATAACAAATTTGCATATTATCTTGTCAGTACAAATATGTAACTTCTCTCCAAGCATTTGGCAAGTTAACTTACCTCAACTACTTTAGTTTTCACCGCAACAATCATGTGCTCCAGACACTGGGCAATACTAACACCGCTACCGTTGTTCACCGTATGCATGGTAACCGGTATCACCTTCCCAATGCTCATCAGCTGGTTGGTCCAGTACTTCATACGTTTTGATTGTAAACTGTTGGCATTGGTTGGTCCACTGGGAGCTACCAGGATCAACGGATTGCCGGGTAGTTTCTGTAACAATAAAAGTCATTTTTCAAACTTGTCAAAATGTTTCTTAAAACAAGTTGTATCATAGTTTTTTGGGACCTTTCTGTTGAAAATGACTCAGAGTTAAATCGTATACAAATACACTGATACAGGCACAGTGCATTAACTACAGTGCAGGTATGAGTTAACCCACTCCAGTTAATGCACTTTCTGTCGCCAATAAAAATATAGCATGCTCAATGATTGGCTCATAATTTCTAGGGTATACTTAATGTGATGACAAGGAAAGGGAACATCAAAACACTTAGCAATCTGTCTAGTACTTAGACTGTAGGAGTGATATATGATTTGAGCACTTAAAAAGTTTAAAAAAGAAAACATGTGCTTTCAGTAGGATAGGGCACTCAACTATTTTCAGTGATTGGCAGTAAGGACAGGGGCATAACTTTGTAAAAAGTTCACTCAGAGTAATGGGACCTGTGCCCATCATGTTTCGTTACCATAGAGAATAAGTGTTTGAAGATTCAACCCATTCCTTTCAGTAGCTTAGGGAAAACCAATATGCATGCAAAAACTTAACCAACATGTGACTGCAACACCAACACCTGGGTGAGTACAATTGCTCTTCCTTTTGTTCTATAGTTGAGCTTAAAACAACTGTCATTTCACTTGCATTTTGCCAGTCTGCAAGAGTTTAATTTAAACCCAGCATATTAGGTATAATAAAAATTAAACCATTAAAGTTGTATTTACATTTACCAATTTGTTTTGTGAGTATATATTCATCACAGGGTCCCATGGTTTCTTTATCAAATTAGCCATCAGATCTCCACTCAGAGTATGTGCTCTTGGTGAATAACCTCCATTTGCTACCATTTTATCTACAAGACTTGGAACCTGAAAAATAATCATTATTCCAGAGACTGTATTTACTCTTACCTTACTAAATTTGTATAATGAATTTGCCAAGCTTAGAACTTCAAACAGGGCATTCAAAGTTTAGGGAATTTCAACATCAAAATACATGCCTTAAGCTATCAACAGTCTTTTTATTTTTTGTCACAAACAAAGTTTACACCATTTTATATCTTCTTTTCGTATGATTAATTTAGAAAAAGGGTTAAAGCGGCCTTTACTTTAGATAAATCATTTAATTGTCAATTTAAAAGAATAATGTTGGAAAATGAAATTTGCCTACAATAAAATGCAAAAACAATAAGGAAACCCCTACCTATTATCTACCAGGCCACTCTCTGTTAATAAGTTAGAAAAGTGGACGATTTGTTTCCCGGTCTTTTATTTTTAGAAACGAACATTTCTTACTTGTTATAAACAGCTATAGGGATGCTGTCTTGAAGAAGGCTTAACAGTACTATGATGCACTTTTCCAAAATAAAATTACTAAAATACTTAGTTTGAAACAACACAGAATTGTTTTTTTCCAACAGAGAATATAAACTGAATGCCACTTTCTTTAATCAAAGGGGAGCGGTGGCCTAGTGGTTAAGGTGTCTGCCTCTCAACCCAGAGATCATGGGTTCGAGCCCTACTCTGGTCACCACCATGTTTCTCCATATGACACCAGTACTGGTTGGTTCCAGGAAGCGGACTCAAAAGTGATTAATATCAGTTGCAAGAACTTGTTTCGCAATCGAGCTTAAATAAATATGTTTAAACCAAACTGCACATAAATTATCCTTACCTTTGATCTTAATGTCTGTAACACGTCTATATATGCAGCCAGTAATGTTGTGCTTAAATTATCTAACAGAACGCCATGTAGCCACTGGGTCATCCTCGTGTCCTAAAACATTAAAGATATCCTATGCTCAAATTTAGTAATAGAAAATATTGATAACTGCTACGCAGTCTCTTTGTAAATATAAGATAAACATGTTTTGACTTCACACAAAGTAGATGTGTTATGTTTAAAATTATACACACTAAAGGTGATCACCATGTGAATATATAGTGTAATTAAAAAAAATGGCAGTTTTTTTTTCAAGAAAAGATCAACTTTTCTTGACCTGTAATAAGGAACACAGCTTCCTGTACATAGCTTATTCATAAATATTTCAGCATAAATCTTTCAGCAATTACAAGCTAGGTAGGTTTGTTTGTGTTTTTGCTAATCATGACAACAACATAAATCTTACCCATTTAACACTGGCTAGTGCCTGGCGAAACCTTTTAGCTGTCTTATCTACTTGATTCCTTCTTAAAACAGCCTCATTTATATTCTGAAATAAAAAATATAACCTTGCAACAGTTATAATTGGACTTGATTTAAAGAGTCTTAAATCTTGAAAAGGGGAGATTACAGAGACCACCATAACAAATGAAAATATATATATGAGCTGCGTCACAACAAAACCAACATAATGGGTTTGCGACCAGCATGGATCCAGACCAGCCTGCGCACAGACCTGGGGATGATTACATTGATCAGTAATTGATTTAATTACAATTACTTTCAGATTTTATTGTAATTGATTACAATTGATTACTCAGACTTGCCTCTGTAATCAATTAAATTACAATTACTTTGAGAAAGTAATTGATTGATAATTGATTACATTCCATGTATAACTATAAACAAAAGTTTCTTAATGCTATTTAATATATACATTATATACATTATATACACAAAGGATTTCCAGCTCATCAACAGTCATCATTTTAACACACTTTTAGTAACTGTCGCATCACTTTATCATATTTTAGCATTGCACTTTAGCATCAGGCTGCGCATAGACTGCGCTGATGCACAGGCTGGTCTGGATCCATGCTGGTCGCAAACGCATTATGTTGGGTTTGTCATGACGCGGCTCAAATTATATCAAAATTGCAGACTTGGTTTGATTAAATCTGTTCATGGAAGATAATGTACAAGTGCAACATTTCTTATGCATCCTAAAAACCTTACCAGCAAATGAAGGCAAGAAATTCATAAAATACAGGCTACTGGCCTAAAGAACATATCATACTCAATGTTAAAAGCAACATTTATAAAATTGTTCCATAAGTCATATAACAATTATCTAATATCTACGGTGATAAGAAATCACAAGATGGTGTTGATACAGACAGTGATATTTGCAATTAAAAAATTATCATTTGATGATAATAATTCATAAAATTTATTCAATTCAGTTACTATACCAATTTAGTTATTCCATCTTCTGCATGCTCATTCTGCATGCTCAATTAGAAAAAATAATTGGAAAAAAAAATACATACGATTGCTAATACTTATGTCATATAAGAAAAAATTATTAAAAACCATATATTAAAGGTTTTTTAGGGGGGGGGGGGAGGGGAACAACACATTAAAACACCAGGTTGTTTATATATCATTTTAACTGCCGGTTTCAGGTAAGATAAAAAAATATAATTACAGATTCAAAGGCGAGTCTGGAGAGCCTATCACTGTGAAGTATTTTATTGATCTTGTTAAACAGTCTGTTCTGTTGTGCTGTCCATCCTGCCCTGAAAAAACGAAAACAAAACTTGGACAATAAGAAAAGGGGCATAACTCTTTGCCTTTTATTAAACATTGCTTTCAAATGTATAGCCACAAACAAAATTCTATTATCAGGTACTGTACAGCAAAACCAAGTTACTTTTACATAATTGTGCAGGAAACCAATTGGCTCAATAGGGAGATCATCTGATTAGTAATTCTGAGGGTCACTGGTTAGAACCTCAGACCAGGCATAGTCTCTGTAAGACAATTGACTTTAGACATTGAGTCTAACAACCATTTGTCTCTGAGTCTCAACACTGATTTCAGAAATCATGTGGGATTTGAAGTCAGTCACTTGCAAGAAAATTAGTTATTACTGCTTAGTTATCCAGGAAGTGATTAAGTGGACCAACAGCTCAAATATGACCAAAAATATGTGTTAAAAATTGATTTGGAACCAGAAATTTAAAACAAACCACAATCAAAATCTACCCCATATATATTCACAAACATTTAAATAATTTTTACTGGTTACTCTCTACCACAGGAACTGAAATTCTATCAATATTAACAATAATATCCAAAAATACCCCCTATATAGTATAACAAAAACTCTTACTATATAGGGGGTATTTTTGGATATTATCATTAATATTGGTTATTTGATAGAATTTCAAGTTCACGTGTCTCTACATACCTTACAACTTTGTCCTCCCAATCATCGCCTCTTTCATCTCTCAAACTGCTTAATTGTTTCTCTGTCTCATTCATAACTGACCGGGCTTTACTGATATCATATGTGGTCGGCATTTTTGTATGAACTGTCACTACATCCAATGGAATATCTGGTTCCCTGCAATACATATACATAATAATTATAGATATCTTCATGTAACAACAGACAAACCTGTAGGTATGAAATTCATATCAACACATGATACTAAAAATGCCAAAATACTGTGACCCACCCTTAAAATTTAACACAATTAAGAAATGAAAGGAAATGCAAAATGGTTACTTTTAAGGTGATGTCATGTAATATTATAACTATGCTTTAATCAAAGGGTTTAGTAATAAATTTCAACTATCCTTTACTATCATAATTATTTCTATTTCAGCTATCCTTTACTATCATAATTATTTCTCTGTATCACTTTATAACATTCAAAGTCTCTATTTAAAAATGGAAAATCAAACAAAAATTTTCAGTAGAACAGTTTGCTTGACTAGTTTCATTGTTTTTTATAAATAATGTATAATGGATAATGTAAAATCTTGTAAGTTCAAATAAGGTCATAATTCTGTAAAAATCCATGTAAGAATTATGGGCTTTGGACAGTGACCTCATATTGTGTTCTCAAATGAGTGTATAAAGTTTCAATCTATTTCCTTCAATATCTTTTTAAAAACCAACTTGTACGCAAAACCTTAACCAAAGTGTGACGCCAGGGCGAGTACCATAGCTCTCCCTACTCTTCAAATACTGGAATAGTCAAGCCAAAAATTGATTTATCTTACGGTATTGATTGCTCTAAAGTTCTATTCCTTGGAAACTTGTCCATGAAGAGTGTTCTGAGGGGCCGGGCATTGCTGGCATCCGGATGAGCACTCCAAGGTTTTGAATAACAGTGGTCTATACTGACCACATCTAGTATAAGTCCGGACATCATTTTGTCTACAATAACAGAGACACCTCAGTCTTCCTGAAATATTAAAGAAACATAGTGTTGTTTTTTTCTAGAAATTCAAAAATAAGGGGTCTTTTCCCCCTATCTGCTTTTGTTACATCTTAATCTGGTTGGAGATAAATAAGATAAAATATATATACATGCTAGACCTTTACCTTAAACCCAGTGAACCAAAACTCCATCCAAACTTAAAGGACCACCTTAGGCAGGTTCCTTGTAAATACGACAATTAAAAATAAATAAACCATGGCTGTAGAAAAATAGTGTAAAAATTCTATTACTAGCACAAGTGACCTTGACCTTGTGACTCCCAACACTGGACCTTCCAAATATATGAAAAACACCAGGCAAAAATTAAAGGCTGTATAAGCAAATGTGTAGAAATCTATGACTGATACTCTTGACATAGATCCACTGACCCCTAACTCAAGAACAATTCAATGCAAGTTATCTTCCTGCCAAATATGAAAGACATCTGTCAAGAACTAAAGCCGCATGGGCAAGTTTACATGTAAAATCTAAACAAGAATTTGTAACAGAGTTACCAACGTCCCCCGCCTCGGGGAATTTTTATACGAAGCATAAAATTGTTCTATTTCAAAAGATTGAGGTATGGATCTCAGGACTTTCAGTCCAAACTTATGATCAATGCTAGATCTGCAAATGCAACAATAAATTAATTAAAGAAATAAAATGAAACACGGAATTTAAAAATTTATCATGTAAAGCTTTGACCTCTAAATGTGACCTTGACCTTGGAGGTAGGGGTGCAGGTGTTATGCATGACTAATCATCTTATTATTGTAACTATTTGTGCCAAGTATTTTCAAAATCCCTTGAACTATGAAGAAGTTATAGATTGGACACAAAATATACCCTATAACAGACTATGTAAATCTTTGACCTCTAAGTGTGACCTTGACCTTGGAGGTAGGGACACAGGTGTTACACATGACATATCATAATATCATTGTGACTATTTGTGCCAAGTATTTTCAAAATCCCTTGATCTATGAAGAAGTTATGGAAGGGACACAAAATATACCACAAACAGACTGTAAACCTTTGACCTCTGAGTGTGACCTTGACCTTGGAGGTAGGGGTGCAGGTCTTGTACTTGACATATCGTCATCTTATTGTGACTATTTGTGCCTAGTTATTTTAAAATCCCGAAGAAGTTCTTGATCTGACACAAAATATACCCTAAAACAGACTATGTTAATTTTTGACCTCTAAGTGTGACCTTGAACTTAGAGGTATAGATGCAGATGTTGCGCATGACATATTGTCTTATTATAGTGACTATTTGTGGCAAGTATTTACAAAATCTTTCGATCTATGAAAAAGTTATGGACCGGACACAAAATATCCCCTTTAACAGACTATGTTAATCTTTGACCTCCAAGTGTGACCTTGACCTTAGAGGTAGGTGAAGGTTGTTGCACATAACACATTGTCTCATTATTGTGAAAAATTGTGGCAAGTATTTACAAAATCCCTTCAAAGATAAGAAAGTTATGGACCGGACATGACATATACCGTCAAATAGACAATGTTGACCTTGAATGAGCAAGTGCGACCTTGACTTTGGAGGTAGGGGTCTGGTTGTTGCGCATGACACATCGTCTTATTATAACAAACATTTGTGCCAAGTTATTTCAGATTCCTTTGATAAATGACAAAGTTATGGACAGGACACGAAAGTGTGACGGACGGACGGACAGACAGACGGACAGTCTAAGCCTATTTCTAAATCCCCCTTTTTTCTTCGAAAAGGAGGGGGACAATTAAGCACTTGTGACCTTGACCCAACTTGCCCCTTATTCCATCCAAAGGATGAAGATTTTTTAAAACTTCAGCATTTGTCGCTGAAATATTGTATATCATGTTAAAAATAAAAAATTAACACACTCAAGCTTTAATCTGAATTAAATCTTTTCATGTACATATCTGTCTGGACACATGGTACTGTAGTACATGGACAATTGAAGTAAATTTGATACCCTCGACGACAAGCCTCAGATATAAGTGTCAACATAATCAGAAATAAACAAACTAAGTTGTTAGTTACCAGAAGAACCTAGCTGTACTGTGTCAAATTTTCAGGTCTCTAGGTTTGAAATTATAAAATCTTTATGGGAAAACGTTCAAAAAGTGTCCGTTTATGGTCCCCGACCAGTAGTCAGCCAAACTTCTGTGAAGCTGGCAACGAAAAAAAAAGCACATTTTTTATTCAAGGGCAATAACTCGGCCAAAATCATTCCCATAACTCGGCCAAAATCATTCAACTGGAAAACACTTCTAATATTAAATCTAATATCCGCAAGGACTTGAGCTATGTACAGAGCAATCCTGTAAAGTTTCATTGAAATTGCATAAGTGGTATATGAGGAGTAGTCCGAACAAACTTTAAAATAAAAATCATAAAAGGGCCGTAACTCCAACAAAAACCTTGATCCTTAAAATGCCAAAATCATGCACAACTAGACTTGGTATTGATCATTCCTGTAAAGTTTGGGTGAAATTGGACCAGTAGTTTATGCGGTGTTGTCTGGACAAGTTTTGTGACGGACCGACAGAGGATGGAGAAGTGATTCCTATCGAATCCGGGTCAGCTCGGCCCTAAAACGTACTCGGCCCCCGAGTCAGCTCGGCCCTATTTCAACTCGGCACGGGTCAACTCGGCCCACTTTTCAATTATTAATATTTAGGTTTGTGTTATCACTATTTATTGTAATTATGGTAATTATTTATAATACACGGATTGACAGTTTCCAAACTAGCAGCAGACAGGCTTTTCTTATCAGTAGAATTGCGAGTAAAGATAACTGATTGCGTATCTCACTGTATTTCTGACTCATGGTAGGTTTAACCGTAAATTTAAATACCTTCAGTGTCAAAGAATGTGTTGAAATATATACTGAGAGAAAGCTAAGATTACCAGCTTTTAATTGATGTAATAAATGTTAAAATCGGACATTTAATCGCCCCAAACTAGAGATGATAACGTAACTTTACAAACAAAATGCATCTAAGGAAACACATTTTTATTAGATCTATATTAATTTTATCGAATCTGCAAGACAAATAAATAACATTTTTTTTCTAAATATACTTTATTTCAGCAGAAGTACAATGTATAATTATATAATAATAAGATATTTCTTATCATTCATTTACCTTTACAACATGCAAAGCAAAGTTAATACGTTATATATATTTTTGTAAAGTGGGCCGAGTTGACCCGTGCCGAGTTGGTATAGGGCCAAGTTGACTCTTTTCCTTCCTATCAGTCGCCACTACTCTGTAAAGAGGACACAATTAAAATATGTTTGCCACTACTCTGTAAAGAGGACACAATTAAAATATGTTTGCAAAATATACACATATATATATACTATGATATAGCTTGGGTCATAAACAGTGTGTAAATAAATCTTTTTCACATTTTCTTTGTCGCGAAATCATATGAAAAATAAGAACTGATGATAGATAGAGAAAAAGACTATTGCAACATCATGGAAAACGGTAAAATTCTTACACATATATGCATAACAGTATTGTAATCGTAAAATGCTCCTTTCAATGAACAACACAAAACTTAAAAAATATTATTGACCGAAGCGACATCTGTAAACATTTAAACTAACAGCAAGAGCTAAAATCAACAACAAGATCTTAAAATACCACAAATACTTAACCCTTACCCTTAATATAACACTGCACTTTAGTAATGTCGTTTTTCATTGGATAACCGTGACGTCTATATAGTTTTATATATACATGTACACTGCTTCTGTAAAATTTTGAAGAAATCTCACTTTTTTCTCTATTTAGAGATGCTTACTGTACTGTATAACAGATTCGTTATAAATATTTCTGACAGGTTATATGACCTTTGCAATATTAACCAAAAAAAACGTTTATATAGGGCCATATAACCGTTCCAAAAATCTTATAATACATGGATATTTTTGCGAAAATATTTATAATGATAATTATTATTGTTGTTGATGATGTTGTTATTGTTGCTGCTGCTGGTGCTGACATTGTTATTGAGAGTATAAGACCAATATGAAAATAAGATCTGTATAAGTATAAGATCTGTACGAAAATAAGATCAGTATGGGAATAATATTTGTACGAAAATAAGATCTGTACAAAATTATATTTAAATAAAAGAATGTCAATACGAAATTAACATGCATCTGTACGAAATTAAGATCTGTACGAGAAGAAGATCTGTCTGAAAATAATATCTGTATGAAACTAAAATGTACTGTACATGAAAATAACACCCGTGTGAAAATAACATCTGTATGAAAATAAGATCTATACAAAAATAAGATATGTACTTAAATAAGATCTATATGAGAATAAGATCTTTACGAAAGTAAGATCTATATGAAAATAATTTCTAAAATATAGGTAAAACTCTTTTTCAACAACAAAACATTTATGAGGGGCAGATCATTAAAAGAACAAACACACATACACAATTTCAAATAAATCATTTTCTTATTATAATGTCTTTATTTTTCAAATACATAACATACCATATTTAAACTTTGTTTTATCTTCTACTTTCTTTAATTATAGAATTTCAAGATCAGATTGACATTTTGGTCAGTAATGTAAAGGGAATAACTCTTGAAATATATGATCGACAATAACAACAAGGAAAGGAGGCGTTCAATGAATGTATCCACACACGACCCAGCAACATGAAGTCGTACTCTGCAGTCTGTCAAAAAGTATCTTCAGATTCATTGAATTTTATTAGAATGTTTTAATTCGAATCTTATAAAGATTTTATGTACCACGTCCTTGCCCATTCCGATGTAATCAGAAAATTTGTTTCTTTACACACTGAATGCCACCAAATACTGTTTCCACTATTAAAGTGAAAGTTGAAGTGCTGCTTTTTGTGAATTTGGATAGAAATTGTTAGAATTTTTTTCATTTCAAATAAATTCTGTCATTGATAGGAAAATCCAAATGTGCCTGTGTGTGCTGAAAAAACTTCTTTATTTTACCCCATATTTAACGGTTAAACTTATAATTTCATGTTCCGACAAGTGAAGGTCGTCTGCTGAAACTGTAGTGACAGCATATTCTGTAACAAAAAATTATACTGAAGCCAAAAAGGGCCATCAATTAACGTACCACGGTACCATAGTGCTCTCAGTATAAGCTCCTATTCTAAACATGGCTGACGGACCATAGGTGTTTCTAATTAAAATCATTGAGTTATTCTGTGAATGACATGTGTATTTTAAAGTCAAGATGCGACAGGTAAACACAATTCAATAAAATAGTAAATATAAGTTCTTTTTATTTGTACAATTTGCTGGAAATAATAAGAACAGTGATACCATAGGGGACCATCATATGTAACAAGTTAATTTAAAAGTAAAGTTTGGTTATCCTCTATTTTCCATGCATAAGGGATAATGAAAAAGTGCAACATCACGTCCCTAGCACCGGATTTAGCGGTACTCAATTTTCAACACTATAAGTTCATGGTCCCGATGGACCAGAAAAATATAACAGCACTAAAATGAAGTACGGGGCAACTTTTTACAGCAGCCACACAGCACTTGACACTCGCAGTTTTGAAGAAAACAAATCTTGAAAAAACTTATCCCTTAGAAGTAGTAACTACAATAAAATTACATGAAAATTGCATCTTTTTGACTTAGTTTCATTTATTCTCCATTTTGGAAGTAAGGATATTGGTTCAAACCCATGCCCATACCTAAAACGTATGAATTCACACAAAGTTTCATAGAAAATTCTGTGCGTAAAATGACAACACAATTAATAGTCATGCACTCTATTATGAGTTGGACAGAGTGTCGTTAATTATATACGTAAGTTACGAATGTAAAAATTCTGGCTTAAAATACTGAAGTAAGACGAATCTAGTATCAAACGTCAAGTTTATGAATGCTTACATATGACTCGGACAATAATATCATTTAGGGAGGCGGAAGAACGGGGATTTTCTAGTGAAACTTGTTTTACAGGAAATGATAGTCAGCATTGAAGAATATTGAAAATTTAGTGTCAACAAATAAAAAGAATTAATGTTACAAATTTACAAAACATACTAACTTTGCAACAAAGTCACGAAACGACAACTTCACAAATATATGTGCATCATTTTGCTCTATGTAAAATTGAAAATTAAGTCTCAAAAGTTATTATAATTGTGGATTGACAACAATAAATACCCTGTGTAAACCATTTCTCATGTATTTGAGTTGATTGTTATTGCTACAAATTGTGTAAGTTTAAAGCTGAATAAAGTGTATTGTATATACATGATGATAATTAAATATCATATAGGTTTACTGAATAAAAAAAAACAATAGTCTCATTGGTACCGAAGTGAAGAGATGCATGTCAAACAGTTGGCATTTTTTACAGTTAATATGCCATGATTGTTATCTGTGTTAAACAATCAAAATTAGGCTTTTCTTATTTCATTCTTGTATTCTATGCATATCATATATGTTAATTAATTGTGACTATATATGAGTACCAGATATATTTTATAGATTAAAGAGGCAGACTTACTTAGATTAAAAGCAGATAGAGTGATATAATGATTGAATCAAGTCGCTATGAAAGAGAAAGTGTAAAGATGAGAAAATTACAGCTTGAGGAAGAAAAGAAGAGACAGATGATATTAGAGAGAGATAGAAAGTTACAGTATGAATTAGAAATGAAGAGAAAGGCTGAAATAGAACTGCAGGATTAAAGAATAAATTTTCTTGAAGATAGAGCTAAATAAACAGAGAAATGAAAATGATAGGATATAGAAAGAAAGAAATGATTAAGCGTATGCGTCAAGAACAAGCGATGGAACAGAAAATTGATCTGTTGAAATAGAAAGAGAAAATCCTAAAGGATCGAATGACTGAAACGAAAGACGATGACTTGACTAAACTTCGAAGGGATATCCACTATTTAAATTAGGCCTACCAAAGATTCCAAACTTTGACGGAAGTCACTTTGAGCAGTGGAAAGTTGAAGTGAACTGCTTACAAGAAACAGGAATATATCCTGAATACGCTATGGTGCAAGCCGTTAGGAATTCTCTTGGAAATGTGAAGACGAGCGATAGAATTGCCCAAGACTTTTACTCGGCCACACAGAAGGAAAATGAACATGGCCCCTAAGAGTAGAAACCTTATTTCAATATGCAGTAGATGAGGAAGAAATGGATGATAGAAAATGCGATACCAAGTTGAATTTAAGTTCAAGTTGAAAGATAGATTTTGGAGAGGTCTCAAATCGGAGAAGCTTAAGTCAGCGAGTCGAGTTTCATATGAATCAAATAGTATGGTAATGAAACTTATAAAAGTAACAACAATTCATTTTTTTATTGTCTTAATTATTAAGTAAGTTTTTGAGTAGTATTGATGCTGTCTTTAGGTTTGCTTGACGTGTTTCTTGTGATTCTCTGTGTGTTTTTGGGGTATAGATGGATACCGAAAATAAGCTATTTTCGCGAAAATAAGATCGCGGCTACGAAAATAAGATTTATTTTTTAAATAGTGCATTTATCTGTTGAAATAATTATGTGCAATATTGTGTGTAATCATGTGCACGTGCCATACGTTTTATTAGTTTTTTCCTTCTCTCAAATATTTCAATTCAATTCATTTTCAATTCATTATATTTCAATAGAAATAACTTGTTTATGCATTATCTAATTAAAGCACTTAAAGCAATAAAGTTATATACTTTTCTTTTACTTAATATAGATATTATTTTCATATTAGAATCTACATGTATTTTTAATTATCCTTTATATTGGTAAACTCATTTCCATATTGATATCTTATTTTCATATAGATATCTTATTTGCTTACAGATTTTGATCTCTTTTTCGTATCATTTTTGAAACAGATATTATGTTCATACTAATACATTTGTATTATTTTCGTATAGATCTTATTTTCGTAAGGAAATCATTTTCATGCAAATTTCATATTCACAGATCTTATAAAAATATTTGTAAAAATCTTTGTCGAAAACATAATTTTCATACAGATTTTATTTTTGCAGAGATCTTATTTTCGTTTACGAGTAGATCTTATTTTCGTGCAGATATATCAATCCATGCAGTAATTGTTTTAACAGATCTTATTTTCGTACATATGCAGTATAGTATTTTCATACATGTATTTTTTTTAACAAAGCTCATTTTCGTATATATATCTTATTTTGGCAAAGATCATATTTTCAATTAGATCTAATTTTCGTACAAATATCAATACATATATACGGATTTTAATTGTTTACATATCTTATTTTCGTATAGACCATCAATTGGATCTTATTTTCGTACATGTAGTATTTTCATACATAATTTTACATAATTTTCAAACTTACGGGTCTTATATATTTTCGTAGAGTACTGAACAGTATAGACTTTATTTTCGTACATATTCTATATGCAGTAGATCTTATTCTTGTAGTCGTTGTTTCTGGTTATTTTATAAATATTATTTTCGTAGACCCTATCTTACCAATTTCGCTTTAAGCTATTTTCGTACGATCGTATTTTCGGCTCAAACTTCACTTTTTAAAATATTTTTTTTGGTTCCGAAATTTTAATCTGCTGTAAATTCATTCAATGAATTTATAAATATATTACTTACATAATTATTTCAACAGATAAATGCACTATTTAAAAAATAAATCTTATTTTCGTAGCCGCGATCTTATTTTCGCGAAAATAGCTTATTTTCGGTATCCATCTATACCGGTGTTTTTGATATCTTTGGGGTGATTAGTGCACTCGCAACTTTTCGGCTCTTTCCGTCAATAATCGGAGAAATCTAAAACCGAAAGTAAATATTTTCGGAAAATTGAACTATTTTCTTTGAATCTTGGCGTTAAAAATTGATTTTTATCATTATTAATTTGACCTATTGTCCAAACATTTACAACAAAACACGGTATGTATGCTTCTGGTTCTCGTGTCTTATTTATTCTGTCAACTTCTGACAAAAAATTGTTTGCCAAATTTATTAAACAGTTAAATATCTTTATCAAACATTATCTAAAAGTAAAGAAATTTTCATAGACAAACATTACCTAAAAGTAAAGAAAATTTACATAGACAAAGCGTATGTTTAATAGAAATATTTTCTATAAAAATAATAAGTGTTAAGGTGTGAAGGGTCTTAGTGATTTTTGGGGTGAAGTGGTGTGTCTTGAAGTTGAGGTGTGAAGTGTCTTTTACATTACATTACAGACTTATGTATTTGCGTTTAACGTTGCAGAAGACATCGCCGGTCAAATATTTTCTCAATTTGAACCAACAAAAGTTTTATTTAGTTGTACTGTACACTGGTCAAACAGATCTACAATCTTTCATTCATTAAAAAAGACTGATACATTTGATTTGGTTTATGTCACAGGGTGAGAAAAATGTGCAGCCTGACCGGGACTTGAAACCGGGAGCCTCGGAATACGGTACCGTGGCTCTAGCGACTGAGCTATCCGGCCGCTTACACACTTTCTCCCCTAAATAGTGAACAGTTCTGAACCGTGACATACTCCCCTGCTATATTGAAATTCGTCCTCGAATTTCACATTGTTACAGAGCAATTTTAAATTAAACTCTGAGCTATATCAGTCACGGCCCCATGTTGGGTGCCAAATGTCAACGGGTGAGAAAAATATGCAGCCTGACTGGGACTCGAACCCGGGACCCTCGGAATACCGTACCGTGACTACCGACTGAGCTATCCGGCCGCTTACACACTTTCTCCCCTAAATTGTGAACAGTTCTGAACCGTGACATTTATACAGAATTTATTTTAGTTCGATTGTGTAGGAAGCTATAAGCTTATAGACACACTGCCGAATCCTTTCCTGGAACCAGCCAGTACTGAACAATGAGTTTAAAGTTTCTTTCTCAAGGAAACAACGACTTGCCCCTGGCAGGGTTTGAACCCATGCAGCTAGCTATCATTAGATTACTATTACGACGATTTAACCACTTGGCCATGTTGATTTGTTACATCTTTAATAACTTTAATCCAAAAATATGATAAAAATGCTATAAAATAATGCTCACAAACTTGGACTTAAAAAATAATGTCTTAAAAATCTTTAAGTGCCTTAAAAATCTTTTTTTTCTACCATGTATTTTATCATAACAAAACACTATTTTATGTTCAGTTGAATGAAAAGAAAAAATACATCTCAGATTTCATTTCAAACTTCAATATTTTATCAGTTTTATTTTATTTATTTTATTTTCTTTTTTTTTTCAGATGCAGTATGCTATTTTGACATTTTTGTTAATATATTAGATGATGACAATTAATTCTCTTGCCGGTGATAAACCTTTTGAAGATATATTGTAACTTACTCTTGTCCTTGTATTATACGATGGCTTCCAACGGAGAGGAGATGGAGCCTGTGGACAAGGAAAAAGAAATACAGATTGAGTTTTTTCTTGAAGCTTTCCGTGATTATATAGCCAAGACTGTTGACTACAGAGATCTTATGTTTTTTAAGCATTTTACTCTAGGTAATTCTTCATCTTATTTAATGTAGAAAATTCTCATTTAAACATTATTATACCCCCGAAACGAAGTGGGGGAGGTATATAGGAGTCACTTTGTTACTTTTCCATTGCTTAATTTTTGTCCGGAGAATAACTTGAAGACTAATGGTTGGAATTTAATACAACTTCATATAATGATCAAGCACATTAAGAAGAAGTGCAGTGCACAAGAACCATAACTCCATCTACACTAATTACAGAGTTATTGCCCTTTGTTACTTTTCCTTGTCTGGAGCATAACTTGAAAATTACTGGTTGAAATTCAAAACAACTTTATACAATGGTCAAGCACAATAAGAGAAAGTGCAGTGCTCAAGAACCATAACTATATCTGAAGTAATTACAGAGTTATTGCCCTTTGTTTCTTTTCCATTGCTTTCTTTTGTCCTCACCATAACTTGAAGAGTCATAACTTGAAGAGTAATGGTTGGAATTCAATACAACTTCATACAATCCTCAAGCACATTAAGAGGAAGTGCAGTCACAAAAACAATAACATAATTTTGACAGATTACAGAGTTATTTCTCTTTGATACTATTCCGTGTCCACAGCATAACTTGAAAAGTACCGGTTGGAATTCAAAACAACTTCATACAATGGTCAAGCACAATAAGAGGAAGTGCAGTGCACAATAACCATAACTCTGTCCAGAGGTAGTTATAGAGTTACTGCCCTTTGTTACATTTCCGTTGCTTTCTTTTTGTCCAGAGCATAACTTTAAAACTACTAGTTGGAATTCAAAAAACAATTTTATACGATGGTTAAGTATATTGCGAGAAAGCTCAGTGCACAGCGTCTTTCTTGACTTACTTAAGAGTTTTTGCCCTTTGTTACTTTTTATTGTCCAGTGCATAACTTGAAAAAAAATGGCTGGAATTCAATGAAACTTCATTAAATGGTCAAGGGCAGTGGGATGAAGTGCAGTGCACAAGAACCATACATTGTTGCTGTATTTTGACTGATTACAGTTATTGCCCTTTGTTACTTGTTTGTGCAGTGCATAACTCGAAAACTAGTGGTTGGAATTCAATACAACTTCATACAATGGTCAAGCCCAATGAGAGGAAGTGCAGTGTACAGTAACCATAACTCCATCTTCAGTATTTGTAGAGTTATTGTCCTTTGTTCCTATTCCTCGTCCTATGGCTTACTTAAAAACTAATGTTTAGAATTCAGCAACTTCATACAATGGTCAAGCGCAATGAGAGGAATTGCAGTGCTCAAGAAGCGTAACTCTTTCTAGACTTATTACAGAATAATTCAATAAAATTTCATCAATGGTCAAATACATTGAAAAGAATACAAGAACCACAACTATCTTTAATTGCCACAACCATAACTCTATTTCAATTCTTTTTCAAGGTATTCTGTTACTAGTAACTTCTTCATTTCCGAAGCAGTTTTGCAGGTGTATTAATCACATTTAGTGATAGTTCTAGTTTAGTTCAAATGTAGTAAAAGAGCTAAAAATAGCATATTTGATTTTTAACCAATCTCTTACTTGTACTGTCTAGTGTCATGATTATGTGAAATCATTGGTTGTATGCAGGCCAGTATAACTTGAACCCCCAATGCCTGGGTTGGGAATATTTCTTCCTGTAGAAAGGGCAAATATGTATTATAAGGAATTATTAGAATAGATTTAAAAAATCTTTTTGTTTAGACATTATCTCTAAAATTATAAGAGATATCAACATAATACTTTGTAGGTAGATAGGTCTCATTTGGTAGAATTGCAGTGCTCAAGAACCATAACTCTGCCTTGCCTTATTTTGAAGATATTGCCCTTTGTTTATTTTTACTTTTTGACTTTTGTCCGAGATATAACTCTAAAACTATAAGAGATATCAACATGAAAATATGTAGGAAGATAGATCTCATTGGATAGAACTGCAATGATAAAGAACCTAAACACAGCCTTGTCTTATTTTGGAGTTATTGCCCTTTGTTCATTTTTACACTTTGAATTTTACCTAGGACATAACTCTGAAACTATAAGAGATATCATCACGAAACTTTATAGATAGATAGATCTCATTAAATAGAAGTGCAGTGAAAAAAACCATAACTTTGCCTTGCCTAATTTTGGAGTGTTTGCCCTTTGTTCATTTTTTTATACTTTCCTGTGTCCAAAACCTTCTTGGGGAGCATCAACCGGTTCAACAGGTTCTTGTTTTAGCCAGGTAAGGCTTAAATGAATATGTGAATAATAGAATTTTTGTACATCATTCCTTGAACTCTTACTCAATTTTTCTGTATTTTTTTTTTTTTTTTTTTTTTTTTTTAAATTTTTGCGCTCCACAGTATGCGTGCATGTTTATTGACCACCATATTTTGTTTGTATGTAAAGATCAGAAGAAACAGTTTAGAAGCCAAGCTAAAAAAGGAGCTGATGACTCTGTTGTAACAAATGAAATGATTGGAGTTATCCTAGATATGAAGGACAAACCTGGCAGATATTCGACATTGGTGAATTTGTTTCAGTTTGAATTGGGTAATCTGCTTAATCAAATATGATTTTGTCTTACAATGTGTTGTTCCAAGTTTTATTGTGACATTGTATAAATTATTATTATTTAAGTACACAGTATTAATCAATTAGGAATAATTGGTAGCTCACCTAAGCACAAAATGTTCAGATGTTAGCTTTTTACCTCACCTGTCACAAAGTGACAGGGTGAGCTTTTGTGATCGCTTTTCGTCCGGCGTCCGTCTGGCGTCCGTCCGTCCATCCGTAAACTTTTACTTTAAATGACATCTCCTCATAAACCACTAAGCCAATTTCATCCAAACTTCACAGGAATGTTCCTTTGGTGGTCACCTTTAAGAATTTAATTCCATGCAGAACTCTGGTTGCCATTGCAACCGAAAGAAAAAACTTAAAATATCTTCTTTTAAAAAACCGTAAGAGCTAGAGCTTAGATATTTGGCATGAAACATTTTCTAGTGAGTGTCTACCAAGTTTGTTCAAATAAAAGCCCTGGGGTCAAAATTGGCCCCGCCCCAGGGGGTCATTGATTTTCCCTATATGCATATAGTAAAAACTTTGAAAATCATCTTTTAAAGAACCCAAAGAGCTAGAGCTAAGATATTTAGCATGAAACATGTTCTAATGGTTGTCTACCAAGTTTGTTCAAATAAAAGCCCTGGGATCAAAATTGGCCCGGCCCCAGGGGGTCATTGATTTTGACCCTGTATGCATATATAGTAAAAACTTTGAAAATCTTCTTTTAAAGAACCCAAAGAGCTAGAGCTAAGATATTTAGCATGAAACATGTTCTAATGGTTGTCTACCAAGTTTGTTCAAATAAAGGCCCTGGGGTCAAAATTGGCCCTGCCCCGGGGGTCATTGATTTTCCTAATATTGTGTATAGCAAAAACTTAAAAAATCTTCTTTGAAAAAACCCAAATAGCTAGAGTCTAGATATTAAGCATGAAACATCTTCTAGTGAGTGTCTACAAAGTTTGTTCAAATAAAAGCCCTGGGGTCAAAATTGGCCCCGCCCGGGGGGTCATTGATTTTCCTTATATGTGTATAGCAAAAACTTAAAAAATCTTCTTTGAAAAAACCCAAATAGCTAGAGTTTAGATATTAAGCATGAAACATCTTCTAGTAAGTATCTACAAAGTTGGTCCAAATAAAAGCCCTGGGGTCAAAACTGGCCCCGCCCCAGGGGTATCATTGTTTTTAACTATATGTGTATAGTAAAAACTTAAAAAATCTTTGAAAAAACCCAATGAGCTAGAGCTTAGATGTTTAGCATGAAACAGCTTCTTATTGGTGTCTACCAAGTTTGTTCAAATAAAAGCCCTTGGGTTAAAATTGGCCCGGGGGGGGGGGGCCTATATACAGGTGAGCGACCTCAGGGCCATCATGGCCCTCTTGTTGTAATAGCCTGAGGTTTGCTGTGAGCCATCCTGCATGGATATGGTCAAGTTAAATCTAAAACCTCAATGTAGAATTTAGCCAAGTCCAGGGATGACCCTCAGGTGGTCTTTTACAAAAGTTACATAAATGCTTTAGCTCAGATGCATAAGTAGGTAACATAAGCGCAATAAAGATGCTATAAATGAAATCAAAATTTCAGCCTAGAGCTCACCTAAGCCTTTTGTTAAGAGAAATTGAATCTGTTCTTTATTTTTTCAGAAAACCAAAAGGTGTCGCATATCCTACAAGGAAAGCAAATGCCGTCTTATGCTGGTCAACAAAAGGAAAAAATTCAGAGGGTGATGAAGGTCATCTGTGAGAATTTAGATATAGTTGAAATCTTACCTGTGCTATTACAACACAAACTGATTATAGGAAGAGAAAGTCAAAATTTACAGAATACTGCTAAAAATGAAAGCAATCATGAAGCTGCTTTAGATTTAATTGTGGGCATGTTATCAAATAGACAAATACATTGGTATTCTAAATTTTTGCTCTGTCTTATTGAAGCAGGCATGGAATTTCTTGCAGAAAAGATTGATAAGCCTGTATATGACAGTAAGTATATAAACAACCTGTTGTCTATCATATTTATATGTAGTTACAAAAATTGAAAGTCTATAGATATTGGATCGAGCTAAAAGCAGCACGCCTCCAGATTCATGTTAACTTTCATGAAAATTTTGGAAATGTATTTAAAAGTAAAAGATTATGAGGTGAACAAATAAAGTAATTTATATATTGCAATCGGCTCTTACAATCCACGAAAATTACAGAAAAGTGATCAACATATGCAAAAACAGCCCTTACTGTGTTGATAACACAGTAGACATATGGAGATAAAATACTGAAAAAGCAGTCTTAAACGGCATGTAACATTTTAAAAAATAACTTGGATCTTTTCTTGAAATATTTTGGCTCATCTGGAGGCATGCAGCTTTGAATAAATATGTTTTAATTAATAAATTAAATTATGAAAAGGATTGAAAGTGATTATTTTCTGGCATGACTTGCATTTCTGTAATTTTCACTGACACTAGAAATTTTATCTGGCATGGGGGGATGCCAGATGAGTCACATGATCCAAAATGATGTCATGCCTACACATTTTTGGATGAAGTGCAATGAGGTAAATTTCCATGACCTATTTATTTATTTAGGAAAACCCCTAAAATATTGCAGAATATGCAAAAAAAAAATCTGGCATGTGATTACTGTTTGCACAATACAGGACAGTGTACCATGGGGACTTAATTCCGAACCACAACTATGCTAGATTTATCATTCTCATTTCTTTTTGCAGGAATTTTAGGCTACCAAAAGGAAAAGGGGAAAAGTTTGTCCGCACAAGAACAGGATCATTTGTTTCAAAGCTGTGAAGAATATGGAATGACGTCTTTAAGTATGTTTGCCTTGTTTATTTGGCATACCGGTAACAAGGGGGGTTAACCAAAAATTCTTGGACTTTTTAAATATCTTTTGAACGTCAGCGTGTATTGTAATGAAATTTTATCAGCCTATCTGGTAGAAAATTATTAACACGTTTTGAAAGAAATAGTGAACTGCGTCAATAAATAATGATTTAATATTGCTTTTAAATAAGCGCATACACGACACCGGTTTAAACGTGCAGTTAGTCATCGTAATTTTTTTGCTAAAAAAACTAATAATTAACATAGAAAACCAGCAATCACCAATTTTTCCAAAAAAATAACCAACTACTTAACTAATCCCACATGATTTCTGAATCAGCGCTGTGAGACAAATGATTACTGACTCAAAGTCTTAGATCAATTGTCACGGCGAAATTACGCCTCAAACTTAGATCAAACCAGCGACATCTTGATTACTAATCCTATTGCAGCAACCTCTACCTGTTTAGTTCAGTGGGAGATCTCCTTCAATTAGAACATTAGGAAGGAAAAATGCATATGACTGGTGCTGGAAAATTATCCTTAAATTATATTAACCAAAATCAGTCCCAATACTATTGATTGGGATTGGTTGGGTTTTTCCTCACATCAACACTGTTAAGTTCATCTGGCCGCTTTCCAGCATAACTGGTGGAGAAAAACCGCCAGGTAAATTATTTCAGACACAAGTGGGCACCTGAGTAGAACCACCGACAATCTGTAAGCTTTCTTATCTGAATGTCTCTGGCAGGATTTGAACTCACAGTAGTAAGGAGCTGGTGGTTTTAAGTCAACAATGTTCAATATGAAAACTGTCCAATATGTGAAATATTGAATGGCATGATTGTTTCTTTAGGTACTTAAGTATATGATGTTAAAACAAAAAACATTATCAATCATGAAATCAGTCAGCTAACATATTTACTAATAGGTAGTTCAAGATTTTTACAATATTTTCCTCCCTGCTCAAAAGTTACAGCCATTTTTGGGGTCAATATTCTACATGCATATATATACATTTAATTGACAAAATATGAAAAAGTCAATATAAACTGTTGAATTACGTGAGTTGTCAAATTCTTTCATACATATGCAGCAAAATATTATTATAGCTACCAATATGTTAAAGATTGTTATCAGTTTACATAAAGAAAATAGAATTATGAGAGATTTTTATCTTAACTATCTTAAGGGGGCAGGGAACCAAAAAATGAACAATTTTTTAGTTCAGTGTGGCCAGAAACACAATTCTAAATATTTCAAAATCTGTTACACAAACAGATAACCAGTTGCCCAGCATTATTCAGGGATATATGACATACATTGAACAAAATAATAGTTTTCATGCATTGCTCCTAAAAATAATGAGTGACAGCAAATTTATTTACCCCCACTCAAAAAAAATCGCACCTAAAATATACCAATATGGGCAATCTTCATGAAGGTGCAGCATACTCCAGAATTCACCCGATCCCTTTAAAAACATCACTAACACATAGTGCAATTGATGGCATTTTCAAAAATGACCAATAAAGTGTCTGTCATACGTTAAGATTTTTCACAAAATTTATCCAAAATTTCTTACTTGTTTGATGCCAACTGACAAAGCTTGATTTTTAACTTTTTCATTCCATTCGGAGAGTCAAAAATACATACATGAAGCTACCAAAATTCTACGTTTCGGGTAAAACCTTAAAAATACTGCTCATTTCCTACACACAAACATGAAAGAATTACAATGACAGAGAAATATGAAATGTTTTCAGTACCTTAAAAACACCATGTCTGAGTTATGAATAAATTTGACTGGGGCCATCATTCGAATATGTCCCCTGCCCCCTTAAGTATATGTTATATCAGAATGGCCAGGGGAGGTAATAATGAGTGAGATGGGTTTACTTGTGAAACGTTTAATATGTAAGATGAAGAAAGCCAGTTTTTTTTTTAATTTTAGGGTCCCAGTAAATTGTTTAATAGTAAATGTATATATAATAATTATGCTTTAATCTGGGATGTGCAAAATTATGTGATTAACAATCAGTATTTTTGAACAATTAAACAGGTGTTTACTTTGACATCTAACACCAAAGTCTGGTTATTTGAAACTATAGAACCAATAATTTAAAGGTTATTTTTAGATATCAAGTTGCAGAATCTTGAAAGACTAGTTTAAAGGTTTTTTTTATATTGTTAAATTTTTCAAAAATTTACAAAAATTTTAATTTTGTTCCAATTAAAAATACCCTCATTATCGACACTACCCAAGCAGTTGGAAAATTCCCAAAGATGTTTACAAAAATGAGTTTTAAATTGGTATGTATTATAAAAAATTGACTTTGTTTCGATTTATTTCTTTTTTGTAAATTAATGACGACCCTCTAAGTTTTTCCTTCTTTTTAAAATTTGGATTTTCCCAAGGGTTTTTTCCTCTCATACCGGGGTTTTTCACCCCGGCATTAGAATAAATTTAAAATCCTTTTTCTTGGGAAATTAAAAAATTTTGATTTTTTTATAAAAAAAAAAAAATGTTTGAAGAACTTTTAACAATTTAAATTGAAATAATAGTGTCAATTTTAAATGGGCAAGATTGTTTTGCCAGTACACTTGCTATATGGACAACGCCATGTTTGTTCTCGAAATTACCTACTCAGTATTGGTTTTCCCAGGGTTAATATTAGAAACCTGATGCACATCGCTTTCACAATTATGGAAGCTCGCTGATGATTACTGTTTGAAAGTTCACCAGAAATGATTTTGTGTTTGCTCATGATTAGATTTAAAAGAGGGGCGTTATTTAGAGCTGATTTTAATTAGATTGGTATTACAAATTTTCCCACTTTTCCATCCGTAAAATAGAATTATAGCAGTTTACACTGTATATTACTATTTGAAGTTAAAATTTGACTACAATTCTAGAAAATTGATTTTTGGAAGTACAAATTATATGAAAGTATTTATCAGTTTTACTGCTCACACATTCAAGGACAAAGTTCTGAATATATAAAAGCTAGTTATGCCCCCTTTTAGGTTTGGTATGCTAAGGTCCTTAAGCTCTATGGACCTCTAAATGCTTTAGTGGTGTTTCAGGTATATTGTGTTATGATCACTGAATTTCAAACTATAACTTCTTCTTGCTAAGCCTCATAGTAAGGCCATGATTTTAAACTTTGTTAAAAGAACATCAAGGAGGTTCTGTCCATGTTATTGATACTGTGAATTCACTTAATTTTGTGGGCTTGAAATTTTGTGGTTATGTCACAAAATTTTTTTCATGGGTTTTTAAATTCATGGACTGTTTATTTTTCCAAAGGTAAAATATAAATAATGTGATGCAAAATAATTTTTACAGCAGACAAAAATAAAAAAAAATTTCAAAAAAAAAAAAATTTTTTTTTTTTTTTTTTAATTTTTTTCCCGGCCCCCCGTTTTTTCCTCACAAATAAAAATGATTTTGCAGTATTCCTTTTAAACAATTATTCCTCCGCAAAAACAAGTTTTCTTTCTTAAGAAAGGTGCAAACATGAGTTTTTTAACATTTAAATAATGGTATTAGAGCATTTAATATCAAATAAAAGTTTCAGAGAATGTTAGATGCTTATCACCTGAAATGTGAAATTATTTGTCGTAAAATTAGTAAAATTTAAGGGTTTTAGTCCCCCATCAAAGACTATTAGTAAACTCACGATAACAACTGTAAAAATTGCCAAAATGCAAGGAAGCAAAATATTGTTATGTCAATTGACCAGACTAATAACAGGACACCAAATATGTGGAGAAATGAAAGTAAAGGCATTTCTTGGGCATATTTTTACTTGCTTTCAGATGAAAAAACTCAGAGAAAACAGGTGGTTGAATCGGAATATACCGCTGTAAAACAGATTGATGACTCAACTTTGGACTTCCGTACATTGGAGGCACCAGTTCTTAAAGGTTTGTTATTCTTTTTTTTCTGTGCAATTAAACAAAGTTTTTGATGTGCAAACAAGAAAAACATTTAGTTTGCTCAAACCGAAAGTGAGTGGCCTTTGCCAACAGTATTGAACCAACCCAGCCTGCACATCCTTGTAGTTTGACCAGGTCCTTAAAAGAAACTGTGGCCTTACTGACTTTTAATATTCATTTTGTCTCATTTTACAAGTTAGAGATAATTGTTACTATACACTGGAAGCACCGAACTATATACATGTATGTGATACAATTGTAATTGCGTGTATTTTCTCTATTAGATGAACATACTCCGAGTTTAAGCAAGAACAACTTGAGTCCGTTCAAACCGGATGAGTTCAGTATGTCATCGTTGACGAGTGTGGAGTCGGCTAAACGATCTCTGAGTGAAAACTTCGCCCAATCTTTCGATGAAAATCAAGACATGAGCTTAAATTTCAACTCTTTATTACAAGATAATGAGAATATATCCAAAGGACAAGTCAAGTCTGCTAATGACATGAATGAGGGAAGGTAGGAAAATTCTGATTACCTGTGGACAATTTCAAAATTCTCAAAGGAGCTTCACAATTATAGTGTTCTGAAGAAAGAAAAATAGAAAATATAAAGATGGAAAATTTTCTACTTACAAAGCTATTTGAAGCTGTTTTATATTGAAATAGCTTTACAAATCAACTGAATTATAACTAATAACTTATCAAGTAACTTTAAAAATTTATTATCAAAAATCTTTGAATTTAGCACTAGCCGGTGAGCTAGTAGTATTCAGCCGTAGAAGTCAGACCTTGTAAAATTTTCTAAATGACTAGCCCGACTAGCCTGTGAAAATGTTAGCAATCAATCACATTAGTTAGTGTTAGTTTCTTAAAATAGAATGACTGAATTTTAAATGGAACAGTTAATTTATCTTCGATTCAGGGAAAAGAATACAAAATAACTGTTTAAGTCATTATTTTTAATTTTACTATACACTTTCAAAGTTTTACATTTTTTGGCTTGTAAAAGCCTTATTTGATCTGTAGATATTACATAACACTAGCTTGAATAACTTGTGCTTTTTCTGGTCCTAAATTCTTTGATTCAAGGTATTGTGCTCAAATTTCATTTTTAAAATATTGATTATTGCCACTCTATTTATTATGTAATTGTAAAATAGACACGATTTAAGTACACACTGAGTAGATATACACACTGTAGGTAAACACAGTATGAATACATACATAGTGTTATTATTAAAAAAAATTAAAAAATTTGTCCATTTATATTTATGTTGTGATTTCTTTTTTAAGGTCGTACAATTCATCAGAGTTTGGTTCAGGGCTAGAGGCCGACACAAGTTTAGATAGCTACCTAGAAAACATGACACTACATGATTCTAATATTGCCAATCGACAGAAGAGTATGATGTCATTTAATTCCTTTGACTCGGCAAATGTGCAGGTATGTGACTGTATACATGTATGTAGATATTTCACAGAAGAAAAAAATCAGGATTTTAGAACACCTAATTCCCAGTCAGTCAAATTTACCTATTGCCCTCATAGAACCCCATTTATGTTATTGAAGTTAAATTCAAATTGACCAATTGCCCTTATAGAACCCCATTTATTGAAGTTAAATTTAAATTGACCAATTGCCCTTATAGAACCCCATTTATGTTATTGAAGTTAAATTCAAATTGAACAATTGCCCTCATAGAGCCCCATTTATATAACTGAAGTTAAATTCAAATTGACAAATTACCCTTATAGAGCCCCATTAATGTTAGATATTGAAGTTTAATTCTTATCAATTTGCAGTGTTTATTCCTAATCATTTAATGTATTATAAAACTGTCTCCTGTTGTAATCAGTTCATTTCTACCGATTTAAAATTCTGTAAAAAAAGATTTATTAAGTTTCATTTAGTCAAATAAATGAGAAAAATAAATAAAAAAGTGAGATACATGTATCTGGTATTAAATGCTGTTTTCCTTTTTATGCAAGAATCTGGTTTGGCATGATATGGGAAAATCATCAGAATAATATTTTTATATGATATTCTCTAAGGTCATAGAGCCGAAGCAAAAGGAGCAGGCGAGTTTTTCCCAGTTTCAAAAGTTGACGACATCAAAGTCTGTTAAAGCTGGTGAAAGTACGACAGAAGTGAATGTTGACACACCACAGCCAAACAGTATCAGTAAAGACAACCTGTATGATCGTACTAAGTTCGACTCAAAGAGTGACGACTTTCGTGAGCTGAAGGATGAAAATGAACGCAGCCAGTTGAATATTACTGAAACAGGTTTGTGTAGTATTCAAGATGCATTTTTCAAATTTGTTCAACTACGAGTACATATAACATTAAAATAATTGGCACAAAATTATTTTTCCAAAGAAAAACTCATTTTGCAGTATCTCAGTACTAACAGAGTACTCATCGTTTGTACATTATTGACTATAATATATACTGCAAAACATGCCAATTGCAACACATATTTTGTCATAATTCGCCAGACGGTCCACTTAACCAGCTTTTCTGGCTAACAACCCAGTAATTACCAATGTCTTTTGAAGTGACCAACTACTAAATCCACATGATTTCTGCACAAATGACCATTAAGTCCTAGATAAGTAGTCACAGAGAAATTTTGCCATGCTAAAAGTTCAAACCAGTGACCCTGGATTACAAATTTTATGATCTTTCTATTGAGCTAAGCAGGCATACTAAATTTGATGATAAATCGAATAGAGTTTAACACACTTACCGAAGCATGCTTACAGCTTTTCACTGCCACACAGTACTCGGCACCTGTTGTGATGTATAAATATCTGGACAAAAGTGACCCCATGGAAGCTTTGATAATTGGCAGTTCCATAAATGGAAGATTGGCAGATCAATTAAGCAAAAACAGTAGGTTTATAAGGGCTAATACGGTATAATATTTCAGCTTCTTATGAGAAGGACGAGGATGATATTGAAGATGTGGATATAAAACTTAGACAATACCAGCAAGAGTTAGCTGCCCCTGCTTTAGCCGGGAAAAATGTGATCATTGTAGCTCCGACAGGATCGGGTAAAACTCGGGTAGCCATGAGAATAATTCAGGTGAGTTTTGCCTGTCACATCACTATTTAACATGTAGAGTCTGGTATGAGTTTTTGCTATCAGTTTTACAAAGTTTCGTGATAGTATCCTACCTCTGTCACAAGTTTATTAATCTAAATACATGATTTTTTCATTGTTTTTATTTACCAAGAATGCTAGTTCAAGATATTTGCATCAATATTAAAGATGAATATTTGTTACTTCTGTAATTCTATAATTATTTGTAACTTTTGCAAAAACAATTCTTCAATTTTCTGCTCAAGTATTATACTTTTCCTAAATTATAAGATACTATATGACTTGTTCAATACCATAGCTGGTCAAAGTAACAGTCAGTACTTCTCGTATTTATTAATATTTGTCACATAATGTGTATTTTTTGCTACATATGTCAGCAGACATCTCCAATGTGTGATTTGTTCATTTAGAGTTATTAATAGCCTGATTTGTGATTAGTCATGATGTGTTTTAATTTTTAAAGGACCATATACGACAGCAGAAGGGTCGAGCGATCGCCAAGGTGGTATTTCTTGTTAACCAAGTGGCATTGGCCAATCAACAAGGAAATGCTTGCGGCGAACTGCTGAAAAAATACACATCCAAAGTTATAACTGGAGAGTCTCAACGGAAAAGCGAGTGTTTAAAAGATTTTATAGACAAGTAAGTGAATTCTGATATGACTATTAAATATATATCTCTTTTAATACATTAAAAACTGGGGTAGTGTTTCTTATTAACATTTTCTTTTATGCTATGAGCTCATCAGGAATGGAATTTGTTATCATTATGCGATTTTATTAACCAGGTTTTCAACGAAAACCGGGTTATTGTAATGCCGAAGTCGGCGGGCGGGCGGGCGTTAACTTTTGGTTTCCGCTCAATATTTTTAGTTTGCTTTGGCCTATTGACACCAAACTTGGTGTATGGATAGCTTATATCAAGAGGCAGCTTGGGATTGCTATCCAGGTGTCTGTGATCAAGGTCAAGGTCACTGTTACTAAAAATAGAAATTCAGTTTCCGCTCAATAACTTGAGTTTGCTTTAGCCTATTGACACCAAACTTGGTGTATGGATAGCTTATATCAAGAGGTAGCTTGGGATTGCTACCCAGGTGTCTGTGATCAAGGTCAAGGTCACTGTTACTAAAAATAGAAATTCAGTTTCTGCTCAATAACTTGAGTTTGCTTTAGCCTATTGACACCAAACTTGGTGTATGGATAGCTTATATCAAGAGGCAGCTTGGGATTGCTACCCAGGTGTCTGTGATCAAGGTCAAGGTCACTGTTACTAAAAATAGAAATTCAGTTTCTGCTCAATAACTTGAGTTTGCTTTAGCCTATTCACACCAAACTTGGTGTGTGGATAGCTTATATCAAGAGGCAGCTTGGGATTGCTACCCAGGTGTCTGTGATCAAGGTCAAGGTCACTGTTACTAAAAATAGAAATTCAGTTTCTGCTCAATAACTTGAGTTTGCTTTAGCCTATTGACACCAAACTTGGTGTGTGGATAGCTTATATCAAGAGGCAGCTTGGGATTGCTACCCAGGTGTCTGTGATCAAGGTCAAGGTCACTGTTACTAAAAATAGAAATTCAGTTTCTGCTCAATAACTCGAGTTTGCTTTGGCCTATTGACACCAAACTTGGTGTATGGATAGCTTATATCAAGAGGCAGCTTGGGATTGCTATCCAGGTGTCTGTGATTAAGGTCAAGGTCACTGTTATTAAAAATAGAAATTCAGTTTCCGCTAAATAACTTTAGTTTGCTTTGGCCTTTTGACACCAAACTTGATGAATGGGTAGCTTATATAAAGAGGCAGCTTGGGATTGCTACCCAGGTGTCTGTGATCAAGGGTAATGTATTTAGTTTTCATGTTATAACTTGAGTTTGCTTTGACCTTTTGACAATAAACTTGCTGAGTGGCAGCTTTGGATTGCTACTTAGATATCTTGGAGCAAGTTCAAGGTCATTTGCTTACAATAGAATTTTCAGCTTCTACTCATTAACTTCAGTGTACTTTGACCTATTGATTGCTGTCACATCAAAATTTGGTCGTTGAAAACCTGGTTTTCGTCGCATTGCGGCGCTTCTTGTTGACACTTAAAAGTATTTTCATTAGAGCAGAAAAATATATGATTAACCAAAGGAAAGATCTAGTTATAAAATTGGGGTGTTATTTCAAGCAGACAGGTGGACAATTTCTTCTATGCTCAACTCCTATATTTTGCAATGGGTTTTGACCAAACGTTCACAGTAGCTTTGTCATTAAGTTTTCTGCCACATATTAACAGTGTTTTGCAAATCAAACATTTGTGGCAGAATAATGGCCCTTTTTTTTCTAAAAAAAAAACAAGTATTTTTCTGAGCGCTGTTCTACTACATTTCTCAAGGGATTTAGACTAAAAGAACAGAGGTCCATACTTCAACTGAAAATGTTTGAATCGCAAAACATGGAAAATATGCACCAAGGCACTTGATTACAAAGTTTCTGTAAAAAATGAACATTGAAAACCTGGTTTAGCATTCTGTTGATTGTTGTTTTATCAGTTGAAAGTTATGATTATTTCCATAAGATTTTCAAGTCTCTAAGATACAATAACTTCTATACATCAGTCAGATTTCTTTGCTTACATTAAATTTTGTGCCTTCTTATGAGATATCCCATCCTCGATAATTCATACTTGTTTCGTATACACTTTATTCATGATGAATGAAGTTTAGTGAAATTAGTACCTGTGGGTCCGAACTATGGGAATTCCCTAATGTAACAGTCAATTAACACTTAAGCAGTTAGAACTAAAAGTGATAAGCACTTGCTACCAGTCTATAGCTAAGGCCAGCCTGAATATTCAAGCAAGCACTTGCTACCAGTCTATAGCTAAGGCCAGCCTGAATATTCAAGCAAGCACTTGCTACCAGTCTATAGCTAAGGCCAGCCTGAATATTCAAGCAAGCACTTGCTACCAGTCTATAGTTAAGGCCAGTCTGAATATTCAAGCAAGCACTTGCTACCAGTCTATAGCTAAGGCCAGCCTGAATATTCAAGCAAGCACTTGCTACCAGTCTATAGCTAAGGCCAGCCTGAATATTCAAGCAAGCACTTGCTACCAGTCTATAGCTAAGGCCAGCCTGAATATTCAAGCAAGCACTTGCTACCAGTCTATAGCTAAGGCCAGCCTGAATATTCAAGCAAGCACTTGCTACCAGTCTATAGCTAAGGCCAGCCTGAATATTCAAGCAAGCACTTGCTACCAGTCTATAGTAAAGGCCAGTCTGAATATTCAAGCAAGCACTTGCTACCAGTCTATAGCTAAGACCAGTCTGAATATTCAAGCAAGCACTTGCTACCAGTCTATAGCTAAGGCCAGCCTGAATATTCAAGCAGTCTGATCAGACTCAATACCTTCATTAGCTGAATTATTAAGCTTGTCTGTTTTCGAAGAAAAACTCGAGCTTTTATGATTGCTGTGGTGTCATCATTGTTGTCATCATACAATAAATGTAATGAGCCCGTTATTTAAATGTTTTAAAAGTTATCAGCATGAAACTTGAAAATCTTGCTTATCATGACAGGGTGCAGTTCTTAGACAGGCATAATTCTGAAAGAAATATTTTTGGAGTTATGCACCTTTTTATCTTAGAATTTTTAACAGACGAGCGTTAACACCACATATGGTGCCCTTGTTTGTATTTTGATATTTAAATCTCTGAAAATTGCAATGAACTGTCCAATTCAAAGCTTTGCAAATTCATTACCCAAAGTTAAAAGCTTAAGTATTAGCAAAAACTTATGTCTTTTCCTTTAAATATATACATATATTTCAGTGACATTTCATTCTGATATACTTAATTGCTTACACTATTTGTTTGGTTCAACTACGGGAGGAAGAAAAAGAATTTTTTTGTTTATTGCAGACGTGACATACTGATTGTTACCGCTCAAGTATTACTGGACGCGTTATTGAGGAAAGAGATTAGTGGTATAGACAAGTTCTCGCTCATCGTGTTTGATGAATGCCATCATACCCACGCCAACCACACGTTCAATCAGATCATGGGTCGATACATGGACCTGAAGTTCGATAAACCTGATATTTCTTTACCACAGGTATAGGTTACGAAAAAAACACTAGTTTGTTAAAGGTTGAAAAAAATTCTTTCACTAAGTAAATACTCAATATAATAATTTCATTAATGGTGTAGTTATAAGTGAATATTGATAGCTTGCCTCCACAAGTGAAAAATAAATTGATTTTACATGTAATTACAATTTTTCTAATAATTTTATGCTTTTTCATTGATTTTGATGTGATTATTGTAAAATTGAATAATATACATCACAATTTTATGTAAAAAAAAAAATGTATAACCTTGTTATGGTCATATGACAACTTTACAGCTTCACTGGTGAAGGAAATCCTTTGATTTCGATAGCTTCCTGACATGAAAAAAATCAATGTTGAAGGCAACAATGGTGTGGGGGTAGTAATATAAAATTTTAAGCCAGATACCTTTAACGCTAGACCTAGGAGTTACCTCGGTCTATGTGACAGGGTCTCCCATTTGTGTTTCTGAAGAAATCACAGCTTGTTTGTGAAAGGTGTCTGGCTCTGTGTATGTGACAGGGTTGTCCCTCTTTGTTTGTGAAAGTGTTTCCCACTCTGTGCATGTGATAGGGTTTCCCTCTCTGTGTATGTGACAAGGATGCCCACTCAGTTTGTGACAGGGTTGTCCCCTCTGTGTTTGGAAAAGTGTCCTTTCTCTGTATACATACTATGTGTTTAATGACATGGTCTCCTTTTCTGTGTTTTTGGAGCATGTTATAATAATGCCAGATGTCTTGTTACAGATTGTGGGATTGACAGCTTCTGTTGGTGTAGGTAAGGCCAAGAATGAAGAAAAAGCTGTAGAACACATCAAACAGCTGATGGCCAATCTAGATGCTCATGTTATATGTACTGTACAAAAGAATGTGGGCGAACTTAGACAGCACGTCAGTTTACCAGAGGAAGGTATAACAAGCTTTTGATTATTTATTATACACCCACCAAACATAGTTTGGAGGTCTTATAATATAGGAATCACTTTGTCTCGTCTTGTTCAGACTCGTCCCATTTTGTTTGGAAACCAGTAGAGATATTAACTTGAAACTTGTTATATATAGAAAATGTGTTACGATGGGGCATATAGCCGCTGGTATATCCTATAGTCTTACATTATATCTCATTAATATATGCTTACCCAAAGCATCTTCTTTTTTCATCAGAGATTTTAGACATGTAGGTATATTATTTGTTATACAAGCTTCTGACAGGGTATTCGGAAGAAAATGTCCTAAATGAGATCAATATGTCTCGAATCGCTATTGGAAGGTTATATAATGTTGGTAAGGCCATATTCTCCTGTCAGCAACTAAAACCCAGCTTCTAAGACTGTTTTCAAAAAAAGCACTGGAAAAAGGCACATGAAATAATGATGATGTCAGTTGTTGAATAATATGCTATAAACAACAAAACGCAATAATAAATTTTATGCACACCCATACTTCATTGTCTCAGATGTGGAAATGCATTGTTGTTTGTGTGCTCTACTTCACGTTATTTATGGCATTGTATACCAAGTGTGTGAGCCAATCAGAATTGGAGTAATTTTTTGCATTATTATAAGTACCGGTATATTAAAAGTACGGTAGGTGTATTTTTAGATATATGAAAATATATTAGGGCCGGGAATTATATTCGGATATTCGAAACACTACCGAATATTCGAACATTGAAAAACGAATACGAATATTCGGAAAAAAAATTTTTTTTTGGTTATTACTTTCAAATTTCAATTAAGGTCGAAAATTAAACCATTAACCTGTACTTGACCAGGTGTTCACATGTTTGTATGACGCGTGTCAACGATTATCGCCAATTAACTGTGAAAACTTTGGGGTCTAGTTGATCAAAAAGGCACCTGTTTAACAGTTTATAATTTAATTCTTTCCGATTTTAATTATCTTATTTCTTGTTTTCTGTGCTATAATCTTTCCGATTAATCAATAATTGTCTTAAATTTTGTGAAGACGAATTAATCGGCACGCATTATTTCGCTGTGTTATTAAAGCGTGGGAAGTGTCTATATACCGTCAGAATATATTTATGCTGTAAAAATTAGACTCCGTATAATATTGACTGCGTTATAGCTAAATTTATCTGAAGAGTATTTTAAACCTTATATAAAATTATAAATAAACTAGAAATGTGTCATCATGCCACGGATGCCCCGCATGCAGCCAAAATTTCAAATGTTATAATATTTAGTTCCAAATTTGTTTGCACAAATTATTTTTTTCATTCTAAGTTCAAAGCCCTTAAAACTTTTCAATGTTAACACAAACCATTTTTATACTGAAATTATTCAGTCTTAACCTTTTGAAAATAGCATATTGCATATTTGTAGCCAAAATAATGGCTATATACATTTCCACAAAAGTATGAGTGCTGAAACTGAAAATTCAAAATTTTTCCAACATTCAGGAAAGATAAGTTTGTCCAAAATCATTGAACCACGACCAAATTCAAACTTACACTGCTTATTCCTAAGATGTATCTATATTATTTTAAAAGTGAAAGGGACATAACTCTGCCAAAAAATCATCGAACCATGACCAAATTCCAACTTGACCTGCGCATTCCTTTGACATATCCATATGTCAATTTTGAGTTGAATATGTAACACTGTTGGGTTGATAATGAACAGAAACTGTAAATTTCATATTATTTTCAAAGTGAAAGGGGCATTACTCTGCCAAAAATCATTGAACCATGACCAAATTCGAACTTGGCCTGGGCATTCCAAAAACATGTCCATATGTCAAATTTGAGTTGAATGTGTAATACTGTTGGGGAGATAATAAACGGAAACTGAAAATTTCATATTATTTTCAAAGTAAAAGGGACATAACTCTGCCAAAAATCATCAAACCATGACCAAATTCAACCTTGACCTGTATTTTCTCATGACATATCCATATGTCAAGTTTGAGTTGAATGTGTTGTACCATTGGGGAGATAATGAACGGAAACTGAAAATTTCATATTATTTTCAAAGTGAAAGGGGCATAACTCTGCCAAAAATCATCGAACCATGACCAAATTTGAATTTGACCTGCGCATTCCTTTGACGTATCCATATGTCAAGTTTGAGTTGAATGTGATGTACCATTGGGGAGTTCATGAACGGAAACTGAAAATTTCATATTATTTTCAAAGTAAAAGGGGCATAACTCTGCCAAAAATCATCGAACCATGACCAAATTTGAACTTGACCTGTATTTTCTCATGACATATCCATATGTCAAGTTTGAGTTGAATGTGTTGTACCGTTGGGGAGATAATGAACGGAAACTGAAAATTTCATATTATTTTCAAAGTAAAAGGGGCATAACTCTACCAAAAATCATCGAACCATGACCAATTTCGAACTTGACCTGTATTTTCACATGACATATCTATATGTCAAATTTGACGGAAGGATGGAATGACGGAACAGGGTAACACTATATGCCCCTGCCATTATATGGCGGGGGCATAATAAAAAAATATTTAATACAAGGTAAGTATCAATATAATTATGTGTTATTGGGGCTAAGAGGCTACAGTGGACAATCAAGTCACGTGAGTTACCTCCCGTTAATAAGACAAATGATCAGAAGTCGGATTAACTGAACAAAAGGCAATCAAACTATGAATTTATTTCAAAAGTTAACATATATGTTGATTTCAAAAATATAAAATTAAAAAAAAAATTGACGTAATTATAAAGGTATTTTTAATCGTCGATTTTTCCAAACATATTAAAGAAGTATAGTATTGGACGCAATCGATTTCGGATACATATACGTCAAAGAGAAAAATTGGAACAAATGTTGTAAAAACGAATATTCGAATATATTCGAATATGGAAAACGAATATTCGAACATCAAATTCCTTATTCGTTCCCAGCCCTAAAATATATATATATAGGTATATTACATACTCCTACATCCTTTGAAAGGATTTCTAGCAGAAAAGCAGGAACATCTATAGCATCTATAGGTTTAACCAATATTTTTGTTGTTTTATTTGTACATGTAATATAAGACAAAGGGAAGGTAACTCATTTTCACTAAATTATTCCCCTTGTGACATAAAAATTTCTGGCATAAGCCAAGTTCTCGTTTAACTGTCATGCACTAGATAAGAAAAATAACAAGCACGCTGTCAAGTTTCTTTATTAATCTTGATACGTTGTATTTATACTTTTTTCTTCTTTGAGCAGAGACGTTCCGTGTTCCGAAGAGACGGAATGATACGTTCCATGATAATATCGTTAAACTGATGAACACTATAGAGAAACGAATGAACCAGTCATCTTGTATGTCGCCTTTTATATCATATAATTTTTTTCTTGTATAATTATATAATTATGATACTGAACAAAATTAAAGCATCATTATATATTAGAAATTCATTCTTTTTTTAAATTCTTTAGAAATCTAAAACACGTATCTTGACGTCACTTCCGGTCATTTTATTATGTTTTACACTGATAAAGGCATCTAGCTGAAACATCTGCAATAAATAATTACTGAATGTTCATATTTGTGTGGCTTCTTGGTTAATTTTGTTAAGTTGATTTCCAATGGTATTTGTGACTTTATTTTCAAGTGTAATGTGTATATTGTAGTGGTGAAGGAGATACCAGAAGCCACTAAGATTGAAAGTGCTTTGAAAGCCCCTTCCCAGAAAGGCGCAGCTCAGTATACTCAGTGGGTCAGCAAGCTGTGGCGGGAAACTGCAAAACTAAAATTACCCGATGCTAGAAGATTTCTGAATTCTTGTCGAGCTCATTTAGAGGTATGCTATGTGACGGACTTTTTTTGACGGATTTTTCTTTCATTTCCAGATTAGCTTCCACAAGATCACTGCTGTTAATTATATTTTTAAGTATAGAATAATTTAGGGGGGAAAAATAATGTAATATTATCCGGTAGTCCCAAATATTGATGTAAATATCAAGGCAAAAAGATCATTCCGTGAGTGGGACAAACCTAGAAGAACATTTAAACTAAAAACACAAGTTGACCACCTTATTCATTCTCTGAGTGAGATAAACCAAAACATATATGAATTTGGGTTATTGTATTACCTGATACAATGTTTTATATGTCTTTATATCTGAACAATTTATCCAAATCAGAAAACCCTCTGGTCCCTGATACCTCTCTAAACAGGACCAAACAAACTTGATCTTAAAGACATATAGGCAAAATTAAACCTGTTCATTAGAATTTCTTTAAATTTGGCATGTTGTTAAAATATGATAACAGAAACATTTTAAGTGAAAAAAATTTGGTGGTCACTGTCATCTGCCACTTAATTGGACTTTTTTGCTTAATTCAAGGGAATTTACTTTCAAAATTGGCATTAGTCATTGCAAAAGTTTTCTGGAACACATAAAGACTGGATTGTTTCTTTTTCCCATCTTTAAACTTGGGACATTTGGCCTGTGTTTAAAAGAATTTTAAGTCCCTTTATTTAAACTGAAAAAAATTGTAACAGAAATAATTTATGAAATTGCATGTTATATCGCATTTTGATCAACAATAAAAAGAAAAACATAATCCAAAAGTAAAATAAAAAGATTTTGTAGGTGTATGTATAAGTTATCTGCCTTTGAAATAACCTCAGATAAGAAAGTTATTATGATTCAAGGGCAGATAACTCAAAATAGAGATCAATGACTCCCAACTTTTTTTTGCTTAAAATATTTCTGTCATTATACTGGGCAGGAACCAGTTTCCGGACAGAATTCGAGTTTTTTTTAATTGTCTATTTTTAATAATAAACATGCATTAATAAAACTAACATACAAAAAACCTGAGCTCTAAGTACATCTGAAAACACAATTAATACTGCCTGGTGACGTAAGCAATGTACAAACTGAAGGGTTAAATTAGGTCATTAAAAGTGTAAATTGTTCACTCTTGCAGAACCAGTTTCCGGACATATATTAAGCTGCTATTCATTTCTTTTTTTAACTAATAATTATTCTAATATAACAAAAAAACTCTTCTCACATTTTAGCTTTCTTATATAATTAAGCTGATTTACTGAAAAATGTTTATGATAGGAAAAATAATGATCACGTGATGGGTGTCGAAATGACTGAAAAGTGAAACGGATATTTTTGTGTGCAAAGAAGTGCGAACATGGAGTAAACATAGCCAAAAACCGTTTTCCGATGCATTACAGATTTAGCTCTGGGGAATTACACCCAATGAACTTCGAATGAAGTACATTGTGCATTAATTGCTACCCCAAATTATATCCCGAAATAAACAAAATATTGCGCATCTGCAGAACAAATTACATGCCCCAAAGGGATATAAGGCTGTTTTTAAAAAACAGGTAAGATATCCTCACAAAATTTTAATGATGTATCAACTTGGAAGGAAATTTATTTTCTCAAACAATCAAACCAAGAATCTTCATGACATATAATACCGATCGTCATCGATAAAGCCAAAATTAAGCTGTTATAATACTTGTCTGGAAACTGGTATTGTCCGGAAACTGGTTCCTACCCAGTAGTCTACTAACATGCCAAGTTTGAAAAAAATCTATTGAACATTTTTAATTTTGCCTATACGTCTATATGAAAATGCCTGAAAACAACCTTAAAGAGATTACAACTGTAATCTGAAAATAAATAAATGTATTAATATATTTCAGCATTACAACAATGCACTGATTATTTATAATGACGCTAGAATGGAGGACGCCCTCTCGTACCTCGATGCCGAGATGAATAAATGGAAAGAAAATGCTATCATGGATGAAAATGAACTCGTTCTGCATGGAGCTTTCAAAAGTAAGATATGTTTAGTTTTTAACCTTTAGCCTGCCAGCAGTAACTGATTGTAATCATAGGACCAGTGTAACCAAAAAGCAAGTGACATACATGTATTCCTGCTCTATGATAATGGTCAGCATTGCTCCCTATTCAGTCAGTGCATATTTCGAAATTTTCCCTAAAAATAATGAATAGATTTGTCCAGCTTAAACAGAATTAAAACTCAAGAACATGCAGTCTACAGAAATAAGTTGTCTTAGCCGAGGTAATCTTATGTCCAAACAAGATAGATGGACAAGATTAATGTTGTCACCTATGCTTGGTTCAAATTATAAACTTAGTGGTTAATATATGGTTGCTGCATGCCATTTTCAAATTGTCATTATGGGATAATGGCACGATAATGGCACAAGCCATTATGGGATAATGGATGATTAATTAGCCAGTTATAAAAAAAACAGTGCTTTATTGCATAATGAGCTGAATTTTGCCGAGACCTGCAATTTTGTTACTACAAATAGTAACATAGATTTAAATAAAATGTTCTTTCATTACAGTTTATTTAATTTTCCATTCAATATTTTCAATTTTCAACAAAAAGATGTTTATAATAGTTAATATAATCACCAATATAATTATAACTGTAATCATATAAAAATATTATCACGTATAATTCACGTTTTGTTCAATATAAACTTATTTCTAGAACTTCGAGGTGCAAGATGTCGTAACTGTCCAAATCCGAAGCTGGATAAGTTATGTGAGATGATAACGAAGGCATACAAAGACAACTTTGAGAACTCACGAGGAATTGTGTTTGTGAAGACGAGAGATCTATCGAAGGCGATTCTAAGTTGGATGAAGGAAACACCAGGATTGAGGGAACTGAATCCTATAGTATTTGTCGGAACAAACATGGCTGCTGATAAGGGAGGTATGTTACAGGTAGTTCCTTATAAGAGCAGGACGATTAATGAAGTAACCCACTGTTTGTCATCATCCCCTGGCGTAGTTACACATAGTTTCTTATAAGAGCAGGACGATTAATTAAGAAACTCACTGTTTGTCATCATCCCCTGGCGTAGTTACACATAGTTTCTTATAAGAGCAGGACGATTAATTAAGAAACTCACTGTTTGTCATCATCCCCTGGCGTAGTTACACATAGTTTCTTATAAGAGCAGGACAATTAATGAAGTAACACACTGTTTGTCATCATCCCCTGGCGTAGTTACACATAGTTTCTTATAAAAGCAGGACAATTAATGAAGTAACACACTGTTTGTCATCATCTTCTGGTGTAGTTTCAGGTAGTTTCTTATAAGAGCAGGACGATTAATTAAGAAACTCACTGTTTGTCATCATTCCCTGGCAATGAAATCAGAAAGGGATATAGAAATGACATTGTCAGTCAGTCTGTCCATCCTTCAGACTGAGCATTGCAAAAGTAATTGACGGCAAAGTAACAAAAAAAATATGAATCTTAAATGGCATCATAATCCACAGGAAAGTTGTTCATTTATATCCTATTGTTTCTTTAGAATAGACAGTTTGTATGCAAAAAATCTAAGTGACTCCTAAATAGTCATTCTAAGATTTTGGATGAATGTGCAGTAGATAACGGATTCTGTATTCTTTGGAATAGTTGCTAATATTTTCAAGTGTGTGTAGATGTAAATCATATAAACTAATAAGGGACTATTTAAAGAGTTACTTAAATGACAAATAACAAACGTTTTTGAAACATGTATGTATATTAAGCTCCTGTATAGAACCACCAACCTTCCATAAGATAGCTTCCTCACTTGAAAGAATCTAAAATTACTTGTGCTGACAGTGAAGTGCAATTTCTTGTATGTCAGCAACCTTAACCACTGGGTCAGGGGGCCTCATATGATAATATATCCTATATAGAGATATATCGCTATATAAAAATACGCCCTGATGATATAATTCCTAATTAGTGTCTGATTTGTTTCCATACATATTATCAGCATACCGAATTTCTAATTATTACATCACATGTCTAAATATAGTCTATATATACCAACATGCCATCATATCAAATATTGTATTTTCAAACAGGTATGACAAAGGCAGAGCAAGTCGATGCCCTCGAGTACTTCCGCAATGGCCATCATAAGTTGATAATAGCAACCTCTGTTGCCGAGGAAGGTCTTGATATCTCCAAGTGTAATCTCGTCATCAGATACGATCATGTGACCAATGAGATAGCTATGGTCCAATCTAGAGGTAAGAAGGCAGCTTTTGAATATTCAAGTTTTTATTTTCAAGTTAGAATTATTGAACAAATATTTCTTGAATGATTTTGCTTCCCAAAAACTCTTTGGTATAGTAGGTTCTTTATATGATGTTTTGACCTTTCACATTCACTGACCATTTCTCAAAGGGCCTTTATACAGTTAGTGTAGCTATTTTGTATGTAGTAGGGGCTTTTTGGCATGGACCTCTATATTGTCACTTTATTGCAATAACAGTTTAATTTCTATTATATTTAATAGGAGTTAACCTGTTACTGCATTAATATAAGGTGACACTATTTGAGTTTGAAGTAAAAAATCTCTTGAGCTAAAAAATTTTAATATATACTGTATAAGTGGATATTTCCATGTGTTGGAAAGTTAGCAAATAAAAAGTCCAGACATTTCGTGTGTCAAATGACTTTAACTGTGTTAGTGCGGTGCGACATAAAATCCACCCCCACCCAAACAAATAAAGCAGTGATGACTATAACCAGGTTCAAGTACATATATATCTGATATAAATGGATGATGGCTGGTCCCTGGCCGTGTGCAATTTAATCAGGTTCAAGAACATCATATATCTATGTATTAATATAGGTAGAGGCAGAGCAGAAGACAGCAAGTATTTTGTGATAGCGGAGGAGAATACAGGTATGGCAGAGAAAGAAGAACTTAACATGATAAGAGAAGTGATGATGAGAAAAGCTATCATTCAGCTACAGGTTAGTATGTTTACCTTTTCTGTAATACGTAGGACATTGTTTTGTGTGGAATAGTAATAACGTACAATGTACATGATAGATGCAGTATGTCACAGTAAAGAACTGTCTACCAGAATTAGAGAGAAAATGTCTTAGTGACTGGGTAGCTATGTCGGTAGAGATGCAGAATGGTATTCCAAGGGTCTTGGGTTCAAACCCGTCGGGCTGCACAAAAGCATTATAATTTAATTTTTTCTGAAATCATTTCATATAACATCATATACTTTTATTTCAGGACTACATTCAGCATAGTCCAGATAAATTTCGAAAAGAGATCCAGAAATTCCAAGACGAGGCAAACTTAGATCGGCAATTAAAGTCGCTAGGATCGAGAAGGAAACTGGTAAGATCGGGACAGTTCGAGCTGCGTTGTGTAAAATGTGATCATTTTATATGCTGGTCCGATGATATTAAAAAGGTTCAAGATTCCCACCATGTTGTCATTGACAAGTACCTGTCACAAAGGGTTACATTTGTTAAGTGTGGGTCGACTAGATATCAAGACGATGCCATCCAGTTTGTAGGGAAATTGATTTGTAAGGATTGTGGTGGTAACCTTGGAGTTATATGTATACACAGGACATTGGAATTTCCGGTTCTAAAAATAGAACATTTCCTGATTGTTGATACAAATGGCAGGCAGGACACGTGTAAGAAATGGAAATCGGCCCCGTTCATTGTTCCGCCACTTACAAATGATGATTGGAAGGAGATAGTTAAATCCAGGAAAGAAACTGGAGAACTGTAGAATTAATAAATGGAGAATAATCATGTTAAATAAAACATCATTTTCCCTTTTTGCCATTTAAACAGTAATGACAAAGGTTGTAAGAGTTGAAAAATAAAATTATATAATACAGTTTGTATTAAAACAGGGTTTGCCTTCTTTTCCATCCTTCTTTCCTGTTCTTTTTTCTCATCCTTCTTGTCCATCCTTCTTTTTCCATCCTCCTTTCAAACTTACCATTTCTCAGAGCACCTCCATTTATTGACTGCCTTCTTAGATGTTGGTACCTTCCACGGACATCTATCCTTGTTTGCTGTTTCAGGCCTGTTGGGTCAAGGCTGCAGAGACTAAAAATCAATTTTCCCATTTTTCCTCATAGTAAGGCCACATACATATATTCAGCTTTGTTAAGCAGCAATTGATGTTGCCAATATTCTTTTTTTCATCATTTACATGTATAATACATTATGAAAATTTCTATAGCACATTTTTTTTTTAAATACTGTGTTGTTTATGTGATAAGATTATGTGATTATGTTTCATTTTTGATGAGTTTAAGGTCTTTCAGATTTGTTGTTATTCATGCATTCATAAATCCTTGAAGGATTTCTTCAAACCTGGCTCAAAAGTTCACCTTCAAAATAATAATAAATAGACCTACATCAAATCATCCTGTGTCATAGGGATTGTTAGGGTTTTTACCACTTGTGTGGCAGCCCTTGTTTCCAATGGACTGTAGGAATTATATAAAATCAGCATGAAAGTGGAGGGGGGTGGGGGTTAACATTTTATTTTGAACATTTTGCCCTCATCTCCTGATTGAAATCATTATTTATGTAGGCATTTTGATCATTTTTGAAAATAGTTATTTTACTTTATAATATTTAATGGTGAATTTGGTTTATAAATAGTTTAGTGTACACTAGTTAAATGTCATGTATTTTATGATAATTACTTCTATTTAGTTCTATTTATGTGCAATGTGACGAGATATTGCATTGTTTAAGTTATGAAGTAAAATTTCTGTTCAGAATGAAATCCATGAAATTTTACATTATGAGAATTGTAAATTGTCCAAAGTCAGTTTTTTGAAAAAATATATATGTATGTTCAGATTAATATAAATAAATGAGAAAAAGTGTACCTTTTGTTATAAACTCCTTTCTGCTCAGTGTTTATAAAAATGTATGTTAAGTTTGGTTTTGATATGCATTACATATGTATTGCATTACATTCACAATAATGTTACTCTAGCTATTGCTTTTAAAGGGAATGCTGCCAATTCCAGTTTAAGTGCATGTGTATGTATATACGAAGAATTCCAACAAAACTTTCACACCTGTATTTATGTCTTATGTTGCCTCTTCATTTGTATATGTTTCTGAATAATATTACTGTTTGTCTACAGATGCCTTAATATATACCTACAAATGTAAATGATCATGTATTTTTCAATATTGTTAAATTTGTTTTATTTTTTTCTTGTTTGATTTGGTTTTTTTGTTTTTTGTTTTTTTTTCAAAGTTTTTATGCTAGTTTGATTTTCAAGTTGGCAAGCCATATTGATTTACCTTTTAGAAAATTGCAGACCTTATTTAGTTTTAGAAAAATGCAAGTTACATTGATTTGATTTACTTTACTTTCTAGAAAAAATGCAAGCTATATTGTTTTTCTTTCTAGAAAAAAGCAAACTTCATTGATTTTCTTTCTAGAAAAAGCAAGCTACATGTATATTGATATACTATCTAGAAAAATGCAAGTCAAATTGATTTTCTTTCTGAAACTGCAAGATATATTGGTTATATTTCTAGAAATGCTAGCCATATTATTTTTATGCCACCGCAGCATCTGCGATGCGGTGGCATATAGCGATTCACCTGTGTGTGTGTTTGTTTGTGTGTGTGTGTGTTATATAGATTATATAGTGAACTTAAAAAATCTTCTTGTGAAAAACCACTTGTCCAATTTCAACCAAACTTGGCAGGATTAATCCTTGGGTGAAGGGCTTCCAAAGTTGTTCAAAGAATTTCATTCCATGCAGAAATCTGGTTGCCATGGCAACCAAAAGGAATTATAAGAACAAACTTAAAAAATCTTCTTGTAAAGACCCAAAAGGCCTAGAGCTTAGATATTTTGCATAAGGCATTGTCTGGTAGACCTCTACCGAGATTGTTCAAATTATAACCCTGGGGTCAAAATCGGCCCCGCCCGGGGGGTCATTGATTTTCACTATATGTACATATAGTAAAAACTTAAAATACCTTCTTGTAAAGACCCAAAAGGCCTAGAGCTTAGATATTTTGCATAAGGCATTGTCTGGTAGACGTCTACCAAGATTAATCAAATTTTAACCCTGGGGTCAAAATCGGCCCCGCCCCGGGGGTCATTGATTTTCACTATATGTACATATAGTAAAAACTTAAAATAACTTCTTGTAAAGACCCAAAAGGCCTAGAGCTTAGATATTTTGCATAAGGCATTGTCTGATAGACCCTTACCAAGATTGTTCAAATTATAGCCCTGGGGTCAAAATCGGCCCCGCCCCGGGGGTCATTGATTTTCACTATATGTACATATAGTAAAAACTTAAAATACCTTCTTGTAAAGACCCAAAAGGCTGTGAGCTTAGATATTTTGCATAAGGCATTGTCTGGTAGACCTCTACTCAGATTGTTCAAAATTATAGCCCTGGGGTCAAAATCGGCCCTGCCCCGGGGGTCATTGGTTTCCTTATATGTATATAGTAAAAACTTTATAGTAAATAATTTCTTCTAGCAAATGCTAGAGGTTAGATATTTTGCATGAAAACATTGTGAAGTGAACTTCTAGCAAGATTGTTCAAATTATAGCCCTGGGGTCAAAATTGCCCCTGCCCCGGGGTCATTGATTTTCAATATATACATATAGTAAAAAATAAAAAAATCTTATTGTCTGAAGGTACAAGGCTTAGAGCTTGAATATTTGTTAAATGATATCATCTATAGGTACTCTACCAAAGTTGTTAAAATTTTGCCTCTTGTGTCAAAATAAGACCCGCCCCATGGGCCATAGGTTTTCCTTATATGTATATAGTAAAAACTTAAAAAATCATCTTCTCTAAATTTACAAAGGCTAGAGTTAAGATATTTTGCATGAAACATTATGTAGTGAACCTGTAGCAAGATTGTACACATTATAGCCCTGGGGTCAAAATTGGCCCCACCCCAGGAGTCATTGATTTTCACTATGTACATATAGTAAAAAAAAAAGAAATATTTTTGTCTGAAGGTACAAGGCATAGAGCTTTGATGTTTGCTCTATAATATATTCTATGGGTTCTCTACTAAAGTTGTTTTAATTATGCCCCTAGTGTTAAAATTAGCCCTGCCCAGGGGCAGTGATTCTCATTATGTTCACATAGTAAAAACAGAAAATAAAACAAATCTTTTCTGAATAGGAGAAAGCTACAGCTTAGATATTTGACTTGAAATGTTGTTTGGTGGACCTGTATCAAGATTGTTTTGAATAAAACCCTTGGGTCCAAAATTTTGCCTTGCCAAGGGGACAGTGACCTACTTTCTTGTCCTTTGATGTACAGCAATGAAATTTTGACCATGTGCACATTTTTAGTTGTAAAATTGAACTTTGATATCAGGTGAACTAGATTTTGATGATGTGACCTACTTTCTTGTCCTTTGATGTACAGCTATGAAATTTGAACCATGTGTACAGATTGAGATGTTAAGTGAACTTTGATTTCAGCTGACTTAGATTTTGACAAAGTGTCTTACTATGTTGTCCTTTGATGTAGTCATGAAATTTAGGCTGTGTGAAATATGACCTTCAACACCAAATTCACTAGACTCAAGTGCATTGATATATTCCTACTCTGATCTTTTATTGAGTTAACAACAGATTTAACTAATCTGATAATAAGAATTAGATAGGTCAGGGATCTATGCATTATGACAATCTTCAAAATTGTATAGAAACAAAGAAAATCTGTTCCTACACTACTATTTAGTGTTGTATTAATGCGGTGGCATAGCATTTTTCTCAAATGCAATCTTGTTTAAGATTTGAAATTGTTTATTAAAAACAGTTCATTGCAGAATTGTGTGAAATGAATCAATTTTCATGATGTAGACTTGTAGTAACATGCTACCTTCATGAAATAAAGTGTTTATTATTATACCCCCGCACAACAAAGTTGTAAGGGGGGTATACTGGAATCAGCTTGTCCGTCCGTCCGTCCGGCCGTCCGTCCGGCCGTCCGTCCGGCTGTCCGTCGGTTTTTTCTTGTCCGCCCAATAACTTAAGATTCCTTTGACCCTTAGTCTTCATATTTGGCATCGAGGTTAGTCATGATAAGTAGATGACCCCTATTGATTTTGAGGTCACTAGGTCAAAGGTCAAGGTCACAGGGGCCTTGACTTCAAAAAGCTTGTCCGCCCAATAACTTAAGATTCCTTTGACCTACAGTCCTCATATTTGGCATGGAGGTTAGTCATGATTAGTAGATGACCCCTATTGATTTTGAGGTCACCAGGTCAAAGGTCAAGGTCACAGGGACCTTGACTTCAAAAAGCTTGTCCGCCCAATAACTTAAGATTCCTTTGACCTACAGTCGTCATATTTGGCATGGAGGTTAGTCATGATTAGTAGATGACCCCTATTGATTTTGAGGTCACCAGGTCAAAGGTCAAGGTCACAGGGGCCTTGACTTCAAAAAGCTTGTCCGCCCTATAACTTAAGATTCCTTTGACCCATAGTCTTCATATTTGGCATGGAGGTTAGTCATGATTAGTAGATGACCCCTATTGATTTTGAGGTCACCAGGTCAAAGGTCAAGGTCACAGGGGCCTTGACTCTAAAAAGCTTGTCCGCCCAATAACTTAAGATTCCTTTGACCCACAGTCTTCATATTTGGCATGGAGGTTAGTCATGATTAGTAGATGACCCCTATTGATTTTGAGGTCACCAGGTCAAAGGTCAAGGTCACAGGGGCCTTGACTTCAAAAAGTTTGTCTGCCCAATAACTTAAGATTCCTTTGACCCACAGTCTTCATATTTGGAATGGAGGTTAGTCATGATTATTAGATGACCCCTATTGATTTTGAGGTCACCAGGTCAAAGGTCAAGGTCACAGGGACTTTGACTTCAAAAAGTTTGTCTGCCCAATAACTTTAGATTCCTTTGACCCACAGTCTTCATATTTGGCATGGATGTTGATCATAATTAGTAGATGACCCCTAATGATTTTGAGGTCACTGGGTCAAAGGTCAAGGTCATAGGGACTTTGACTTTAAAAAGTTTGTCCACCCATTAACTTAAGATTCCTTTGACCCACAGTCTTCATATTTGGCATGGATGTTGATCATGACTATAAGGTGACCCCTATTGATTTTGAGGTCACTGGGTCAAAGGTCAAGGTCACAGGGACCTTGACAAAAAAAAGCTTTTCTTCTCAATTGTTAAAGAATGTCCTGTCCTCAATGTATTAATTTTGACATTTTCACATTTGAAGCATGTAGAATACATAACTTAGCAATGCACTGGCTTAGTAACCTCAGATTTGGCAGGGAGGTTGTCCTTGAGCTCTAAATGGCCACTGTTGATTCTGACAAAGTGGTATGCGGGGGTATTCACGCCATGATAGTGGCAGTTCTAGTTATTATTATTATTATTATTATTATTATTACTATTATTATTATAACACTAGCTGTATAATTAAATTAATTTAATGTTAGACATGATTTAAATTGTGTATGCATGTTTGGTATTCGAATACAGTTCATTGTAAAATAATGCAAATTGAATGAATTATCATGTTCTAAATCAGTGCATGTTTTAAATTAGTGATTAATAAATGAAACTATATAAACCTATTGTATTTTCTTTTTGTTATACCCATTTAGTTTCCCAATTTTATTTAATTGTGCAGGATACCATGGAAACGTTTTACTTTGAAAGATCATATGGAGGACTCTGTGATGGATTATTAAGCACTTTACTTCAGGTCAATGAAAAAAGCTTACATACTAAATTTGGAGTCAATAAAACTTATATAGTGACCAAGTTATGCTCTGGACAAGCCTATTAAGTAAGAAAATTAACAAAGGGCAATAACTCAAAAATCATGAAGTGCAGAGTACAAGTTCTTGTGCACTGCACTTCTTCTCAATGAGAATATCATCCTATGAAGTT